ATGTGAATGGCACACAGCGATTTTACAGTGTTTGACTCCAGGAGAGCAGACGCTGAATGAGCTGAGACATGTGACATGAATGTATATCACCCATACGTTTGATGTATGCCACCGTTGCCATGTTGTCTTTCCTGACCAGAATGTGTTTCCATTCCAGAACCGGTAAAAAATTGGTGAACAGCGAAAAACACTGTTAACAGCTCTAGGCAGTTGATATGCCAATGCAACTGTGGTCCTGACCGTGAACCCTCAACTGCAAGCTCATTGCACATGGACCCTCAGTCTATGCTCGAGATATTAGTCGATAAGACAACATAGTTGGATCCTTGTTTTAGGGGCACCCAGGCCTATAGAAGCCAAGATCTGTCCAGGGACTAATGGTGTGGCGACACAGCAAAGTGATGGTCACCTGGTGTGCGCACATGCCATGCCCGTCTGGGGACCCGATCATCAAGCCAGTGCTGAAGAGGTCTCATTTGAAACATTCCGAGTGGCGTGATAATGGATGTTGATGACGTATGTCCCAGGAGCCTATTTATATATTATATTAAATATTTTCAGTGAGACCACTGTGTTTCTGTCAAGAATACTCGACAGAAACAGAACAGCTTCAGCCTAGTGCGCTTTTTGTACGCCCTCAAAGGGATCGAATCCAGCTTCGTCCCGACATAGGAGATGCTCTGCACAGGGAAGAACATGCTCCTCTCTCAGTTGACCTGAAGCCCCAACTGGTCGAGGTGCTGGAGCACCCTATCCCTGTGCAAAATCAATTGGTCCCAGAATGAAGCCAGCATAAGCCAGTCATTGAAATAGTTGGGTGTTTGCATGCCTGCAAGCTGAAGAGGCACTAAGGCACCCTCTGTGAGCTTGGAGAAATCCCGCAGAGGCGAGAAGAGTCCGAAGGGGAAGACTTTATACTGCCAAACTGGAAAATATGGTGGCGTAGAAGATAGGAGACATGAAAGTACGTGTCCTTCAGGTCTATAGCTGCAAACCAGTCCTGAGGATGAACGCATTGGAGTATGTGCTTCTGCGTGAGCATACCGAATGACATTCTGAGTGGTTCCGTTTGTGCAGAGCTAGGATTTGTCTTAACCCACTGCTCTTTTTTGGGGTGAAATGAAGTACGAGCTGTAACACCCAAACCTTACCTCAGTTGGAGGGACCGGCTCAATTGCATCTTTCACCAGGAGGACAGCAGTCTCCTCTCACAAGACAGGGGCAGACACCCCTTGTGAAATACATGGCCATAAACCTGGGAGGTTGTATAGTTAGCAGAATCGCATAGCCGAGTCTGCTTATACACATGAGCCACCACAACAGGCGGAGCAGTGCTAACAAGACTGGCAGGGTTCCAACTAATGGCATCCTCGGAGCAATTGCTGATGTGCCAGCGAAGTGGCAGCTCATGAGGGGAGTGCTCTTCCCGGGAAGCGGTCAGTTTATCTGACTTAAGGGCCCCCGAGGCAGGGGTGTTTCCATCCTGTGAGGTGCTCAATGCTGCTGCCTGGCAAGTAGAATAGGCTGCGGAGATGGAGCAGGTCTCGTGATCACATGTGGACACCCTTAGTGAGGATCCGCCAAGATGGATGGGGCAACAGGGAGAGCAGTTTATGCATATGCACAAAACAATGCATAGTTTCTCCTAAACCTGAGGTTCTACTATCAGCTTGATCCTTTTTTTCCAGTGTCCTGGCAAAGACTTTTAAGGAGAGGCTGAGGAGTGTGATCCACCTGAAGTCCACTTTCTTAAAAAGGGGAACCACCACCACAGTCTAATCTAAAGGCACTGTCCTCAACCTCTACATAATATTACAAAGCCATGTCAAGCAAGGTTAGCCCCTCCACATCTAAAGACTTGAGGTATTTAGTGACTTTAGTTTGGGTCATGGATGAGTAAACTCTTGCACCACTGCCCTGCATCGCCCGTCTTTTCTTCATCAAAAAAGGCATGCCAGTGGAATTGAGTAAATCGTTTTCTCAATTATTCAATGTTCCTTTCACCATCCAGCAACATTATTAATGCAAGTCAACAACTCTTTTCTTTGCTATAAATAGGGTGAAGAAATGCTTTCCTATAAGGCAAATGATGGTTTGCCAGAATCTCTTGAATCTCTGAATGACTCTGAATGATTTTGATGTGCTGTAGCACGCTTGGCCTATCAGTTCCCATCATATGCCTCGGGAGTCCCACAAGCCAACCAGGCCTGATAGGACTTCCCCTTTGGCTTGATGGCATCTCTCACTTCCAGTGTCCACCACTAGGTTCATGGGTTACTACAATGGCAGACACTGGAGACCTTAAAGCCATAGCCATAGCCAAGCTTCTTACATCTGATTCAACTGAGTCTGAGAATATGCGCAACTTAATCTCAATGTTTTCTGCTTATCTCAGGACCTGGTTCTTCCAGAGGAGATATTTGAAAATCCCTCTGACATATAGTTTAGCCACACATTCCCAGCAGACCCTCAAATTTCTTTTAGGTCTGTCCATTTCTCCTTTTGCCAATGGATTCAACTAGGTTAACAGCTCTGACCCTCTCTTTATTCAAATTTCTATGACATGGTCAGAGATCAGATTAGAGTACCACAAAGTGGATCATTGACCTTCTACCTCCTGGTATCATGTGCATTGATAGACACGCTTATGCTTGAACATAGTGTTTGTAATGGACAATCTGTGACCAACACTGAAATCCAACAACAGAACCTGTTCCTCAAAACTTCTCTCGTATTCAGATAAAAAAAGTCCATTTCTCTCATTCACCCCCCTCAAGGTGACATTGTTGTTGCCCGCATGGGCATAGATGTCCAACAGTAGAAGTCATCAGTCTGTGCACCTTCCAGTGCCCCAGCCAAGAAATACAGAAAGGCAGGGTACCCTGTACTGTTGTTTGGCCTACAATCACAATTCACAGAGAGAGACCTATCCCCAACCCGAAGACACAGGGAGGTGACTGTATTGTTTACCAGAGAAAACTCCAACTCATGATGGTTGAGCTGGGGAGTTATCACAAAGCCCACACCAGCCCACCGCCTCTCACTATGGGCAATCCCAAAGTAGAAGAAATTCTAAGCTTTCTTGCGAAGTTGAGTTCAAAATCCCAGTCTCTGCATTGATGGGACCCAATTATCTTTCATTTGTACTTTTGAAACGTCCCACACAAGCTCAGGTGCCTTTCCTCCAGCGGTCTGACATTCTGTGTCACAAGAGCCAGTTTCCATGTCCAAAGATTAGGTCAGGGTTGCCCTGACCTTCAACCATATCCTGCTAACATTTCTCATGATGATCAGTTCAGATATCTGATTAGCAGCACCTTACTTATTTTTGTTTATGCTATATTTTGTTGCCATTCATTTTATAACTCATACTGTTCATAGTAATTCATATTTTATTATTATATTATTTGGCCCCACTTTATATTGTTGCTAATACCTATGAACTTAAACGGTAACTATATGTGTAAGTAGTATGTAACTACAGTGTATGTACACACTAGTACAAAGTATTTACTTGTGTATAACTGGTGTAACTACACACATTTAACAACACACTGAATAGTATGTGTAGGTTAAAATGTGTAGCAGGACATTAATTACACAATCTTTGGTAAACTACACCTTTAATGTGAATTACTGAGGTGATTCTACAATTTACCTTAAAACAACATAAACATAAGGCATTTGTATATGTCTCTATACACTTGTACTTTTTTGGCAGAAGTTTGCTGTTGTTAAACAGTTGCACAAAGCTTTAGGTTTTATAAATTACACAGTAATTTGTGACCGTTTTACACTTTATATTGAGTAGACAGTTCCTGAGGATTTCCCCTGAAATTACACTGGTATCACAAGGTGAAACCTTTTAATGCAGCATTAGTTCTGCCATTCCTATTCTAATACAGTGTTCAGAAACACATGGTCAGGTGTGGAAGTGGGAAAACACCTGCAAGTACATTTTATTGTTACACAATGCACTTATGTAATTCTAATTACAGATGTGTACTTTCTTAGTGTTGTTACCAAAGTCCTGTTACACATTTGAACTTACATATACTATCCAGTGTGTTATTACATGTAAGTAGTTATGCCAGTATTACACAAGTAAATACTATGTACCAGTGTGTACATACACTGTGGTTACATACTACTTACACATCTAGTTACTATGTAAGTTCAAAGATATAAGCGACAACATAAAGTGGGACCTATTATTTTTATCATTATATTAATTTTTAATTTGTTTTTATTGTTTGTTTTTGTTTGGTTTTGCCTTTTCAACTTTCATTAGCCTCTGTTTAGTTTTGTGTTATTAGTTTTTATATGTTTTATTACAAGGCGTTGCTTTGCCAGACAGTATTGATTAGTTAATGTCTTCTACAGCAGTACTGTAACTGCAGGGTGTCACTTACAGTTTCTCTCTTTGCTTTATCTCCTGTTAAAAATAGATGCTGGCAACTGCAGGTCAGTTCAGGAAGAGTAGATTAAAACCCTAAAAGGGCTCCTTGGACGCCGACTTCAGCATCCTTTTGGAAATCACTTTCACTTGAAAACTATAAAGATAACCAAACCAAACCATAACAAAATCAACCAAATTGATAAACTACTTTAAACTTTCCAACCTAAATCTTTTTTCAAAACTCTCCAAATGTGGATGTGATTTTGAACAATCTTATGTCATCACAATCAGCTTCTTTCCTTTATAGGTTTAAGAGAACTTACAGTATATTCATTTATACACGTTCCACATAAGAATTTGGTCAGAGGTTGTGATGCCAGGTAAATTGCTAGTTACGCTTTATGTGTGTTAAAACTCATCAAATATCCTAAAATGTAACAACTGATTGATTGACCCTGTTATCAGTAAATGTGTGGTCTTGTCCTCTTTCAGTGGGTGAAATGGTGTGAAAATTGAGGTAAATGCTATATATAGTCTTAAGAGTATCCTTACATGGGGCGGCTGAGTGAAGACATTCCCTAAGTGAGCGCATTATTTTTGTTCCATCAGCAGGGGCTTCCAACTGCTTTCAGGCTACTCTCCCAACACTCAAAGCTCTTCTTTTCTCTTGGGGTAAGTGCAGCTTTATTTTATTCATCTGTTAACCGATTTGCATTGATACACCTCCTGTGTATGATCACATCGAGTGTATTTGATATATATTATTTAAATTAAATGTTGCGATTTATTAATATAATGCTGGTATCTAGCCCTAACTTGATTCTGGAGTGTAAATAATCGCAAATGTATGTGATCAGTTGTATTACTTCATCATATTTCATTGTCACTGTTATGAGTTTTGCTTTAATTAGTATTATTGTTATTTTTAGTCTTAAAACTGCACCAACACAAACTGGTTGGTTTGTTTTCACAAGACTTTATTGTCATAGCAGCCTGTCATATTACTGATATCTTAAGGTCAAAGGTCATATTTAGGGATTTCACTCATTCTTTTGGTCCTAATTACATGTTTGGTGTGTGTGTTTGTGCCTTTAATTTGTGTAGTTATTCAAGGGTCAGCTTTTCACTTTCTGTCTGTAATGTGATGCTCTTGAGTTCATGAGTGTTGCTGATGGGCTGGAATGTGAGGAGAGGTAGTTTTGCTACTAGTTTACAATAACCAGTAGCTAAAGAAAAAAAAAAGCTGTCCATGTACTATTATATTAATTAAAACTAATTATCCATAAGTACATTCAACTAGCTCTATAAATGTTTGTAACATGGGTAGTACATGTAATTAACTGCAGTCAGTATTAACTGTCAGTAGTTTTGATAACAAGGAAACCTTAAAATAAAGTGTATCCAAAATGGAATTTACAGAATTAATAATTATTTATTTATTTATTTATTTATTTATTTATTTATTTATTTATTTATTTATTTATTTATTTATTTATTTATTTAATTAATTAATTAATTTATTTATTTATTTATTTATGTATTTATTTATTTATTTATTATTTTTTTATGAATTTATTTATTTATTTATTTTTTTTTGGACATATGAGGGTATGATTCACAATTTATGCTAGGTTGATTTATGTAGATAGAATCTACTTAACCATTTTATACAATAAATGTATTACTTACACATGACTGGTTTTTTAATTACTGTATATTTGATTGCGTTTAATTAACATTGCTACCCAAATGATAATTAAATTCAAAGTGCAATTCAATTAAGCCTAACCATACCATCAAAGTATTAGTCAATTTGGGAATTTTCCAATACTGAGCTAAAAGTTCTTAGTTTTGTATAAATATTTTTGATGTGTTTTTCATGTGTTTTTCGATTGTGTTTAGTTTCTTTTTTTAGTTAATTGTTGTTTTCAAGTATGGAAGATAGAAAGAAAGAAGAAAGAAATGTGTGAATTTTTCATTTTGTCATAAGACTTGGCATAAATTGAGTTGAGGCATAAATCATACAAAATCATTCATGGATAAACATAACATACAGCTGAAGTCAGAATTGCTAGCCCCCCTTTGAATTTTATTTTCTTTTTTTAAATATTTACCAAATGATGTTTAACAGAGGAAGGAAATTTTCACAGTGTGTCTGATAATATTTGTTCTTCTGCAGAAAGTCTTATTTGTTTTATTTCGGCTAGAATAAAAGCAGTTAATAATTTTTAAAACACCATTTTAGGGTCAAAATTATTAGCCCCTTTAAGCTATTTTTTGTTCGATTGTCTACAGAACAAACCATTGTTATACAATAACTTGCCTAATTACCGCAACCTGCCTAGTTAACCTAATTAACCTGGTTAAGCCTTTAAATGTCACTTTAAGTTGTATAGAAGTGTCCTGAAAAATATCTAGTCAAATATTATTTACTGTCATCATGGCAAAGATAAAATAAATTGGTGATTAGAAATTAGTTATTAAAACTATTATGTTTAGAAATGTGTTTTAAAAACCTGCTCTCCGTTAAACAGAAATTGGGGAAAAAATAAACGGGAGGCTAATAATTCTATTCTGACTTTAACTATATATATATATGTGTGTGTGTGTGTGTGTGTGTGTGTGTGTGTGTGTGTGTGTGTGTGTGTGTGTGTGTGTGTGTGTGTGTGTGTGTGTGTGTGTGTGTGTGTTTGTGCGTGCGTGCGTGTGTGTGTGTGTTTGTGCGTGCGTGCGTGTGTGTGTGTGCATTCTCAAACCAGATGTTGTATGTTGTATTTATCCATGAAGGAATCTCCCAACCTACCTTTGTATCACATATCCAAAGGTTATACATGCAACTGTTATATGTAAACCTTCCATCATATTGGAATGTTCAAAGCTGGTCCATGAAAACTCAAAAGCAAGATATATGCATATTTACGTGAATGTATTCATGTCTAAATTTGCAATATAATCAGCAGAGTTAATAAAACATCATTGCAAATGTGTTAGTTAACTTACAAATGTTAACTTTGTAAAACCTGTCAAATCTGTGAAATATTAGCTTGTTTCTCTAGAAAATTTACATAAAAAAAAAAAAACTGGAAGCAGTGAAATGTTACAGCATCTTAAAACTAATTGATTTTTGCTATAAGACATAACATGTTGACTGTTCCAGGAAAGATGGCAGCCTCATCTACATATCTTTATCGGTTGAAAGTTGCATGTACAGTGTGTATTTACTGTGTGTATATGTGTGCAGATACATCAATTTGACAAAAAAAATAAATAAAAGTGCTTGATATTGATGTTTTGACATGATCAAATATCAAATGTTCAGTTGAAAGATTTTTGTCCCTAATCACCTTTCATAACCTTGTGCAGAATCTATTTAAATCTCAAAATTAGGCTGTGTACAATATACGAATTTAGCGACACGTACACTGTAGAATCACAATAGGGTATAAGCCGAGCTAGTGTTGTTCCCATAGTGATAAACTTCCGGTGACCTGTTATTGTGATTTTTTTTTTTTTCATTTTATACGGTTCCTTTTACAGCATCAATGTTGTATTATAATTAAAATACAATCAGTTAAATAAACTTTGGCATTCATTCAGTTGTTCAAGCGTAAAATGAAACAAAAGGCCTTTTACTCGCACGCGCCCGTCAGAATCGGCAGGCTAGCGCAGAAGCTCCATTGAATATACAGGTGTAAAATAAATGCTCATTTTATAAAGACATGGCAGGAAAAATATAATTATAATCTGAGACTCACTTTATATCGGCTATCACTCAGACAGTGGAAATCGCTAATTTTTAAAGAAAACAGACCTTACATGTGCCAATTTTTGCGTTGGCATACAGATCACCGGAAGCGCTTAACCCAGGTTACTGGCAAATTAAAAGTCCTATTAGCATGCTTCGGCATATACCCTGTAGCTTATGCGTGAAAAAAATCCATAAAAGTATATCCCGTTATTAATAATTATGCAGTAAATAAATACATATTCTGTGGATGAGGTGTGACTGTAGAAGGTTGACAATGTGATTTATTTTATGCCTAAAATCCTAAAAATTATCCAACTATATACTGATCTGTTAATTACATTTAATAAACAACATTAACTAACCCTCTTTAAAATAAAGGTTCTAAAAGGCTGTTTTTTTGTATATACAGTAAACTACATTTGTTTCTCCAAAAAAACTTTCACAAAGTGGTTCTTAAATAGTTTTTTTCTGAATGTAGAGAATATTTTAATAAGAACAAAACACAAAAAAATACATTTGCTGTTTGTTCAATCTACTTATTTACAATGAGCTGAAACAACTCAATTCAGAAGGATTTTTGAGAGAATTGTTTTGTTCCATCCACTTAAATTAGTGAAAATTATCGTTATCTTAAAGGGCACCTATTTTACTCCCTTTTTAACATTTAATATTAATATTATGGCTCTTCTGAGTGTACCAGTTTAGGTTCAGTTCAAAACACATATCAGATTTTTTTATTATAATGTTTAAAAGTGTCATTTTGGGGGCGTGTGCACAGCTCGCTGTTTTAGGGGCGTGTTGCTTCACATAAAAATTAGTTTCAACTTCCCACCCAACTTAACAAGGGGGCGGAGCCAAGAACTCCTCGCTTTGTGTTTGGCAACAGACAGGCTGACAGAGAGAAGCAACATGAGTGAGAGGACAAGCATTCATCTGTACATGTACGACTCGGACACTGACCAAGCAGAGAGTATTGTTGAGAAATTAATATTACTAATGTGTCAAAATGTGTCAGAGTGGTAGTTACAAAATCATTTTTGTCTTTGCATAGTTTTACAGCCACTACGTTCCATGCTTCATTAGTATAGGGAAGTGATGATTAACCGCTTTCACCATGAACCGCTTTTTAATTCGTCACGGTTATTTAATGCTCCTCAACACCGTGTTTCTGCACGGAACAAAACTGCAGCAACTAAACAAAGTTAAGTCAGCTGTGTGCTAGTTTAAAGTTCCGAGCTTGTACACCAAGACTAATAACCACGCACACTGAATTAACTTTGACTGAGGCTATAACTAAGGCAAGTTCAGTATTTCCAATTGAGGCAACGCGAGGCAATGCGCTCACACTTTCCAGCCGCACCTAGTTGAGATGACAGGGAGCTCCTGTGACCACTGGAAATGCACACGGCTGAAGCTAGAGGAAGACGTAATGAAAAGTTCACGTTTGCAAACCTACCTAAAGCAACAAACAATAGCGCAGATGAGAGCGATCATGTGGTGACCGTTAGTGTTTTCAGAGAGAGTGCTGAAAGACTCGGTGACTCAGCTGTTTTTAATGGCCCGAATTTTAATACGTTTCATTCACTGTGTGTTCAGTGCAAATGGCCGCTAAATGTAAAATCTCTGTTGCTCATTCGCAAGAAGATGATGAAGGCTCTTGTGTTGAGCCCAATGAGTCTTACATCCAAAAATAGAACAAGGGTGTTTCTTTGGTGACACTGCTTTCACTTATACATGCTGAAAATGGCGGACGTGAAGCAACAAACTGCAGATATGGTAATGCGCCTGTCAATCAATATTGGTTGGCGGGGGGACCGCACTCCTACGTCAAGTTGCGGTTCATCTAAAAACCACTTCAATTGGTCCACCATTTTTATGTGGTTAAATTAAAAAAAATAAGTCTGTGTGTTTATATCACCCAGGCACGTGCACACATAAGCGCGCTCAGCCCCCCACCCCCCTCCCCCCCACGCTTTACAGTACGCGCGACAATACAGCTGATCAGAACGCGCGTGACAACACCGCTCATCAGGACGCACGCGACAACACCGCTCATCAGTACGCGCACGACAACAACCCCTCCCCCCTCACCGCTTTTCAAAAAATTTATCCTGCACATGCCCTTTGGACGGTCTCTGCACGGGCCTGATATCACCCCAATATGACAGTCTATACACTATACCTACACACTTTGTTCAAACAGCTTGAAAAGTAGATTTTTAATAGATTTGTCTTGGGACAACATGGAGAAATTGTGTGGAACCCAGCATTTTTTTTCAGTGAACCTTTTTCTATTATAAAGAACCTTTTGTGGTACAAAAAACATTTAGTGGATGTTAAAGGTTGTCCAGAGAATCGTCTATGCCCATAAAGAACCTTTATTTTGAACTTTATTAACTGTTTAACTTTATTAACTGTACAGCTTTGTCCAAAATAAATCCTTCATGGAGGTGATTTAGAGTTTTGGTGTGGTCAAAAGGTCTTTTTCAGAGTGTTCCAGTCATGCCTGCGAAGGGTGTAACACTTTATCGGCAGGAGCAAACACATCAACAAAGCTCAAAACATGTTGTCCATCAGTCAAGGTATGGGATGTTGGGTGATTTGAAGCTCAATCTGATTGGCCGAGCATTGGCTCAGAGGCTTCAGCAGGCTGGAAGACCACAAAATGCAGTTTGCTTATGCTAATGCTGCTCACTTTGCTGATTCATTCAAGTTTTAAAGGTCAGGAGACTCAGATGGCTGATGTAAGGTGTATAGATGTGTGTATTGGCAGAGCTTAGCATTGTGTCATTCATTAGCGGTGAGAAAGGAGAACGCTAAATGATCTGAATTACATATGATCTGAAGCATGGCGCTAAGCTGTGCTTATTGTGATCATGTTGGGAGAATTGCTTCAGTGAGGATGCTGTTGACTTGAGGATAACAAGCATGGAAAAGGTTTTAAGCTTTTACTATTCTATATAACATTGATTATGTTGCTATAGTCATTCTGTTCATCTGTAGTGATCACTGTTAGAGCTTATTAGTTGTAAAAAAGAATTAATTCATTTTTATTTTCCAAAAATTCTGAATGTTTTCAAAGCTTTGCTGGCGCTGTTGAATGAAACATGCTGCTTTTGTTACCATTACCTGTTAGAATCTGTTTGCACAGCTTTGTATGATATCAATATCAATGAAAGACTGTTCATTATATATATTCGACATTAATATAGAGTAAAACTTTACAATGTAAAAAAGTTATTATTTTACTTTCCATAAAAAAGTGAGTAAACCCGTTGCCTTACAAGTGACAAGTTGGCTTTACTTAAAGTAAGTAAACACATTGTAACTAGGAACTGTTAAGTCGATTTACTTAAATTTTACTTTAATTTTCACTTTAAGTCAATTAATTGTTTTACAAAGCAACAGGGTTACTCTCTTATTTTAACTAAAATCAGCAAATATTTTTGTTAACAGTGTACCACAGTCAGTATTAATAATGATGTACAATAATACCACATTAAAATAAGAGCTATTTATAAACAACAGCAATAACATTACTAAATAGGTAATAAAAGGGAGGCAGTGGCGCAGTGGCGCAGGAGGTAGTGCTGTCGCCTCACAGCAAGAAGGTCGCTGGGTCACTGGTTCGAACCTCTGCTCAGTTGGCGTTTCTGTATGGAGTTTGCATGTTCTCCCTGCCTTCGCGTAGGTTTCCTCCGGGTGCTCCGGTTTCCCCCACAGTCCACAGACATGTGGTGCAGGTGAATTGGGTAAGCTAAATTGTCCGTAGTGTATGAGTGTGTGTGTGAATGTGTGTGTGGATGTTTCCCAGAGATGGGTTGCGGCTGGAAGGGCATCCGCTGCGTAAAAACTTGCTGGATAAGTTGGCGGTTCATTCCGCTGTGGCAACCCCAGATTAATAAAGGGACTAAGCCGACAAGAAAATGAATGAATAAATGCATGAATAGGTAATAAAAATATAAACTTTTATGTTTTTTTTAAACCTTAAGTATTAAATAAACACTAGATTAAATAAACGTTAGATTAATATTGTATAAATAATTGCAGTTAGAAATAAATACTTATAAGAATATACAGGGTGATTCAAAAAGAATACCACAACTTTCGAGTTGATGTCACTCGATATTAAACATCTTTGAACTTGTTTTCTACTGAAACAACTTTAAGTACTCTTTACACTGATTAATTACCCAATATTTCATATTGTTTCTTTGATTGATACAGATTTTCAAAGTTGTGGTTCTCTTTTTAAATCACCCTGTACTAGACGCAAGCGTACTTTTAAGCGTACTGATCATAACAATATCATAAACCTATGCAAATGATGCCAGGACTAATGCCTAAAAAATAAACTTTGATTGTATGGTGAATTGTAGCAGTGTGTAATGCTGTTCAACAGAGCAAGGACATTTTCACAGTATGTCTGATAATATTTTTTCTTCTGGAGAAAGTTTTATTTGTTTTATTTTGGCTTGAATAAAAGCAGTTTTTAATTTTTAAAAATACATTTTAAGGTCAAAATTATTAGCCTCTTTAAGCTATATGTTTTTTCGATAGTCTACAGAACAAACCATCGTTATACAATAACTTGCCTAATTACCCTAACCTGCCTAATTAACCTAATTAGCCTAGTTAAGCCTTTAAATGTCACTTTAAGCTGTATAGAAGTGTCTTGAAAAATATCCAGTAAAATATTATTTACTTTCATCATGGCAAAGATAAAATAAATCAGTTATTAGAGATGAGGGGGGCTAATAATTCTGACGTCAACTGTGTCTGTGTATATTTACATATCTCAATATTTTGTATATATAAGTTTACAGTATTATGTAAATGTAATATTTATATGTACATTTTAGTAAAAGTTATATTAATATTTGCACACAATTTATCAATTATATGTATCAATATTATGTAAATATCATATATTGTAAATATATATTTACAGTGGGGTTCAATTTTCAGGTTTAAAAACTAGCATACTTTTAAAAAGTACAAAAAATAAAAATAAAAAATTTCTACACATACTTTCCATACGTGCAAACTGAATGTTTGATCCTTTAATGCTTTGCCTGAATTGTAAAACCTACATCTTCATTCAAAATTGTGATACATTTTTTTTGGACATGGAGATAAATCCATATATACATGTACTACACAAATAAAATGTAATAGTCTGTCATTCAGAACACTGAAATCAAACCAATCTTCTCACACCTAATTTCGCCCTATGATTCTGATTGTGTCTGGCAGGAAATCAAGCTCTCAGGTTGTAAAGAAGGAGCAGGTCCAGGCCACGGAGGTGATGGTGGAACCAGCCTACACAGTGCCAAACTTCAGGGAGAGGTGAGATCTATTGGCTCCTGCATCTATTACAGTTCAGAAGGCTATTTAAAGATGGCGTAAGACAAAACCAGGAGAGCGCTTCCATATTTACAGATGAGGAAAATCAGTGTCACTGCATGTACTCCTCGGTGCATTTGAATGTGTATTTCTGTGTATTCAGGGCTCCTGAGGGCATGCAGGAGTATCAGAGGATGGCGGCTCACTTTGGAAGAGATTTGGTTCAAATTCAACAGGAGCTGCACAGGATGAAAGTGGCCACAAAGGAGCAAGTGCAGAACATTGAGATTACTAGAGAGGTGAACACATACTTTTGCACTTAAATGTCTCTTTCATGAAAAATATCTCCCTAAAATGCTGTTGATGTATGCTTTATACATACAGTATACTTGTGTTTAGTGATGTAGGTGTATAGTTGATTGCATAGACAAACACAGACTCTCACTACAATTCACTCAAACAAGCATTTTGGTTTAATGTCTGCAATATAACTGTGTTTGTAGTGATTTAAAACAGTTGTGGATTTTAGCACAAAATAATAATAAAAAAAACTCCTAAACCATTTTCCACAGACTTTAATGTCTTCTCCTTAGCTTCTATACTGATCAAATTATCTGGATTCTGAAAGTCAAAACTAATCCAAAAAAAGTTTCCATTTCAATCAATGTTCAATACGATGAAACGTTTGAAATAGTAGCCATTTTAATAAAAGGTGTTTCACCAATAATATGAAATGCATTTGTTTTAAACTCAATCTGAGCACACAGTAAGTAATAATAATAATAAATAAATAAAACATAGTAGCAAGGAGTTCAGTTGACTGGAAATGTTTTAATGCATGTTAAATTTTTCCAAAGTGTCACGCATATCCATAAATCCACTTAAGTGTCTCAAATTAAGTTTGAGCACCTGTTAAGCCAGATTATTGAGGTTCGATCATAACGAAACTCATCAGGCCTGTTTGGCTCATGGCCTTAAAGGTCATTGAGACGTTCAGTCAAATACAAGATGAATACCTAAAGAATACCCTATTTGATTTTTCGCACATGCACACAATATTTGTACTGTAAAATAGAAAAATGCCTGTTTTGCCCTGTGATAAATAATAAATAAATAAATATTAAAAGTCTATTTAAATATAGCAATAGTCGCTGTCTCATGTTGCAAATCCAATGTTACTGTTACAGTTTTTCTTGATTGCTTTGATGCAGCCGTCAACTGAAACTCCACATTTTCAAAACAGTTAACTCACAGGCCTAAACAGCAGCACTTATGGTCAAATTGACACATTTTGCTTGACAAACGCACATTTAAAATATTCAACAAAAGCTAGTTTTACCTTCGAACAACACAACTTGCAAACAAGTATAAGAACTCTTTCAATTAAACATTACACAATGGACAACAAAATACAGAACTTAGTGTGAATCAGTGCACCATTGCTTGACATTGTAGCCTATTGCCAATGCCATTTGTTGCCTTTCAATTTGGGCTGTCAAATTTGCCTTTTTGCAAAGAATTGGAACCAGAATTAGAAATGCTTTAAATAAATGTATATATAAATTTATATTGAATTCATGCCATTTTTCAAACTGTGGCTGAAAACTGAAATACTGTAAAATAATAATAATAATAATAATAATAATAAAAAACAGACAAAAGTTATTAAATACTGTAAATTTGAGAAAAACATGTAAACCAATATACAGTCAAATCTATTGGGAGTATAGGACATAGCCACTTTTGACCCCCTCCATCCATACAATCACAGAACATAGACCTTCCACTGTTTTTAATGTTTGAAGACTGATTCCTAATTGAAGATTTGTGTGAAGGAGTGTCAAAGCGGTGCTTCAGTGAATTCATACTGATCTTGGTAGTTTCTATTGGTTAGGAATAGATGGTGTCTGTTTGGTTACCATAGCTAAAACAATGGAGTTTGGACTGCTTGAATGACATCTGTGTTAACTGTTTTGAAAAATGGTGGGGAAAATGTGTCAACCCAATGAGGAAGGCTTTACACATTTGCAAGACCTGTCTTCTGCTCTGCTGGGATAGTGATGAGGAAAATGGAGTGGAACCTAGTTTCTTTAATCAAGTCGAAGCAAACAAGAAAAACTGTAGTGACAATTTTCTCGGACCAATTGGTGATCAGCATTTTAAATACATTATATTTTGTTAATGACATGGCTTGCTTGAAACCTCACCTGTGATGGTACTAAAAAATAGCAGGCACTAGGTATCAAATGCAGTGCAAAACTGAACCATACTATACCATGCAGTGGAAAAGCACCGTTAGTCTAGGTCAGGTGTGCACAAACTTATTCTTATTATAGGCCAAAAACCAAACTTGATTGAGGGTGGTGGGCCAAATTAAAATAAACCAAAATAATCATTAAAGTTACCATGGAGATTTCCTAACTTATTCACGTTTCATGTTTTTTCATTGTATTATTTTTTTTAATTTCATTTTTTTTCAGCTTAGTCCCTTTATTAATCAGGGGTTGCCACAGTGAAATGAACCGCCAACTTATCCAGCATATGTTTTAGGCAGCGGATGCCCTTCTAGCTGAAAATCAACACTGGGGAAACATCCATACACTCATGCATTCACACACACACACGTTCAATGAAAAATACAGACTGTGGAATGCATTTCAACAGAAATATTCTGTAGATTGAATTTATAAATGCAAAATGTTAAAAACAGTAGATTACTGGCAACCACAGCTGCCGGTATTTTTCTGTAAAATCTGGAAAGGAAAAAAAAAAGCAAAACTTTTTTGTGTCACCATTGTGGAGGATAGTGGCATCTGTGTTCAAGTCCAAGATGGACTGAGTGTTTCTGATATTGTGCTGCATCTTCTTTTGTTTAAATGAAACTGTGCAGTTACTAATGCAGTGAAAATCTGTTTGGTAATTGTAAACACACATGAAATGACTTTACGTTCTTATGCATTAAGCTATGATTTTGTGAACTGAACATTGTATCAGTTTATAAAATACAGATATTTTTTGTTCATTTAAGCAGTTATAAAATTTTCGTAATTTTTACGGAAACATTCTGGCAACTACAGCTACTGGTATTTTTTCCGAACATATATTTTACTCTATAAGAGTTTGCTAATTAACACTCTCTCAGTGTTGATAATGTTAACTCTTTTAAAAATGTTATTTTAACACTTTTATAGCGGTTCCCATATAAACTCTGAGGGAGTGTTCATTTTAACTCTAAGATAGTTAAATCTGCTATCTAAAATTTTCAGTGCACATTCATACACTTCGGACAGTTCAGCTTATCCATATCACCTAAAGGGCATGTGTTTAGACTGTGGGAGGAAACCCACACAAAGATGGATAGAACATGCAAACTCCACACAGAAATGCTAACTGACCCAGCCAGGGCTCAAACCAGCGACCTTCTTGCTGTGAGGCGATCATGCTATCCATTGCGCCACCGTTACACCTTTTAATCACATTAATCATTATATTTATATTTAACATTTACAATGAACTTTTAATAATAAAAACAAACAATCCAAACTATATCACAATGGTGTTCAATGCTGAATACACTTAATACACTTAATTTGCTCATGGAGGATCCTTTTTTTTTTTTTTTTTAAAGATTTGATTCATGCACAACATTTAATTGAAACATTTCCAGTTGCTTTTTTTATCTCAACAACTAAACTAACAAACAAAATGTTTCATTAAAATTCGAAATGATGAGCTCTGTTGAAGGCATTGGCCCCAGCCTTTCCATCATTCTCCCTCCAAATCAAAGGTTACCATGGGTCAACTTTGGCCCGCAAGCCCTAGTTTGGGCATCTCTGGTCTAGGTCAATGATTATCTAAAAATTTAATTTAAAAGTGACAAACAATTTTAAAGCTATATCAAGTAAATGTACAAAATGTCTATAGACAAATATACATCCTAAATGAAAAGTCAGATCTTCACAAAATTAGTTGAGCTTATACAATATGTAACTTTATAGTAACTTAATAAATAATCAGTCAATTGGTAGTGCTGTAATTTTTATTATGTTGAAACAAGGATGCATTTTGGCGGTGTGGTGGCTCAGTGGTTAATATTGTAACCTCACAGCAAGAAGGTTGCTGGTTCGAGTCCCGGCTGGGTCAGTTGGCATTTCTGTGTGGAGTTTGCATGTTCTCCCCATGTTCGTGTGGGTTTCCTCCGAGTGCTCCAGTTTCCCCACAATCCAAAGACATTCGGTATAGGTGAATTGAATAAACTAAACTGAATGTGGGAGTGTGTGGGTGTTTCCCGGTACTGGGTTGCAGCTGGAAGCGCATCCACTGTGTAAAACATATGCTGGATAAATTGGTGGCTAATTCTGCTGTGGAGACCCCGGATTAATAAAAGGGTCTAAGCTGACGGAGAATAAATTAATAAATAAATGAATGAATGAATAAAGGATGTATTTCTATGGTAACTTTTATTGTCTAAAATGCTAATGTTCAGCACTGATTGAATTACTTATTGTATATGAAATATTATTTCATCTACTAAATAATATATGAAATCTCTTTTTGCCTTAAGAACTTGCTTGAATTCCTGCTTTCACCTATATGTGCTTCTTGTTCCATGTCAACACCTTTTGGACAAACTAAGTATTAAAAAATAGGAAAATAAGCAAAGCTAAATTTGTTAAGCTTACAGGTAAAGACTTTAGGCTTAGTTCGCTGCAAACCTGTGCAAGTTTCTTTCATCTGCAGAACACAGAGGAAGATATTTTTGAAAGTCAGCGAGGTCCAAAAGCACCAACTTTAACCCTGACTCTTTACTCAGTCCTTCCTGTATTTTAACAGGTGAAGGGAATGATGCCGTTGAGGAAGGAATTTCCTACTGAAGTTCCCAAAGCTCCGGACTTCCTTGTCAGTCTGAGATCTCACACTGTATGGGAAAAGACGCCCGTCAAGCTGTTCTGCACTGTGTCCGGCCAACCCACTCCTATTGTCAAATGGTTTGGCCTTCATTTTTATATTCCAAAACATTAATAAACTCTGTTGTTTGATTTGATCACTTAAAATGATTCTCTGCAAACGTCATTGAACACATTATGAAGAATGTGCTGTAAGCTTAAATAAAATGCATGCTTTGTTTTGTTAACATAATCCATTATGTGTTTTCTGTCTCTACTGGCGTCTGCCTCTTTTACTAATGTGGTTCAAATGAACCTTAACTTATACTTGTTTGTCTGTCTATTGCTAGGTATAGGAATAATGTTGCCATCGAACCCCTGAGTGCTCCTGGAAAGTACAAAATTGAGAACAAGTATGGGGTTCACAGTCTGATTATTAGCAGGTATGACCTCACACACCCTCATCTGGTCAGTTTGCAATCAATTAAGTATTCTGCCATCATTTACTCTGATTTTGGAATTTGGAAAAGAAAACATACATTTACCTTTTTTCCTTAATTATTTTTTGTTCATACTATTGATGTAAACAGCTGCTTTTTTCCACCATTATTCAGAATATCTTGTTTTGTGTTTAACAGAAGAAAGAAGTCCATAAAAGTTGCATCAAAAAATAAATTCAATGTACTTACTGTGTTCATAATGTATTTGAAAACACTTGTGGTCCTCTTGAGTTGGGATAGGGGTTGGGTTATGGACAGGTTTGGTGGTATGGGTAGGTTTAAGAGGGGGTTAAAGTGTAAGGGATGGTCAACAGTGTATTTACAAATGTAATTACAGAAGTTAATTACAGATATAATTACATTCAGGTATTTAAGTACACAATAAATACATGTATTTACACAATAAGTACATTGTAACAAACTATTAATTCCTGTGTAAGTACATATTAGTAAAGGCCACTTAATATAAAGTGGGACCAAGTTTAGAATCACTTGAGTGAGAGGAAATCTTTTGAGTGAACTGTTGCTTAATGGCTCATTCACACCAAGAATGATTGCTATAACAATCCGCTTGTTAAGTGGTGACGTGTTTGTGATATATGTAATACTTTTTCCATGTCAAAGCCGCCACTCATTTGAGTGGAGAAATCATTCGTTTATGATCACGTTTTATTTCTATCACACATTAAAGTTAATTTTATATAAAGTCATAGTGTACACAACAATCTCTGGGCTGCATATCAAATACCAAAAATGTAACAATTTATTAAAAAATAATCACTTTCTGGCCATCAGATATTAGGCATGGACATATTTATTGCGATCGTGATTTTTGAAAGCATTAAATCACTTTGTAAACGCCTATTATTACCATTTCATGAGTCTCCCCATTCAGTTGAATAGAGCGCTTGGACGCGGAAGCCGCTTCGTGTGACGTCACACTTAACAAGCGGATAGCTCTAATAGCACAGTGTACCATGTTGTTAATTTATTTTAAGCATGTTCTGCAGTTTTATAAATGTTCTCTTTAAATGCTTGCTCTTCTTAAAGCAGGCTGGGTTGTGATTGGCCATCCATGTTTTATCATTTATCAGCTGGAAAAAAAAGCCCTTATAGGGATGTTTAATACAATTTCTCTTTGTTATTATTACTTAGGTTGTGGTGTGGACTTTGCTTTTCTCATCCAACTTAATTATTCAAATTTATAGTCATTGTTTTGGGGTGTAAGTAGGTCTTTTGAACCTATCTTGTTGTTTTGTTTCAAAGTAATAGGTACTTAAAACAAAATAAGCTGCTAATTTGTCTGCACAAATTCTCATTAATTAGAAACACATTTTAGTTTTGAGAGAACCTTGCTTACTTGCCCTCATGTCTTTCAAAAACCTGTTTGATTCTGTCATACACTGAGCAAAATGTATCATCATAATTTATTATTGTTGTTTTTCCTGCTGCCAGTAAAATCACCAGTGGCCACCTTGATGTCAAAAACAGGTCAACCCTGCAAATTAATTTGATGTCAATTAACTCATATTATAAGTTTGATGTCATTTAATCTTAATGCCAAATGTACAAAAAGACATTGAATTGGCATCTAACATTCACATTAAAAAAATCTAAAATCAATGTCAGGCCTGTCCTGTAATCGATTTTTTGGCGTGTTTTTAATGCCAAAGTTAGATGTCAATTTGATGTGACTTGAACATTAAGGTAGTGTACGTACATTTTTCAGATGAATAAAACTTTTCTTATATTATACTATTTTGTATTACATTATTTAGGGTCTCAAAAAGTCATCAATGTGTGGATGTCAAATGGAAATCAAGGTTTTGACATCAAATCGGTTGGCATTTTGAACGTTTTTTACTTCATGCTTGATGTCAATTTGATGTCGTTTTGACATCAAGATGTCTACTGGATTTCCATAAATTTACCGAAATATAAAATAAAATGTAAGACTATTTAAATCTCATTCTTCTTCTTGTCTTTTCCCGTCTACATATGACTTCATATGAAGTTTTTCCCTAATTTTAAAGCTTTTACAGCCAGTGGTCTTCATTCACTTTTACTTTCTGGACCCCCCACTTTCCCTTCGTAATGGAATGGGAAAGTGAATGAGGGACTTGTAAGAGCGGCACTTTCCTATTTAGTCACAGTGAGGTTCTTCTTGAAGAAGTCTCAGCTGTTGGTTTTGCTCAACTTAGCTATGCGTCATTTGATCCTGGAACGGCTGACGCCAGTGAAGCCACCATTACAGTACAGTATAGCAGCTCTTACAGATCACAGGTCATCCTAGTAGCCACTGTTTCAACAAACCAGATTCTCAAACATTAGGTCTCGTGTTTAACCGCAACTCTAAAAGAGAAACTAAATAGTGTTAAATACATGAGAAAATGATCTTGGTTAGGACGATTATGTCTTATGCATTGCAAAGTGAAAGGAGTGGCTCTAAAATAGTCCAGAGGGACTAAAGGTCACATTTCGTTGCTCTATTCTCACTCCTTCAAGGACAGCACAGCATGTCTGAGAGAAACACACTGCTGTCATGTGAGATCATGTTCTGGATGCAGACGATTCTCCGCTCGCACCAAATGGTTCATGAAAGAGGTGTGAAGAACTCAGAGAGCAAGTTTTCCACCCTGTTAACTAAAAGCGGATCATTAAACCGATTTTGACTCGCCTAAACTGTTTTAATTTTCTAGTGAAATCAGTTTTTCTGTACCAGGTTAATGTGAACAGACAGTTCTAGAAAGTTATTGGTGATATTATCAACCAAAACAAAAAGTGAACATTTAAAAAAAAAAAGTGGCTCTGCAGATGTTTGTTTTAACAATAAGGGAATTAGTTGTTTTGTTTTTATAAAAAAAAAAAAAAAAGCCTCTGTTCACATTAATTAAATGTATATTTTTTTAAAGAAAAGCATTTGTGTTTAATTAAATAGTTTGTGCAAAGGTTATGTTATTCATCATGCTTTACAGAAATTGTCACCAATCAGAGAGTCCCGGGAAGCAAAGTTTGCCAAAAGATCTTTAGCTTCATGAAATAATACTTAGATATTTATGCATATTTTGCAATAAACTTACATTATATTGCTTCTAGTGATTTAACCAACAACTGTAATGTTTAACTTTTTATTTTTATTAACCTTTAACTTTTATTTTTCTTCATTTTTATTTGATTGTGCCCTTGATATGAATGTAGTCTTGAATCTTTGCCTTTTGCCTTCTTTTCTTCAAGCGTCTAATTCTGTGACAGTCATAGCCAATTATAGATTTATATTATTGTCAGTGATGTTGTCATAACAAAGAGCTTTTTAAAATCCTTATAGAAAAAATGAGTGGGAAAATACTTGTGGAACCAGTACTGCTGAGTTGTGCCTCGACCTGTAGTGAGTAGGAGGAGCTGTTAGTATCTGTTAGTATCACCTATAGCAGACAGGGGGCGTGTTCTGGGAGACTTTATTGAACTGTCATTATTTTCTAATTCTGTTCAGAATAAAGGCACAGTAACAATAAACTGACCTTAACATTTTCTTATTATTCAAATTCTGCTCAGCACAGTATGAGTAGAACCCGGGGAATTACCTTGCAGTGATCTAGATTTAGGAGTGTGAGTGTAATCATGATGCAGGCTAGTTTTGACTCCAATACCTAGTTAATACTGCATCATAAGGTGGTGTGCTAGTGACTGATGGTAGAGTCTGACATTTCAGCATCCTTAGGCTCATCTTTTCTTTCCTCATGCTGGTTTGAATTCTGAAGCTTGAAATGATGTGTGTAGAATCACAGGGATATGCAGACTAATCGAATTTTTAAATGGTACATCCAGTTATCCCACTATTATCTATAATATTTTGTCACCTTATAAGGTTCCATAAAATATATATATATATATATATATATATATATATATATATATATATATATATATATATATATATATATATATATATTACACACATACTGTTTGCTATATGGAATGCAAAAACTTTAAAGCTCAATATCTAAAAATCATTCGGAACGCAGACAGAACCTTTTAATTCCAAGGTGACGAAATGTCGTTTACATAATTTGAAAACCACTGAGGATAACATTTTGTAATTTAGCTAGAACGCTTGTCCAGTCTGTTTATTTTTATTGTGAATTGAATTGTGTTGTCTTGCAGATGTGCAGTTTCTGATTCTGGAGTGTACAGTGCTGTGGCAACCAATCCACAGGGAAAGGCCACCTCCAAGGCCACTGTCTGCGTCAGGAGTGAGTGTGTATTCTTTAGCATTCAAATGTTCTCTTACTGTGCTGTTGGGTCTTACGGTAATGTACTATGCTTGTTTTTCCATGTAGGGCCAGCAGGGGGAGGAGAGCTCTCTCATCTGCCAGGACTAGGTGAGGACTGAGCTTCTGTTTGATGCCCAATTTGAAGGAGCTTACTTGACATCATGAGCCATAAATATCCGTTCTGTTCCAGGCTCAAAGCCTTGATAAGACATGGAAACTATGTCACATTTTTTCCCAGAGGTTATTTGTGCTTGTAAACAGACAGCAGTGTGGTAAACATCTTGTGTTGTGGATATACAGATGTAACTATAGTAATAATTTACTCAAGCTACAAATTACTTTGTTAGGTTTGAACAATTGCGCACAAAATGTGTGGCATTTGTTTTATGAAAGCCGCAAGTGCAGAGAAATATAACCATGAATTATTGAAACATTGTATATTTACAATATGCTTTATAGTTTAACACGAATGAAGACAGATGGATAAGTAAATAAATAAAAAGATTTAAAGAGTCCCTCTTATAAATTAAAAATGTCATAAAATGTCAATTTGGTTTTGGGGGTCTCCAACAACAGGCTCACATGCATGCAAGGTCAAAAAAAACATTAATAACCTTAATATGCAATAACCTTATAATATGCATTTATTTTTACGTAATTATGTCAATGACTCCCATATGATTTGTTCAGTGATCCATTTGTTCCCAATGTCCCGTCCTTAGCCCAATGCTAATCTGCATTGATTGGTCCGATGACCCAGTCTGTTGTGATTGGTTGACTGCGTTCAGTGTGGGAAATGCCCAGCACAACTTATCAACTAGTCAGAGTGCAGAGTAAATGTATGAGCCCAATGCAGGAGTGCATTAAAGCAATGCAGATTAACACTAGCATATTGCTCTATTAACTATAAGCAAAAACAGTGACATACATTCAGTATTAATCCACACAGTGGCAAAAGCTGAACTATTTTGAAACTTGTCACAAGCTGAACAACTGACGACGGCCATAGCAATGTCATATCATCATATCATGAGCTCACAAACGCATTTAAATCCATTAACAAAGTAGCATGCGTCGCGTTTTCAACATGGTTTTAGACACAATTGGAGAATATAAAAAGTTAACCAGATACAATACAAGCGGTTACAAGTAACAAAACAATTAAATACATAATTTGCAAGCTAGAGAAAACAAGGTGGCAACAATTTTAATAGCACTTACTTACACTTGTGAAATGAAGGGAAAAACTGATCCATGAACTATGTACTGTAAATTTCCTGTCCAGCTCTGATAAAGTCCCATACAAGTACATCATTAGTATTTTCTGATCCTTCCTTTAAAAAACGGCCAACAAATCCTCTGTTGTAAGCATTTGGATTGCTGAAGCACTCATCAGAAAAATGCAGAGAACACAACACAAGGCTGGGGTTAAAATGCTGAGGTATTTTTACAAAATTTACTTCAACCACTGACTCTTTACAGCCTCATCTTTGGGGGAGGGGAATAACACTAACTTCCCCATCTTTGCGACATGATTCAACCGAGATCTGCAACAATGTTTGGCTTCTTCTTTTTCTTTCGACAGCATTTGTGGCCAAGGGTTTTAATTGTCCCGGGTCTGTGCGAGCAACGAAAAGGTGGGGCTTGAGTTCCGTATCGACGTCACGGCTAAAGACTCGTTACCAAGGCAATTCATTCAAACCACTGAGAGTCGACTCTTATAGATGAATCAATAGTTTTAAACACAGTTCACTTTCAGATTTAAGCCTTAGCTGGATATTTCACTTAGAGCTGTGTTACACACTGCATGAAAGTTCATTTTCAAAAACCCATAATAGGGGCTCATTAATGGTAAAATATTGATGCTAAATAATTTCTGTCATATTTTTTTATTATTTTATTAAAATCATTTTTGAAGGATCATGTGATACTGAAGATTGGAGAAATGATGCTGAAGATTCAGCTTCGCCATCACAGGAATACTTTTATAATTACATATAGTATTTGATCTGATTTGTTTAATATTGTATCATCTGAAAGCCAAATAAACAATCTTTCCATTCATGCATACTTTATTAGGACGGAAATTATTTATATGATTTAAAAAATCTGCAATTTGAGGGGTTAAAAAAGTATTGTGTATTAAGAAAATCGCTGTTAAAGTTGTCTAAAAATTGCTAATAAAAAATTACAGTTAAAAATGTACAAAACATATTCATGGAGCAGGATCTTTACGTTATATTCTAATGAGTTTAGCCATTAAAGAAAAGCCTGTCGTTTTAAACCATACATTGTATTTTTAGTAATTATCTGTGCAATATTTTTTTTCTCCAGGCTTGCAAATAAATAAACAAATAAACAAGGATTTATTTAATTTATCTTCACACTAAACATTAGTCAAACAGATTTTCAATAAAGTTGTTTTTGTTGTATTGGTGCTTCTCTCACTCTGGGACTTGGTTTTTAATGCTGTGTCCTGTAGTTCCTCTCGGCGGTATCCACCCTAGTAAACTTGAGGTGACTCTGCTGGAGTCATTCGGAGTGACATTTGGTAAAGAAGGAGAGTCTGTCAGTCTGGTGTCCAACATGGTGGTGGTGCCCGATTTGCCAAATCTTCCACCTGAGGCTGTGTGGTACAGAGATGGTGAGAGGATGCTTTTTTTTCATTCACTTTGAATGTAGGTGAAAAAGTTTAACTTATCCTCACACTCTGCATTTGCTGTTGTCTGTGTAGATGCTTTGCTAATGCCATCTAGATGGGCTGAGATGTCTGTTGGTGGCGGCGTCGCCAAGCTCACTCTTCCTTACCTGAACAAGGATGATGAGGGACTTTACACCCTGCGCATTTGGACCAAGGATGGAACCGTAGAACACAGCGCTTACCTGTTTGTTAAAGGTAGAAAACATTCGTAAATGCATTAGCAATACATACACAGCAAATATTCAAGTTGCCCTTAGAAACTTTAAATAAATGATAGAGAGATCAATTAATACTTGTGTGTGTTTCCTCTCACAGATGCTGCTCCAACAGTGTCCGGGGCCCCTGGAGCCCCAATGGATGTTACAGCGACTGATGTGAATGCAGATTACGTCCTGATCTCCTGGAAACCTCCGAACACGACCCATGAGGCTCCCATCACTGGATACTTCGTGGACAAGTAACCATTCCCTTCAGACTTCAGCCTAACACCTCACATAGAGCTGATTTTAATGTGTTCATGGAAATAAAAGAATTCACTTTTGTAATTCAAAGAATAGATCACCAAAAAATAAAATAATAATAATTCTGTCATCATTTACTTGTTTAAAATCTTTTTTATTTTAGTTTCTTTCTATTATGTAGTTTCTTATGTTGAACCTAAAGAAGATACTTTGAAGAAAGTTGAAAACCTCTAGCCATTGACTTCCATAGTAGGAAAAACTATTTCTTTAGAGCAGTGGTTCTCAAACTGTGGTACGTGTACCACTAGTGGTACGTGGGCTTATTTCTAGTGGTACGCGGAGGAATCAAATATGTCATATGTACTGTACATGCTACATATATTATAAAATTGATTAAAAATTATTTATATTTGAATATGATGACATAAATAAATTATATTTACGAGGTCCAAGCAACACTTCCAGGTTTTGATAAATAGGCTACTATATGTTAACACTTTACATTTAAGTACAGGAGGTTTTTTTTTAAGTACAGTAGCCTACTATTTTAAATTAACTTTTAAAAGCACATTTTAATGTAAATGTTGACATTTTATTTTGTTTGTTTGTTTTTAACTATAAGCAAAGCACTTTGTTAATGTTCAAACTATTTATAATGTTTAAAGTGGCTGACAATAATAAATATTCTTAATAATAGGAACTAATCTGCCTCATTTTTTAATTGTGCAGAGCTTTAGCTGCTTTATTGGGCCTATGCTACTGTATTTCAATACTGGTCATTATGGTGGTACTTGGAGAGACAATTTTTTTCTGAGGTGGTACTGGATGAAAATAATTTGAGAACTGCTGTTTTAGAGAGTAAATGTTTATTTTTTGGGTGAACTATGCCTCTAATTGCAGTTAAAGGAGAATATGTAGATAAATCCTTGTTATTAGCGACTTTGTTGGCCATTGGGTAAACTGCAAACTGGTTCACTTCCCAGATACACACAGCAAAAGTATTATTTATTTTTTGACAGTACAAATAAAGGTTGCATATACTTTTGGAGCAATTTGCTGTTAATGAATATCCTTGTGTGTAATTAGTAGCCAAGTAACTAGTTACTGTAATTCAATTACAAATGTAAATGACGAAATTATGCTGAAACGTAAGATTATTTTTCAGTTTTTCAGCATTCTTCAAAATAGCACCTTTTGTGTTCAACAAAGAAATTAACTTTTTTTGGGAGCTTTTTAGTTTTGTAACCACTTGAGGCTGAGGAAACAGTGAACATATACAATTTTGTTGTTATTTAACTATCCCTTTAACATGTACTTACAGTGTACCTATCAAAGAAGGTAACTGCATAGGTTCAGTTGTAGGTTTATTACTGATTATACCTAGTTACTAACCTGTTTATGAAATAACTGTTGTTGGAATATCAAGCCAATTCCATGCGTGTTCACTAAGAAAAGGCTTGGAGAGTGTTTTCTTCAATGCCAAAAATATTAGTAATTTATTAGATACAAATGCATAATTCGATGACAGAGCTCTAGGTTACGTTACCCCAATGCAATTCAAGAATTACATTCAAGAGGTTGCGCAACTAACATACATTTCCTGACTCCAGCATCAACTGATATTAACAGGTAGAGTTTTGGTTTAACGTCATTTATCAGTCATTTTGCAGTCCTTTGGCTCTTGTACCCCAGACATACTTCCTCTTTCTGCAACCCTTCTCTGCATACCAGAACTGAACAATTACGTGCATCTTTAATATATTTCACAACTTCTACAAGCATAATGACAGCTTGTGACATGTCTAGACTTTGTATTAAACAGCAGTCTGGAAACAAGGGCACTCGCATTATATTTATTCTTCTATTTCCCTTTTGTCAGCATGTTCCTTTTAAAAAGCATGCAGCATAGTAAAAAAGAGGAAGTGTGTCTGGTCAAGATGTGGTACAATAGAAAAAGATTGATTATTCTGTTGTTAGTCTAAACATTTTTCTAAAAAATAAAAACACAAAAGTAATAAAAAATAAATTCCCTTTTTCCAACACTGTAAGTACTACGACTATGGAAACTACATGCAGGACTATGACTAGAATAATGTGCTATCCATGTATCCGTGTATGGACATTATTACAAGTAGCAATTCTTGCATCTGAATCTGTGAAATTCAGAGTAAAACAATTTAAATGTATCAAGTACTTATAATATGCGTGCTTTAAATACTGAACTTTTGTTCCAATGTTCAAATCAAGGAGCAGATAAATTGTATTTTTTATAATGTTTTGTCTGTGCGTATACTATTATATTTGTTATTCACTTATTTTGCGCAGTAGTTACATTTTTTTAAATAGAGGAAGTTATAATTGTTTGCCAATTACACTTACTGCCCAAGAAACTATGAATTGGAAAAGAAAATAATGACGATAGATGATATATTTAATATGTGTCATTACTTTGATGCATACAATGTTTCTCTTTCTATATATCTAATGTTTCACTTCACTGCAAATAATAAAATGATTTTATTTCTATTGCTTTTTAGGGAAATTAATTGGGAAATAATATTTATTGTCTTAGAAATATTGGTTTTTAATTAGTAATAAAATTTATTTTTAGACAAAGGGCTTATAAAAGTAATTCAAATACTTTTTAATGAGGTAATTAGGAATTAATAAATTAACTATAGTGCCTTGCATCCATTAATAAATAAATATATCTGGTGTGTGAATAATTTTTATCTTGACAGTATTTATTTTGTATTTTGTGTGTTCACTTTGCAGGCGTAAGTCAGGAACTAAGGACTGGGTCCAGTGCAATGACTCTCCTGTGAAAGTGTGCAAGCTGCCCGTCCACGGCCTGACCGACGGGGCATCCTATCACTTCCGAGTGAGGGCTGTGAACAAATCTGGCATCAGTCTGCCTTCCAGGATGTCCTCTGGAGTGACCACAGGAGAAGTGGAGAGCGATGTGGAAGGTAGGACTCATGCATTGAACCCAAACAACTTAATAGAGTTGTTTCATTAAACTGGGGCTAAACTGAAAGCTTAAAGGTCCAGAAGCGTCAAGGTAAGTTTACAGGATCAAGAGTCATGCTTTTTTTCTTCTTCTCCCGTTTCTGGATATTTGTGTGTTTTATGAATTTTTTCCAACACAATTTCACTCAGAAACTAGTGGATAAGTGGATTGTTAATATGAATTTGTACAAGCATATTCATAAGAAAATGTGTGTTTTATAGAACAAATGTCTACCCAAATCTCTCTCTATCTCTGCCTTTTAATGTAACCGTAACTGAAGTGTGAGCAGATTAAATAAAACATACATTTCAAATGCAGGGTTTGTACTCTCTCAGAAACAAAGGTACGAGAGCTGTCACTAAGGCAGTAACTTTTCAAAAGGTATTTGTATCTAAAGAGTCCATATTGAAACCTCAAAGGTACATCAAGGACCACTAAGGACTTTTTAGGTACAAATATGTACCTTTTGAAAAGGTACTGCCCCAGTGACAGCTCTCGTACCTTTGTTTTGATAGTGTACGGGTACTGGAAAACCTTGAAAATGCTTGAATTTCATTCTAGTGTTTTCAAGGTTTCAAAAATGCTTCGATTTTGAATGAAGCGCTTGAAACTGCTTGAAAGTGGAATAGTGTTTCATACACAATTCATCTTACAAAATGAGTAATAATAATAAACTTTAAATCAAATAAAATAAATATTAACAAAGAGAGTAAACAACAGTAAATTATGATCTTGGGGTAAACACGCCTTTAAAAAACTTCCTTAAATATTATACATAGAATATTATAAGAAATCGCATCATATATATTATAGATTGTAGAATTGAAGTCCGAATTATTAGCCCACCTTTGAATTTGTTTTTCCTTTTTTTAAATATTTCCCAAATTATGTTTAACAGAGCAAGGAAATTTTCATAGTATGTCTGATAATATTTTTTCTTCTGCTGAAAGTCTTATTTGTTTTATTTCGGCCAGAATATAAGCATATTTACATTTTAAAACACCATTTTAAGGTCAAAATTATTAGCCCCTTTAAGCTAACTTTATATTCGATAGTCTACAGAACAAACCATCATTATACAATAACTTGACTAATTACCCTAACCTGCCTAGTTAACATTATTAACCTAGTTGAGCCTTTAAATGTCACTTTAAGCAGTATAGAAGGGTTTTGAAAAATATCTTAATTGGTAACACTTTACAATAAGGTTCATTAGTTAATGCATTTACTAACATGAACTAATCATGAACAACACTTGTACAGCATTTATTAATCATAATTGAACCTTTACTAATGCATTATTAACATTTAAGTCCATGCTTGTTAACATTAGTTAATGCACCATGTGTTAACATGAACTAACAATGAACAACTGTATTTTCATTAACTAACGTTTATTAACATGAATAAATACTGTAGAATTGTAATACTGTATTGTTCATTGTTTGTTCATGTTAGTAAATGCATCACTTAACATTAACTAATTAACTTTTTTTTTTATTGTAAAGTGTGACCAGCTAATTGACCTAGTTAAGCCTTTAAATGTCACTTTAAGCTGTATAGAAGTGTGTTGAACAATATCTGGTCAAATATTATTTACTGTCATTATGGCAAAGATAAATTAAATCAGTTATTAGAAATGAGTTATTATATATTATGTTTAGAAATGTGTTGAAAAAAAAAATCTGCTCTCCGTTAAACAGAAATTGGGGAAAAAAATAAACAGGGGGGCTAATAATTCTGACTTCAACTGTAAATGTATGTGTATATATGTGTATAAAGTTATACACACACACACACACACACACACACACACACACGCACACACACACACACGTAAATACATAATTTCCCACACTTGTAATTGTAGAATACTGGAAAAATTTTAAATGCATCTGGAAAGTGCTTGAAAAGTAGGCGGAAGGACCCTGCAAATGGGATTGTACCAAATTAGCTTCTAATTTTAATTCTGTACATAATGCTCATTTGTTTATTGTGAACAGAAACATAAATCCACCTGTAAATATTATATTAGCAGCAGTGTTTAATTTATGATATGAGCTTGGCCAGGCTGATGGGAAAAACTTATGTTTATGTATTGAAACAGTGATTAAAATCGAAGGAAAATATGACATTGCGATTCGACAGGAGGAGCTACAAGGAGGTACTTGAGCTTTCAGATTCCACTGAGCCATTAATATCATCTCTCCCCCCCCGTCATTTCAATCCCAACAAACTGCATGCTCTACCTATCAAAATACCTTTCACTTTAACACTTAACAATCCATTTCTCATTTATTCATACCATTTAGTAAGTATCTTTTGACATACAGAGGTTAAACATCAATCTTGTTTCACTTATCTCTTATTTTTACAAGTCATTTTCCTTATTCAGTACATACAAATAATTAAGTATATATATATATATATATATATATATATATATATATATATATATATATATATATGCAATTTTATGGATGTATAAGGGAATATTCTTACCTGGTTATCATTTCTAATATGTTTCTTATCATTTTAATAAGTGGTTTGACTTTAAAAGTTCAATATGAATTTTAATATGAGTTTAGGTGCAAAAACTACGATACTTTCTTCTTAAATGAGCATTTTTCACTTTAAATGAGCAGTGTTTTTATTTTTATGGCAAAGAATAGGTTCTTTTTATTCCTTTAAAGTAAAATAACTGAACATAAACATATAAGGCTGAGAAAAATGTTCATTTAAGAAGAGAATTCAGGCGCTTAGAGGTTTTTTGCATCTGAACTTTTCATATTGTAAATAGTTCTGAGAACTTATTTTTTTTATGTAAAGATTTCTTGGTTAATATGGCGGTGTAAACTACATGCATAAAGAGTCCATTAAAAATACAAATGGCAAAACGGTCTTTATGATATTGTCATCAGGATGCCGGATACCCTTATTAGTCTGGAAAATAGATTAAGCTATGTAATAATAATAAAAATATCATTGTAATATTAAAATAGGTTAAATAATGCTAACCAGCTAACCAGTCATCGCCTTATTTAACCCAAAAGTTGGTCCTTAAACTAAAATTAACCTGCAAATAAATGAGTGAAATAATCAGCTGAAATAATTCAACTAAATTAATCAAGTTAAATAAAGCTGTTGTTTTTTCTGCAGTGAGGTCAATGTAAAAATCTAAATAAAATAATTCCAGGTTGAGATGATCTGAATTTTTGGCTAACGTTTATTTCCTTTCCTCACAATGCTCAGAATATTCAAAGAATATTTCAGTGAGCATTAATGTAATAAATATAATATACTGTGTGCCGTTAAGTTCTTGTTTTTTTTTTTTTAAGTATGCTTGTATGTCCGCAAACAAGTCCGAATAATTGTTAATTGTTTTTATATTTGCCAAAAATTCTTGTTGTCTCAAAGCATTAGTGCTAAGTTACTAACACACTGCAAATAAGAAGTGTGTGAAGTAAAACAAAATAATAAATAAATGAATAAAATAAACATTTGATTTGTTCCTGTTTAGTCTATGTTACAATACCAGGTCCACCCACCAACGTGCATGCAACAGAAATAAACAAAACATACATTGTTCTGAGCTGGACACCACCAAGCCCTCGCGGACGGGCACCTGTGTGGTACCTCATTGAGAAGGTGTGTGAGCACTTCTATTTCTGTACAAAACATTAAAATAATGCTAAAATATATAATAATATGTAAAGTATGTAAAAAAAAAAAACTACAGTGGAAATCAAAATTACAAAGCAATTAGTATTTTTTTCAGAAATCATTGTTCAGAATCTGCAGGAGTTTTAGTTATGGAGGTACTAGTAGAACTATTTTTAAATGCATTTGCATTAATGAACATGGAATAACCATCCTGTATGAATGAACATGACTTCATGATATTTCACTATTATATATAAAATATAATATATATTATAAAATATATTTATTCTATATTTTGGGTTCAGTCTTTCCCAAATTTGGTGATAAAAATAATGTTTCAAATAGGGATTGTCAGATACTTCACCATGTGCCAAATTAGCACCAAAAACTAAGATGAGTTTAAAGTTTTTAATACTATGCTTTATAATACGTGTGTGAATTAGGAAAGGTGCTTTAAACACTGCTATTTTACTCCTGTTAGGAGAACTTCATAGGACTAAGTGGCCTTGAAATTTAGGAAATTGTAGGTTGTTCTTTTGATCTCCACTGTGGGTAATATTTAATGTATAATAACATTTAATAATTAATATGTAAAAATTCTATTAACCACCATTGTAATTACTAGTCTTTTTAATGTAGTATAAATAATGTATTGTAATGTAATTCATGTTTTATTGAATTTTAAAGTAAGAATTATATTAAATAATTAAATAAAGTAACTTGCAGTGTTACTGTTTGTTTTTGTAAAAGCTTTGTTTTTCCCATAAATCCTGGGTTATTAAAGTAAAAGTCTCTTCATAATGGCCATCTATGCCTGTCCGTGGCTTAGTGTGTAGGTGACAGTGACATCTGGCAGAGAGTCAACACTGCGGTCCAGCTGAGATCTCCCCGTTACCCTGTTTATGATATGGAGGACAAGAAAGCTTACCGTTTCCGTGTAATCACTGTCAACAAGTATGGCTCAAGTGAGCCATCAGAGCCAACGGCACCCATCCAAAAGGTGGACCTTTATGGTAAGAAGGCTCTACATGTCAAAGTGCAACCTAACAAACCTGCTAGTTGTGGTTGTTTGATGCAGAAAAAAATGTCAAATCAGCTGTCTGAAGATCACTAAAATGTTAAGCACCCTACAAATGCTTCTTGCGTAACTATACTTCCATGCTGTATATTTTGCAGGTATTGTTCCAAATATTGGTATGTATATTTATCTTACCACTGCATAATGCATTCTTTGTGATAAGGAAATCACTTCTCGTTCACATTACAAAATCCCTCCACAAAAACGTTGCCACTTTGTTGTTTGATAGTTAAAGTCTAAATTATATTACCCCTCCTCTGAAATTTAATTCTATTAAAAATATTTTCCAAGTGTTGTTTAATGGAGGCGGTGGCGCAGTGAGTAGCACGATTGCCTCACAGTAAGAAGGACACTGGTTTGAACCCAGGCTAGGTCAGTTTGCATGTTCCCCCTGTGTTCACGTGGGTTTCCTCTGGGTGCGCCGGTTTTCCTCACAGTCCAAAGACATGCACTAGGTGAACTAAAAAAAAAGCTTAATTGTCTGTTGTGTATACGTGTGAATGCACGAGTGTATGGGTGTCTCCCTGGGTTGGGTTGTGGCTGGAAGGGCATCCGCTGCTTAAAACATATGCTGGATAAGTTGGCGGTTCATTCCGCTGTGGCGACCCCTGATAAATAAAGGGACTAAGCTGAAAAGAAAATTAATGAATAGATGAATGAATGAATGAAGGTTTAATGGAGCTGAGTTTAATGGATTTTATTTTTAACACATTTTTAAACATAATGGTGTTAACCCTCTTAAGGCAGGCGTTGCTGATTTGCAACAGTTAAAAGCATAGATTTTGCCTGTTTCTAAAATTTAATTTGAGCCTGAAAGGGTTAAGAACTAATTTCTAATAAATGAATTATTTAGTCTTTACCATGATGACAGTACATAATATGTGTATACTTATTTAGCAAGAAACTAGTATTCAGCTTAAAGTGCAATTTAAAGACTTAACTAGGCAAGTTAGACAATCTATATATATACCAAATATATATATTATATATATGTGTGTGTGTGTGTGTGTGTGTGCGTGCGTGCGTGCGTGCGTGCGTGCGTGCGTGCGTGCGTGCGTGCGTGTGTGTGAGGGCTACAAATATTGACCTTAAAATATATATATATTTTTTTTTATTCAAATAAGACTTTCTTCAGATGAATAAAATATATAGGAAATACTTTGAAAATGTCCTTGCTCTGTTAAACATCACTCTTTATATCCTCCTGAGACCCCACCCATTCACTTGTGTCCTTTGTTACATTGCGTATTTATGAATTTTCTTGGAATTGTTTGAGCTACTTTGTCAAGTCCTGTTGCACTGTTCAGAGGACATCCTGTGCTTTCTAGTCATATGTCATTTGATTAGCTGGCATGCAGTTACTTGTAAAATGTAGATTTTTAGATGTTTTTTTGCTATTATTATTACATATATTTGTTTATTAAAGTGTCAGGAACAATACATTTAGCGTTTAAAGCTATTAATTTGTTTGTGTGTCAAAATATCTTTCTTTTTTAAATGTCCACTATAGTGAAAACCAGGACCATCTTAAAGTGATTAATGACTGCATGTAGTGGGGCGCAGATTTGAAGCAGAGAGGACTTTTTATAAGATAGTTGAGCGCAACTCTGATTTAGAGTCTGACAATTAGAGAATTACAAACAATTAGAGAATGACAATCAGTTTCATGAAATTACTTTTATGTTAAATTTGTTTCGGATTACATCACTCCCTTTTTCTTTTCTTTTTTTTCTTGAGTTCAGCTCTCTTTCAGGCTAAACTGTTTCAGGAATTTCAATACAAAAGGAAAAAAATGGCTTTTGTTTTGTTTTTGTTACATTAATATTGGATTAATATCCCTTTGCTACCATATCCTGTCCAGTTTTTGCAGTCGTTTCAAACTAAAATGGTCCTGTGGTCCACTACAGTGGACATGCTGTAAAATTAAAAATAAAAACAAAATGTAAAAACTCAGAATTTTTTTTAACCAAAAGGATGTAGCAAATCACAAAAAAAAAGAAAAAAAAATGATTTGGTTTTCAGGAGGATATATATTTGAAAAAGAAAGCAAATTTCACAGGAGGGCGAGTAATTTTGGCTTCAACTGCAGGTGTTTTAGTTCCACCTTCACACCCATTCACAACAACATGACGGGCTTTCACACCAGAACCATTACAGGAAGTACCTACTTTCTGGGTGTATTCACACTGCTAGAACTGAGAACTATTTTTGTTCAAGCAACACTATCTCTGGGGACTAAATTAGCATATCTCCTTCAGAGCAGGGTCTACTGCTAGAAAAACAGTTCTTAATAGAAGAATTTACAGTACAAAATCCAACCTAATTAAATTCTAAACAAATGGCAAACAGAATGCGTATCAAACAGAATCAGTGCTCAAATACAGTAAAATTATTCAAACTACAGCATTCCTTTAACTCAAGACATGATGAGCTTGTTTATACAAGATACAGTATTGGACACACTAGACTCAAGAGGAGAAATTGCTCCAAAATGTCAATACTGCAATTGTAGTCAAATTGTCAAACCCATACTCTTTGCAATGCCATATTTTTATTGTTTTCAGACAATTTTTATCTGGAGAGTCTTTAAAGTAATTACTTTTAAATGTGAATCCTTCAACAATTGGTAGAATTTTTAAATGTTACATTACAAATTTGTGTTTTATGTATTTTTTATTGTTGTTGATCTCTTTTTATTGTTTTAAACCTTCTTTATTATAGACAAATTAACATAAAAGTTTATTAAAACTATTAGAACAACAGGAGTTACAGTGATGTAAATGTTTGCCAGTTGAATGAATGGATGCCACACAGTAAGTTTTAAAATACATGCACACTCAGATATCTTATGTTAGTGCATTTAACTGTTGTCTTTTCTGTGGTGTTGTGTTCTTTTCTCAGCCTTGATGATAACTGCACAGCTCCATTTCGTCTTTATTATCATGAAACACGGCACACAATGTAAACAGCTTGTCCAGTTGAATTTTGTCTTCCATTCTACAGTTGTTGATTTTGTTAAATGGAGAGCTTGGGGTTGTTGTCCAACTGCTTATGTCACTTTACAATTTCTAGAAATGGTTTAATTGCAACCAGGAATATGGTTTGGTGGAAATTAGTTCTCAAAGAACCAGCCTGGTGGTTCCTGTATATGAAATGTGAAAGCCCCTATGGTCACCATCACTACAGCAGTTCACAGTTTCCACTCTTATTTTAGTCAATGACTGACAACATCTGATGATTAATTAAAATTTTTGGTTTGTGCAGGTGTTCCTTCTGCCCCGGGACAGGTGATTGCCTCCAGAAATACCAAAACGTCTGCTTTTGTGCAGTGGGATGCTCCGAAACATGCCACAAACCTCCTGGGTTACTATGTTGATGCCTCTGTGGTCGGATCCAAGGACTGGTTCCCCTGTAATCACAGGCCTTACAAACACACCAGGTAAAATGCGCACACACACAAAAAAAACCTCCCAAGTTGTTAGTCATGCGAGTCTTAGACTGAAATCGCCCCCTATACCCTTAAAGAGCCCTCATGATACATTGAAAAGGTCATATTTTGGTTTTACGGGTCTCCAACATCAGTCTGATATGCATGCAAGGTCAAAAAACACTTTCATTTGTCATATAGTATGAATTTATTTTTGCCTAATTATCCCAGCGACTCCCATATGAATCGTTCAGTGGTTCATTTGTTCCCAAACCCCTCTTTCGCACGATGCTAATCTGTGCTGTGCTGATTGGACCGATAACAGTCTGTTGCGATTGGACAGAGTGAAATGCCCACCATGGCTTATCAACTATATTGAAGTAGTCAGAGTGCATTGTGTGTGTGTGAGCATGCCCCCCTCAACTCCCACCCCCCCCCCCAACTCCACCAACTATACCTCACACTTACAGTAATACCCAGCTGAGCACAGCATTTCCATGACTTGATTCAACCGCCGTCTGCTACAGTGTTTGTCTTCCTCTTTTTCTTTAATATTGTTTGTGGGCGGTGCCGCAGATATCAATTTTCCCGCCTTTTTCATATCAACGTCACGGCTAAAGACTCGTTATCAAGACGATTCCCTTGAAGCACCATGAGTCGACTCTTTTATACATGAATCAATAGTTTTAGGTTCTGTGCACCTCTGTGCACTTTCAGATTTAAGCCCAAGCTGGATATTTCACTTCACTTAGAGCTGTGTTACACACTACATTTTTAGAAACCCATAATAGGGGCTCTTTATAAGCGTATGTGCTCCAAAACAGTGATAACACTTGCATTTAGAAGATCTAAAAATTTAAAGCTTACAATTTGTCTCTTCCATCTACACCAGGGGTCACCAAACTTGTTCCTGGAGGGCCGGTATCCTGCAGATTTTAGCTCCAACCCTAATCAAACATACCTGAACAAGCTAATAAAGGTCTTACTATGTATACTTGAAACACCCAGGCAGGTGTGTTAAGGCAAGTTGGAGTTAAACCCTGCAGAGACACCGGCCCTCCAGGACCGAGATTGGTGACCCCTGATCTACACTCTCAAAAATAAAGCAAGCTGTCACTGGGGTGGTACCTTTTCAAAAGGTACAAATTTGTACCTAAAAGGTTCATATTAATACCTCAGGGGTGCATATTAGTACCTAAAAAGGTAAAATGTGTTCCTCTTAAAATTTGTAGGTACTAATATATACTTTTGAGGTACCAATGTGGACCCTTCAAGTACAAAATGTGTACCTTTTGAAAAGGTACCACCCCAGTGACAGCTCTCGTACCTTTATTTCTGAGAGTGTATAATAGATCAATGATTTTTTTGACATCACCTCATACTTCAGATCATCTGACCAATCAAATGCTTGAGCTCAACCACTCTCACTGGCAGAGCTGTGATGAAAGCTAAATAATATTGGCTGTTTTTTGAAAAAGTGGAGGAGCTACTATATGTCCCACTATGTCTTTATGTTTTGATTAAAATGATATCAAAAAAAGGAGTGATCATTTCAAAGCACTTTATGAGACCTGTAATGGAGCAGTCTATTGGAGAAGCGCTCAAAACCATAGAAGAGGATCTGGAATGCATGTGTTCAGTCCCACAATAATTACAAGTGTACAAGCAAAGTACACTGAACGGCTAGAGCACAGGTGTCAAACTCCGTTCCAAAAGGGCCGCAGCTCTGCACAGTTTAGTTCCAACCCTTATTATACACACCTGATCAAACTATTTGAGTCCTTCAGGCTTGTTTGAACAGTGGCGCCCCCAGAAAATTTTCTTAGGGGTGGCCAAGTAAGGCCACAACAAATCTTGTGGTGGCACACAAAAAAATTATGAATTGTGTATATATTGTGAATAAGGAGTAATGTTATATTTTTGTTTTTGGTAAAATAAATAATGAAGTTTTAATGAATTCCAATAATTACTCTTGAAATATTGTAATTTATTCCGCAAGTACAAGTGCAAACCAAATAAAAATCAATATTTAGTCTAAAACCTCTATCAGGTAAGTTATTTCTTGTACAACATACAACATATGCCATGTCTAACATTAATGAATTATGAATAATGAATATGATTAATGAATGAATTAATAAACCAAACAAAACCCAACAAAATTTTGAAAAGCAGATTTCAAAATGCATCTAGTTATTTATTTTTGATTTGTGGTTTTCAATCAGATGAAACACAACTTTCTCATTTCAAAAATAACAATTTCTTAATAAAAAGTGTGCAATCTCATTGAATCAGCTTCGTCAGTGGCGCTGATCAATCCACAATAAATTTGGCTGAATTTTATTTATTCATTTATTTATTGAAGTATTGTGAATTTAAGTAAATACATTTAAATTAATAATATCAGCAACTATCATATTGGGGTGGCCACAGGGGTGGCCAGAGTTTACACAAGGGTGGCCGTGGCCACCCCTGGCCACCCCTTGGGGGCGCCCCTGTGTTTGAAACCTACAGTTAAGTGTGTTAGAGCAGGGTTGGAACTAAACTGTGCAGGGCTTCGGCCCTTTTGGAGCTAGAGAATACACATAATGAACTGTGGGAGTTTGTGCACCAGATGAATTCCTGAATACTGGCATCCAGTTGGCTTCTGTCACTTTAAGTTTCTAAATCAGGGGTGGCCAACCCTGTTCCTGGAGAGCCACCTTCCTGTAGATTTCAGTTGCAACCCATATCAAACACACCTGACTGTAATTATCACGTGGTGTTCAGGTCCTAATTAATTGGTTCAGGTGTGTTTGATATGGGTAGCAACTGAAATCTGCAGGAAGGTGGCTCTCCAGGATGGCCACCCCTGTTCTAAATAATATACTGCTAAATGGTTAAAGAATACATAAGAAATCACAATCCTTTGTTTCATTACTAATAGAAAGTTTGCTTAGTGTTAAAAAAAACTTTTACAGGGTCTGATCAATAAGTTTATTTTATTTTTATCAACCAGCGACACACAAACAAAATGGCATCCCTTCTGTTGCTTAAATTAACTCACTAATTTTTATTTACTCCTTTGAGTGGACTATGTTAGTGGACTAATTCAGGAAATAGTGAATGAGTGTATAGAGGCCGATTTCAGATACAGCCTTAGACTAGATTCTATAAGTAAGTTTACATTGGGCTTGACTATCTGGAGTTGCATTTTTCAGGTTTGTAGTCCATGGTTTGACCCCAGGAGATACCTATGTGTTCCGGGTGCAAGCTGTGAATGCATACGGATTGAGTGAGGAGTCGCAGGAATCTGCTCCTCTCTTCATTGATGCTGCGCTTAGTAAGTGTACAACTTTGCTGACTTCTGTAGCAATGTCTCTGGAATGTCCTCAGGAAAGCAGTGATAAATGGAATCGTTAGGAAAATGTATTATAATTAAATTATCCAACATTACAATGGACATGCAGTTAGAATATTAAATGTGCAAAAATATTAACCCTCGTGATGCATTCAAAATCTCTAATTCCAGACTGGAATGTTTTTTTTTATTATTAAACAGTCATAGGTTAATATTTTTCTACACATTCTTTTAACTAAAACTATATAGTGTCTGATTATAATGGATCTCATTGGGTAGTATGCAACTTGTGGTTCATATTGACACCTACTGGTGTGGCTGTAGAATGTGAAAATTCACTTCACCTTTATTTGTATAGCGCTTTTACAATGTAGATTGTGTCAAAGCAGCTTCACATAAAAGACCATAGTAAATTGAAATAGTGTAGTTCAGTCTTAAAGTTTAAGTTTAGTTCAGTTTAGCTTAGTTCAGTTTGATTTAATAATTACTACTGAGAGTCCAAACACTGAAGAGAAAATCCATAGATTAAAAAAAAAACAACCACCCCAACCCAACCTAGGAATCAGTCTCATGCTCTCCACTCCTCTATGACCACCACAGCAGCTGCTCAGGATACGGCCTGATCCATTATTATGGAAACCTTGGGATCATCTCGTCGCTGGTCTTGGATCGAATCAGTGGCAATGCATGGTCTAAGGGCCTCGGGAAGAATATCCCCAGGTTGAAATAGAGAATAAAAAGAATAATTAGCGTAGCTGCTGTTCATAGAGTATATAAATGAGATGAAGAAACCTGTGTAAAATATGCTAATACCCAACATGAGAGGATATATATAAGGTGTAGGAATAATACTAATAGTGCTGTCGCCTCACAGCAAGAAGGTCGCTGGTTCGAACTTCGGCTCAGTTAGTGTTTCTGTGTGGAGTTTGCATGTTCTCACTGCCTTCGCGTGGGTTTCCTCCGGGTGCTCCGGTTTCCCCCACAGTCCAAAGACATGTGGTACAGGTGAATTGGGTAGGCTAAATTGTCCGTAGTGTATAAGTGTGTGTGGATGTTTCCCAGAGATGGGTTGCGGCTGGAAGGGCATCCGCTGCGTAAAAAACTTGCTGGATAAGTTGGCGGTTCATTACACTATGGCGACCCCGGATTAATAAAGGGACTAAGCCGACAAGAAAATGAATGAATAAATGAAAAATTGGAATAATAATGTAGGACGTGTTTCACTGGTCAGAATGAGACAGTGATAAAGTGGTTGATACTGACACCTACTGGTGTGAAAGTATTACCATTCAAAAATAAGCGTTTTCAATTACAGATGAACAATTAAGGGTGGTTTTTTTAGGATATATATTTTTGGTTAGAGAAGAAGAAATATGTAAGTTGATCTAATGAAATCAGTGAGTATAGTTAGAATTGACTCATTTGACCTCAGAAATGTTTTTGGAAATAAAAGTGATTTCATAAAGAATATCAAATCTGTTTTCCAAGCTAATGATGTGGCTGAAATCATCTCATGTAATTTTGTATATGATTTTAAGCATTAATCAAAAATATGTTTATAATTTATTTATGGTGTCAATTTTATTTTTCCAATTCAAAAGGCACTTTTTTATATTTCAGTGCACTGTTTATATATATATATATATATATAAGGGGTCACCAAACTTGTCGCTGGAGGGCTGGTGTCCTACAGATTTTAGCTCCAGCCCTTATCAAACACGGCTGAACAAGCTAATCAAGGTCTTACTAAGTAAACTTGAAACATCCAGGCAGGTGTGTTGCAGCAAGTTGGAGCTAAACCCTGCAGGGACACCGGCCCTCCAGGACCTAGATTGGTGACCTCTGTCTTAGATTCTTAACAAGCCACATACAGATACAGTAAATGCATATTTTATCTCATACAGAGGGAGCGGTGGAGTATGGTATGTATGTCATATATTTCCATATCTAAAGTTTATTACATCCACTTATATTCGTCTGATATGAATGCACCAATCTAATAAATTAATCTCTTCTTTCATTCAGAATATAGTCACTGCTGTATGACTCACACACATACACGCACACACAATATACACAGTTGAAGTCAGAATTATTAGCCCCCTTGAATTACTAACCCCCCTGTTTTTATTTTTCTAAATTTCTGTTTATGCGAAAGAGAATTTTTTCAGCACATTTCTAAACATAATAGTTTTAATAACTCATTTCTAATAACTGATTTATTTTACCTTTGCCATGTTGACAGTTAATAATATTTTACTAGATATTTTTCAAGACATTTCCTAAAGTTACATTTAAAGGCTTAACTAGGTTAATTAGGTTAACTATGCAGGTTAGGATAATGTGTTCTGCAGACAATCGAAAAAATCAATAGCTTAAAGGGGCTAATAATTTTAACCTTAAAATGTTTTTTTTTTTAATCAAAAACTGATTTTATTCTAGCCAAAATAAAACAAATAAGACTTTCTCTAGAGGAAAAAATATTATCAGACATACTGTGAAAATGTCCACGCTCTGTTAAACATCATCTAGGAAATATTTAATAATAAAAAAATTAATTAAAAAAAATCAAAGGCGCGCTAATAATTCTGACTTAAACTGTGTATGTATATATAAAACTTCTTGCTCATTTATGAAATTATGGGTGTTCCTCACACTAATATGTATCACAGCATCTAAAAGATTCTGCTTAATTTTCCACCTGATTCTGTTTTGATCCACAAAAGCTCATCCACAGTCACTCATATTGTTTTTCCATCTTGATGAATGTTGTTCTCTCTCTTTCTGTCTGTGTGATCAGCTACTCCCTCTGCTCCGTATGGCATCAGCCTGCTCAACTGTAATGGATCCTCCATGACTCTGGCCTGGAAACGCCCCAAACACACCGGCGGCTCTAAGATCAGCTCTTACTACCTGGACAAGCGTGAGGCGGGATCAGTCGACTGGAAGGAGGTCAGCCCCAGCCCGGCTGTCCACAGGATTTTCACGGTATGCTATGTATAAAATGTATTTTCTATAGAAATATACAACAACAAAAAAAAAACTTTGCGAAACATTGGTTAATCCAATTAATCACAACCAAAATTAAAGTTTGTATTTACATAATATGTGTGTGCACTGTGTGTATATTTACTGTGTACATATAAATATGGGTATGTGTGTGTGTTTGTGTGTGTGTGTGTGTGTGTGTGTGTGTGTGTGTGTGTGTGTGTGTGTGTGTGTGTGTGTGTGTGTGTGTGTGTGTGTGTGTGCGTGCGTGCGTGCGTGCGTGCGTGCGTGCGTGCGTGCGTGCGTGCTTGCGTGCGTGTGTGACCTCAGACCACAAAACCAGTCATCATGAGTGTACATTTTTCGTAACTGAGATTTATACAACACATGAAAGCTGAATTAATCAGCATTTCAATGATGGAAATGACTTTCCATTATATAATATTTGTTCAAGATACAATCATTTGAGAATCTGTAAAAAGAGGGTTCAAAAAATTATAATATTGAGAAAATTGCATTTACAATGATCTAAATAAAGTTCTTAGCAACACACATTACTAATCAAAATTGAATTTTGATATAATTACAGTATTCAATTAGCAAAATATCTTGATGAAACATGATTTTTACTTAATATTCTAATGATTTTTGGCATAAAAGAAAAAAATGTCATTTTAAACCATACAATGTGTTTTTGCCCATTGCCAAAAAATGTATCAGTGCAACATAAGCATGTTTTTTATTCATATGTGTCATTTATGAATACATAATAAATATATACAGTATCATCTTTATAATGGATGTGTTTAATCACAGTTAATAGTTGCCCAGCACTTCAAAAAACACATTTATAATGAATATGTTTTTGTTTGTGTCCCTGGTTATTTCATACCTGGGTCCAGGTGGAAAATCTGACCGGTGGAGTGTTCTATGAGTTCAAAATTCAGGCTGCTAACTTGGCTGGAGTTGGCCTGCCATCAGAGCCCAGCAAACCCTTTGCCTGTGAGGCCTGGACAATGGCTGAACCTGGTTAGTACCCTGTTTACTACATTATTCACTGGTCAGTGTAGTGCAAGTGAAAAAAGTCCCCCAAAATAAGGAAACATAATAAATGCATTTAAATAAATAACTATCAGTCCATAATGATAAGTAAACATCACTGATATGTCATTGGGCGAAGCAGTGGCGCAGTAGGTAGTGCTGTCGCCTCACAGCAAGAAGGTCGATGGGTCGCTGGTTCGAGCCTCGGCTCAGTTGGCGTTTCTGTGTGAAGTTTGCATGTTCTCCCTGCATATGCGTGGGTTTCCTCCGGGTGCTCCGGTTTCCCCCACAGTCCAAAGACATGCGGTACAGGTGAATTGGGTAGGCTAAATTGTCCGTAGTGTATGAGTGTGTGTGTGAATGTGTATGTGTATGTTTCCCAGAGATGGGTTGCGGCTGGAAGAGCATCCGCTGCGTAAAAACGTGCTGGATGGGTTGGCGGTTCATTCTGCTGTGGCGACCCCGGATTAATAAAGGGACTAAGGCCGACAAGAAAATGAATGAATGATATATCATTGTGGTTCTCTAAAAAATTCTGAGTGAAATACTGTATGCTAAGTTGACTGTATAGCTTGAATAGCTGTTTTTTTACAAGGTGCGTAATCCTGCTTGAACAGTTTCTCAATTCCAGTCCTCGCACCCCACAGATCTTTTGCATGTCTCTTTTATTCAAACACACCAGATTTAGATAACCATCTCATTAGAAGAGCTCCATGCATGAACTGTGTTCTAACTGACACATCCTTACACTGTGCGCATTGTTGCCTAGTCCCTTTTCTTCATTGCTCTCTACCTGGGCACATTTCACTTCAAAATGCTCATTCATGGATTTACACAACAGCATTGCTTGCAGCATCTTACTAGAGAAGCATGAAGTGTGACATAATAAACTTCCGTAAATAAATGCAATATAAGTTCTCATATCACATGCTAACAAGTCATTTAAATGAAACATACATGCATCCTTCAAATTGAAATCAGAGTCTACTTTGCACTGCAGGGCACTTATTGTCAAATTGGAACAAAGGTCTGGCATGAAAAGAGAAACATACAAAATGTGCAGCGTCTTGGGTTGTTAGGTTCGGGATTGAGAAATACTGTGCAACAAGTAGCAAGTGTTCAATGTAGTCTTTAAGGGATGAACATAGTTAGTAATAATACTGTGTTTAAACAGTGCACAGTTGTTCTAAAGGGCCAAATGTGTGGCAAGAAAATATCCACCGGACAATTACACCATCACCACTCTGAACCATTGATACAGAATGGCAGAATGGATTCATGCTTGCATGTTGTTTGCAGCAAATACTGACCCTGCTATCTGAATATCAGACTAGGCCGCTTTTCCTATCTTTTTTGTCTAATTATGGTGAAACCATGCAAATTGCTTCAAAGTTAACTGCTGTGAAGTTACAAATGTTCATCTGCACACCTTGGCTGTAAGATTTATTGAGTTAAGGCCTTTTCACACTAAGTGTGAATTGATAATAAAACGTTCATCATTCTGAATATGCAGCATCTCATATGTTTTTTATTGAATTTAACCCTGTAATGTTTGCAACTACATCAGAAACAAAAAGGATGTAAATGTTTTTGTGGACACTGAGTCTTTATCAATAAGTTCTCTGCTCTTAGATAGCAAAATGAAAAACATTGAAGATCCATTTATTCCAGAACACTTTTTGATTCCTCTATACTGTTATTCAAAACTGCTTTCTGTCCCATAGCACCAGCAGACTCTTTTGACCAACAACAGCCGCAGCAGCTCCCAGCATGTGATTTGAGACTTAAATCTAATTACCTCAAAGTTTTTTTTTTTTTTTCAGTTCTCAGACCAGCCAAACAACTATTTAAAGTCAGTGTCCAGAAAGTATAGGCTGCACGTTCATGAGAGTGCTGCACTCTTTATGCTTGTCAAGCTGATAGATAGTCAACAGATAGATAGTTAAGCTGTTTTATAGGTGATACATATTAAAGCAACTCATAAGTATCTACAGTATATATATATATATTGTCAATATATATATATATATATATATATATATATATATATATATATATATATATATATATATATATATATATATACACACACACACACACACATATATATATATATATATATATATATATATATATATATATATATATATATATATATATATATATATATACATATATATATGTATGTATATATGTATATATATATATATGTATGTAATGCACATCTTGTCTAAACTGATACTTTCTCTATTTGTCATCAGGTCCAGCATATGACATCAGTTTCTGGGAAGTGCGTGACACCTCCATTTTGGTGCAGTGGAAACCCCCTGTGTACACCGGACAGAGTCCCGTCACTGGTTATTTTGTGGACATGGCTAAGAAGGGCTCATCAGATTTTGCCACAGTAAATGCTGAAAAAGTTGAACATTGCTTCCTGAAGGTATAGCACCAGAATTCCCAAAACAAACACAACACTAAAGAAAAACAAAAACATACTCAGATGTTTGTACACTCATCTGTAGGTCACTGGACTTGAATCTGGAGCGTCATATGTGTTCAGAGTACGGGCTGTCAATGACAAAGGTGTTGGAAAAGCCTCAGACTTGTCTGATCCCATATGTGCAAAAGCACTGCCAGGTAACTACAACACAGCTCTACCACCAATTATAAGCACTCAATAACTATAATTTATTAAAGGGATAGTTTACCAAAAAAGACACTTCATTGCCATTTGTTTACACTCAAGTGGTTATAAACTTTTATGATTTGTTTTTCTTCTGTTAAACACAAAACAAGATATTCTGAAGAATGTTTTAGCAGCTATTGACATCCATAATACTAGTAATAGTACATAGTTAAAAAAAAATGTTCAAATTACTTATTTAGAATTAGCTGCATCATTGAAATTTTTGGGACAACTTAATTTTTTATGTTTAATCCACTAAAATTTATCAAAACAATTAGCTTAACTTAATTCAATTGTGTTTGGACAATGTGAATGAATTGTGTGGACTCCTTTTTAACAGTGTAGGAACAAAATAAACCATTGACAGTCAATGGCTGGTACTTTCTTGCATTTTTCAAATGATCTTCTTTTGTGTTGCAAAGAAAGAAACAAAAACTTCTCTTTAGGGTGAACTGTCTCTTTGTGTGCAGCATTTAATTTTTGTCCAACCTTTTGTTTTCTACTTCATGTACGACAGTGAATATTAGATTAGATGACTCCTTATGTGTTTATGCAAGATATGAAAGCTTGTTTATTATTATCCTGCTTGTTTTGTTTTTAAGGTACAAAGGAGATTGTGTGCGGTGTGGATGAAGAGACTGGTGACATTTTCCTGAAGTTTGAAGCTTGTGAGGTTTCTGAGACCTCCAAGTTCATTTGGTCAAAGTCCTACAAGGAAGTCACTGAATCAAGCAGAGCCTCGATCACATCTTCTGGAAGACAGTATGTTAGATCTGTGTGGATTTCTGACATTAAATCTTCGACACCTATGACAACGCCAATAACGTATGATCTCAAAATAAATTCAAATCTGCTTTCCCAATATGGCTTGAGCTTTATCAGTTTTTTTTTGTACAATTTATTAGTGTTTTCAAACCAGTAAAGCATATTTTAGTACTAGCAAAACATAATATTAATGGTTCGTAAACTACAGTAGGTGAGAGTTCAAAGTGACTATTACCGCCGGGGCATATACCGCCGCCGTTTGAAATTGCTGCCGCAAATACAAAACATACTGAGCCATTATGTAAAAAAAACAAAGCAAAACAACAGTTATACTTTAAAGCAGAACATGGAACTGAAAGAAAAAAATGGAACTGAAACTAAATTATTAAAAATAAACATGCCAGACTTAATTTATGTCCTATTTTCATTATTCATTTATTTTCATTATTCGTTTATTTTTATGTACTATAATTGAAACATAAAATGAGATAGTAAAATATAATCAACAACGAAAATGTAAATAAAAACGTAAATTAAAAACATAAATGAAAATGTCTTGTCTCAGTCCTATCAAAATACCAAACACTGAACATCTCTCTATATTTAGGTTAAAAGACTGCTTTATAGATTTATTTATTTATTTATTTATTTAAGACTACTTATTTGTACTGAATGTTTGTGCTTTCATTTAGTTGTCTTTTATTTCTTCAATTCTATTTTCCAAAACGAATCCTCTTTGCACTTAAAAAGTTTACAATAAGCCAGGTAAACAAATTTTTAATGTAAGTTGAGGTGATCGCAAGTTCACAACTGTGAGGTGATGTGCTCTACCGGCAGGATAATCTATATTATTTTGCTGTTTTTCATATGTTTCACGTTTAAGATTTGAGGTAATAACATTGCCATGATGGTCAAAGAAATCAAAACATTATTTTCACTCCAACGCAATTTAATCAGGCACTAAAGGCTAATAACTTAATTCTTATATTTGCTTTTTGAAGCCTATGACTTCTCACCATGTATCTTTTCTACAGCATACAGTATAGTGTAAGAGCATGTCTATTACCGGGAAAACTAAATTAAAATTATATTTTAATTGAACACATCACATCACATACAGTAAGATCCGCCTACAGAACAGTCTGTTTAGCATTGTGAAAAGGCAAAGCTGAATATCTGTGGTTAAAGTGCTACCCAGCGGTCAAATGCTGCTGGCGCATCAATTACCGATGTCGCCGCGGTATGAATGGCGGCAAAAGGAACACATTGAAGTAGTAACATCTGTACATGCCATAAAGACGGCAATAATTATTTTTAAACATAAACAGACAATGTGCTTTATGCAGATTAGATACACAATGACTGTTTCTCAATTCCAAGAACGCGGAGATCAGGCTTGTGTTCTTGCTAGGTGTCCTTGAAAGAACGAACTCGGGAGACCACAAGAACAGAGAACGCGTCCTGTGAGAAATGAGATGCTGCGTTCTTCCTGATGGTCACATGACCTTCACTCAACAGAAAATCATTTAAACATTTCAGCATTCATACAACGATTTATTGTTTTTCCCCTTTATAAAATATATACTATGCATAAAGACTTTACAAATATACATTGCACAATATAAATAAAACAGATTTTATTACGAATTTCAGCAAACAAGCATCCTTAATGTATTTAATCCGTTATTTAGATGTCCATGGCAATGTTTATATTCACCGTTTTATTTACGGAAACTCCTGAGGTGAATAAGTTGTATCTCTGAACTTGAATTATGATCAGATATATTATGCTGCACTTCTCATTGCAGTCGCAATGACTTCTGGGACTTCTAGAGTGAGATCGAAGCTCAAGTCTGCATCAGTGTGTCCTCGATATCAAGAACACATCCAGGAAGTTTCACGCGTGCTTTGTTCTTGCGGTCTTGAGTATTGAAACTGAACTTTGGCAGCTGATGATGATGTTACACAAGGATGCAAGACCGCTGAAGAACGCATATTGAGAAACAGCCAATGTTTATGTTACTAGAATGTTTGTTCTATACTTCTTCCAGTTATACAGACAAATACTTTCATGTATTTTGGGAGAGTTTGATGAAATAACGTTGTAAATCCAGCAGCTCTAATCTCTCCACTGCAGCGCAGACTAACATGGCAGAAAAGAAACTACAAACATACAATGCTTTAATCTAGCTGTAAGTTTATTGTGCTAAAACTGATGGAACAATGAAAACTGTGATGTGGTGCATTTTAAATAACAGTCACTGTAATAAAGCTCACACAGGGGTGTCAGTCGTAGTATTGAAAGGGTTTACAGTAGCACAACCAGATGTGATATGTGCATGATAAACTGGCAGTTATTATTTATTTGGATAGGTGTGTAAATATTATTCATAAATAAACTATGATTATACAAGTCTAACCGTAGTTTAATCTGGGAATTTGTAGTAAAACTGTGAATATACGAATGTAATTAAGGACTTGCTTACTACACAAACATATGGTTCGTTTTTTTTAAGGGATTCACTGTTATGATTCCTATTATACACAAGCCTAAAAGTTATAGTTCACCCAAAAATTAAAATATTTGTCATTATTTACCTACCCTTTCACTTGTTTCAAACATGTTTGACTTTCTTTCTCCTGTTAAATACTAAAGAAGACCATTGGGAAAAAAGGTTTTGAGATTTCTTAAGAACATCTTCTTTCGTGTTCAACAGAATAAATCTCAAAGTTGAGTGTAATTAAATAGTGAGTAAATTGTAAATGTTTGTATAATTCTTCAAACTATCCCTATATAAAGCTTATAAGCACATCATACAAATCATTTTATTTATTCAGCTAAATTTGCAACCAGTTTAACAAATAGGGTATATGCCGGGCTGGTGTGTTTCCCATACTGATAAACTTCCAGTGACCTGTTATTGTGAATTTTTCTCCAATTCATACGGTTCCTTTTACAGCATTGATGTTGTAATGTAATTAAAATACATTCAGTTAAATAAACTTTGCCATTCATTTAGTTGCTCAAGCGTAAAACGAGACAAAAAGCCTTTTACCGTCAGAATCGGCAGGATAGCGCAGAAGCTCCATTGAATATACTGGGGTAAAATAAATGCTCATTTTATAAAGACATGGCAGGAAAAAATATGGTTTGATGCAGTGCTTCTTGTACAATCTGAGACTCACGTTATATCGGATATCACTCAGCTAGTGGAGATCTCTGATTTTTAAAGAAATCTGACCTCAAATGCACCAATTTTTGCATTGGCATACAGTTGACCAGATGCGCTTAACCCAGGTTACTGGCAAATTCAAAGACCTGTTAGCATGCTTCAGCATATACTCTATTAAATTATTGCTACAGCTTCATAATATACTGAAGTGTTACTCAAGAGTGAAGTGGTGTAAACTGACTAAAGCTGTCATGTGTTATTTCAACAAGCTCAAAGCTGACATTCGTGAACCCCGAGAAGGAGGATCTGGGAATCTACTCTGTTGCAGTGACTGACACAGATGGAGTTTCATCCAGTTACTCTGTCAATGAAGAAGGTCAGAGATTTGGGTGTGAATTTCCCTTCCTTTGTTTACTTACAACGGAGGAGCTCAGTGAAAATAATCCCTGTTTTTCTTTACAGAGTTAAAAAAAATGCTTGATCTGAGCTACAACATCAGACACCCCAGTAAGTTGCTAGTGGGTTTTTCATTCATGCGTCGGGCTATTTCGTAGAAGTGATTTATTTAATGGCTTTCGACTTTTTCATCAGTTGTTCCACTGAAGACGGAGCTGAACTATGAGATTCTGGAGAAGGGTCATGTGCGTTTTTGGGTTCAGGCTCTGAAGCTGTCCTCCTCTGTCAACTATAGGTTCATTGTCAACGATAAAGCCATCTCAAGCACTGAGGTACAGCCCATCTCTACACCAAAACCAAAATCACACATGATATTTATTAGATTTTTAAAGATATTTCCCTAGTAACCCCTTTACTTATTTACTATAATAGGCAATTAATAAGTATTGGTGGTTGCCAAGATGTTGCTTTTTATTTGCTAATGTACAGATTCTATGATATTAAAGCACCCTAGCAACCACAATGGAGTACTCTAACAACCACACACATTAGCAACTGCGCATCAATGTGAACCAGAAGTTGCTGAGTGTCCTATCTCAACATGTTGATGTACTTCCAACTGCAATGGAATTTTTCTTTTGGGCATCATTCCCTTATAGCAAACTAACTGTAAGAGAGGGTATTAATATACAGTTGCTATGGAAGCCCTCAGGTTGATGTCAACAGTAGGACCGCCACTCCAAAGAAGCAGAAGCCAGTGGTCAGACATTCAGTGAAGACTTTTTCAGTGGATTAACTTGGACTGATTCTATTTTCAGCCTAAGTATAAAAATGACTATACGTTTACATGGACATTAGTAATCAAATTATTTGCTTTAATCTGATTAAGAGAATAATAAGACTAAGGTGTTTACACGAGTTGCTTTTTGAGTGTTACTTTCATGATCCTGTTTTACACGTTACAGCACGGATTTCAAATAACGTCATTGAGTCATTGCGCTATCCACCTTTCCTCCAGAGTTTCATGCATGTTTCATTTTTAATTTGTCGACTTTAACTGCACTTTGTCACTTTCACTTTCATTTACGAACATTTAATACACCAAATATGTTGTAACAAATAAGATACTAGATGCAACTATGAACTGCTGGAAGTGTTGTTTTAATGGAAGTTCATACCGCATGCTGAAAAAAAGAAACAGATTTCACGATGCAGATATCTATGGTCTGCACTGACTGGGTAAGTGCACGTGTGTGTGTGTGTGTGTGTGTGTGTGTGTGTGTGTGTGTGTGTGTGTGTGTGTGTGTGTGTGTGTGTGTGTGTGTGTGTGTGTGTGTGCGCGATATCCTGTCGCAAAATGCAGCGAAAAGTCCTACATGGCGGTAATAGTTCGATTAAGGTGTTTACATGCCTGTACTGCACTATAATAATGTGACTAAAATCAACATACTCAACATGTCTTAATTTGATTTCTCTTTAGTTCGATTATGACCTTAATCTGATTTATTTAATCAAAAATTACTGTTTATATGGATAACTCTTCATCAGAGTATTGTCTTAATCGCATTAAAATCTAATTATTTTAATTTTTCAATGACTATGTTTACATGGACATCAGTAATCGAATAATTTGCCTTATTCTGATTATAACAATAGTATGATTAAGGTGTTTATATGAGTTGATTTTTTTATGTTCTTTTTTGATCCCTTTTACATGTTATACTAACAAAAAATTAAGCGGCAAAAACTCCTATGATGGTAATAGTTTGATGTTTACAAGGTGTTTACATGTCTGATGTACTTCAATAATGTGACTAAAATTGACATACTCCATGTCTTAATCCGATTTCTGTTTAGTTCGATTATAACCTTAATCTGATTAAATTAATCAAAAATTGCTGTTTACATGGTAGACTCTTAATCAGAGTATTGTCGCAATCAAATTAAAATCGGATTATTGGTGTCCATGTAAACATACTCAATGTGACCTAAAAAAAACATTGTAAATTTTGAATTTTAAGCGCACTTTAAGCTTTACTTTTTGCTGTGTACAAATATTACATTTACAAATCATAAGCAAAATAATTTAATTGTTGTGTACTATTTTCTATAGTTAAAATTTATTCATATTTAAATTACAGCATTAAGTCAAATGACAGTGTTTTGCAAAAAAAAATTAGGTCATTTATGTTTTTTTTCTTAAACAAAAAATTGAATATTAGTATTCTAGTGGTTGTTGCTTTGTGGTTGTTGTCATTTCGGTTTGGTTCCAAGTTATAATAGGTGCTTTCTTAGGATTTTTGAATGGTTGCAAGAGTGATGCTATATTGCTTGGACAGGGGTTACCAATCCTGTTCAATTCAATTCAACTCATGTTTATTTCTATAGCACTTTTTACAATGTATATCGTGTCAAAGCAGCTTAACACAGAAGTTCTAGTAAACTGTTCCTGGAGTGCTACCTTCCTTGCAAGGCTGACCACACACACCTGTATGTAATTATTAAGTGCTGCTTCTGGTCCTAATTATTTGGTTCAGGTGTGTTTGATCTGGGTTGGAGCAGGCTGTGTGGTTGCTATGTGGTAGCTAGGCTATTAGGTTTCAAGGGTGTTCTGTATGGTGGCTAGAGTATTCAGTGTATATTCTGTGTATTTCTTAAGTGTTGTAGGTGATTGCCACAGTATTTAGGTTGCTAGTGTGCTGATATGTGGTTGCTAAGGATTTAAGGAGTACTAGGGTTATTATGGGTCTGTAAGTAACTTTATAGCAACTGTGTAGCCACACCCTGACCATATCAACCATTTAGAGCACCCTAGCAACTTCCTTGCAGCATCCTACAACACCAAGGTAACAGCAGCAAAGATTTTTGCACCACTAACATTGTGCTTGTCTAGTTGTTATGACAGTTATGTCAAAATATCTGGTTATTATTATGGTTATTATTTACTTGTTATAGTATTTATAGTTTATTATATATATATATATATATATATATATATATATATATATATATATATATATATATATATATATACATATATATATATGAAAAAATGGGTATTTACTCGGTCATTTACTTGTATATATGTATGTGCATACTGTATGTATTATTTATCAGGTAAAACCTTCATACCCTGATAAAAGTATTAATAAAATGACTTCACTGTGGTTTTAGGGTTACAAAATCAGCCATGATGTTTCCACTGGAATCATTCAGATGACTATTGAGCATTTCACCAAGGCCAATGAAGGCACTTACACCATCCAGATCCATGACGGCAAAGCCAAGAGCCAAAGTTCACTGGTTCTCGTAGGAGACGGTAAGAGCCTGACATCATGTGCATCCAGTCACAGTGTAGTTGTGGGATTTCTGTGAGAATAAAATCCTCAGTGACCAAATGTTTATTGCATTTGTCTAATTCTAGCATTCAAGGTTGCTCTAAAAGAGGCTGACTTTCAGAGAAAGGAGCACATCCGAAAACAAGGTTTGTGAAACAGCATGCCACAAAACATCTCACTGTTATTCATTTCAGGGTGTTTTTTTTCATTATTGATCTTTTCCATTATTCTGCTTCTCTCAGGCCCTCACTTCTCCGAGTACCTGTCTTTCTACGTGACAGACGACTGCACAGTGATGCTTGTCTGCAAGGTAAATGCAGGTCAAAATTGAAAGAGTGCTAAATGTTCATACCATAGTTTCATATCACTGTTCTCACCTAATGTTTTCTCCATAGTTGGCCAATGTGAAGAAAGAGACTAAGTTCACCTGGTTTAAAGAAGAAGAAGAAATTACAGTTGATGTTCAACCAAACCCAATGTCTGGATCTTGCTCTCTTCCAATCCCAATGGTATGCTATTCTAGCAATCATGAGTTTAATTAAGAATTAAAGGGGCTGTATGTTGAATTGAACTAGATATTGCAGTCTAAATTCAAAATATAGACAGGCTTCATGCAAACGCAGGTTGCCAAATTGATGAAACCAGGGGTCCGTTCTTCGTACCTTGCTTAAATGATCTAAGATGAATTAACATATTATGGATCTTTTAATTTTGATAACTAATCATTGGCTAATTTGGTTCTTCAAACAAGTTCGCGAATCAGATTAAAATGTCTGAAAGTACTGATCTGAGATCGCTGTGTGTGCTGTGAAAGACTGATCTATCGGTCCTCGAAACTATGGTCAGAAAATTATATAAAATTTGCAGTGAACAGTTTGTAAAATATGATACGCAATAACTTTACACTTTTGTTGTTGACTGCATGCTTTACACTTTCATGTGTCATGTGTATTTAGCAATTTATTTAGTTTTACATTTAGAGTTGATTTTCTTCATTATAGTCGCCTAATCAAGTTTTTTAATTGGTGTGAGGAATAACTGACTGTTTAAATTAATATTGCATCAAAAAAGCATTTTGACATTGGTAAAAGTTTTTGCAACTTTAGCGAATCATCAAATCACAGTCAAGAGGGGAGAATATTGTGCATGTCTATTATTATACACAAATTTTACTAAAGCTGGTTTGGTGTATATATATATATATATATATATATATATATATATATATATATATATATATATACATATATATATATACATAGATGTGTATGTATGTGTGTGTGTGTGTGTGTGTGTGTGTGTGTGTATATATATATACACACACACACCCACACACACACACACACACACACACACACCCAGTTGAAGTCAGAATTATTAGCCCCCTTCGAATTTTTTCCTTTTTTTTTTTATGTTTTACAACTGATGTTTAACAGGGCAGGGAAATGTTCACAGTATGTCTGATAATATTTTTCCTTCTGGAAAAATTCTCATTTGTTTTCATTTTTCTTTTTGGCTAGAATAAAACCAGTCTTTAATTTTTTAAACACCATTTTAATGACAAAATTATCAGCCCCTTTAAGCTATATTTTTTCTCGATAATCTACAGAACAAAGCATCATTATATAACAACTTGCCTAATTCCCCTAACCTACCTACTTAACCTAATTAACCTAGTTAAGCCTTTGAATATCACTTCAAGCTGTATAGAAGCGTCTTGAAAAATATCTAGTAAAAAAATATTTTCTGTCATCATGGCAAAGATAAAATAAATCAGTTATTAGAGATGAGTTATTAAAGCTATTATGATTAGAAATGTGTTGAAAAAATCTTCTCTCCAATAAACAGAAATTGGGGAAAAAAATAAACAAGCGGTCTAATAATTCAGGGGGGCTAATAATTCTGACTTCAACTGTATATAATTATTATTATTTGTTTATTTTTTAATAAACTATTAATATTTTTCCAAGTTTATATAATTACTAAGAAAATATCAGCATTCGGTACATACTGACACTATAACCTTTGCTTGAAAAGATCCAAACAGATCCTTTTTATATGTAATAAGCCTGCTTCAGAGCAGGTTTGAGCTACCATGCCTGTTGCTATGACAACAACTCATCCAAGAGTTTTGAAAAACGAAACAATCCTGGATCATGTCAAATGATCAATAACCAAATCCAGCTCCATGTACGAAGAACGGACCCCAGCAGTGGTCAGCTAATGTTTACGTTTGTAATATTTGTATTATTTGCTAACTAAAACCACCTCATGTGGCTTTTTATAACTGAATAAAAGTAGACCTACTGATTAGACCAAAGCAAAGACACGGAATGCACATTCACTTTTTAAGATTCACTTAACATGTTTCTTAAATATCTGCAAACTATTATTGAGTATGTGCTTTAAAAGAGTAAAAAAACTACTTGCAGCACCTTAAACATAAGTGTTTAGAAGAGCTTTGTATATAGTATTTCATTGCTCTGTTTTGATTTAATTTTTCAACAGTTCTCCAGGAAAGATCAGGGAATTTACAAAGCTGTACTGAGTGATGACCGTGGAAAGGATACCTCTGTCTATGACATCTCTGGCAAAGGTCTGTCTCTGAACTGAGGATAAACATATTGCATCATTTCTTTCTTTTCTGTCAATTCAAATAAATATATTGCTATTTAGAGCTTTTTTTCCAGACATTTTGGTCAAAATAACAAATGTTTACCAGCAAATAATGATTTCTTATACGTTATATAATTTTATCCATTATTTGTTTGTTTATTAATCTAAAGTTTAAAATATTGGTATTCTGTTGTCTAAAAATATATTTAATTAAGTATAAAAACACAGCAAATATTTTGTTATTTCTACCAATTGTCATTTTATGCTAAAAATGTAGAAGAAATGTATTAAGTATTTTTCAGAAAACAATATTTATATATATATATATATTTATTTATAAAAATAACTTAATAAAATGATAAAATTATTTCAAAAAGACTCAAGACTTCTTATAATGGTATACAGTTGAAGTCAGAATTATTAGCCCCCCTGTTTATTTTTTCCCCAATTTCTGTTTAACGGAAAGAAGATTTTCTCAGCAAATTTCTAAACATAGTAGTTTTAATGATTCATTTCTAATGACTAATGATTTATTTTATCTTTGCCATGATGACAGTAAGTAATATTTGACTAGATATTTTTCAAGACACTTCTATACAGCTTAAAGTGACATTTAAAGGCTTAACTAAGATAAGTTAACTAGGCAGGTTAGGGTAATTAGGCAAGTTATTGTATAGCGATGGTTTGTTCTGTAGACTATCAGGAAAAAATATAGCTTAATGGGGCTAATAGTTTTGACCCTAAAAATATAAAAAACTGCTTTTATTCTAGCCGAAATAAAACAAATAAGACTTTCTGCAGAAGAAAAAATATTATCAGACACACTGAAAATTTCCTTGCTCTGTTAAACATTTGGGAAATATTTATACAAGAAAAAAAATTTAAAGGGGGGCTAATATTTCTGACTTCAACTGTATGTTATATGTTAATGGTTATTACGTGGCATAAAAGGTCACTTAATTAAAAAAATATAGCTAAATTAAATCGTGAGCTAATTACTTGCCTCTGCAACCAGTACTTAGTCACATATTTAAAGTCTTTGGTTGGTGTAAAAAATTAATATTTAATGTATTGATCAATGGAGTATTAATGTTAAAATCTAATCGAAAATATTAACTAGGCTATTGAATCGAAAAAGCAATAATACCTGTGTCCTAAACAGATGTGACACGACAACACCAGATATCAAAAAAAAAAAAATATATATATATATATATATATACGTATGTGTGTGTGTGTGTGCGTGTGTGTGTATATATATCATTGAAAGTCAGGGAAACATCAGGACATTTCTAAAATTATATTCAGACATTATTTATCATGTTAAAATATTAGTTATTTTTTTTCTCTTTTGGGCAGTGTTTGAGGATATCATCAATGCCATCGCCAGTATTGCTGGTATGTTTACACTTTTATTATTCATTTATTCATTCATTCATTCATTCATTCATTCATTCATTCATTCATTCATTCATTCATTCATTCATTCATTCAAATTTAATGTACATGTACCATTACTACTACAGTTTAAATGGTTTGTGTTTCATCACAGGTTCCTCCGCCTCTGATCTGGTTCTTCAGTGCACACCAGAGGGAATCAGACTGCAGTGCTACATGAAATACTACACAGAGGAGATGAAAGCCAGCTGGTTTCACAGGTACATCTGCATGGCAAGAAACTCTGTGGTTTAAAGGGCCATGACACCCCCCACTTTCGGTTAAAGTCTACTTCAGAATTTTTTCAAAAGATGCATGATTAATGGGCGTGGAGCTCCGCGAGCATCGGGCAGGAGTGGGCGTAGCCAGCAGGGGATAAGGGGAGCGAACAACTGTTGTTGTCAGTCAGCTCACAAAATGAGACAAACCGTGAGGAGACGCATGAGTTTATAGTTCACAAAGTTAAAATGCAAAGAAATGAACAGTAATTTAATGCCCTGCTACATTTGTTATTCGTTATTTCATATACACAACCACAATTTATATCATTATAAAGATAAATGTGTTCATGTAAACCCTTACCAAAGACTTCTCCCTCAATCCCCGTATCCAGCAGACTCAGTGCAGCAGTTCTCCTGACCTGTCTATTTTAACTATTAGCCCTGCTGGTAATCTGGAGGATTTAGGCAAACACAGCATCACAGTGATGTGTCTGAATGTGCACGAACTCCTGATAAAAGACAGCGTCCGCCATTCTCTAATTCTCGTGCTGCTATCCCGACAAAAATGCTAGCAACACACATACAGCTTTGCAGTATGATCGGCCCTGACAAGATCGCGGGGGAAAACATGCAACAAACCCCGTGAATCATGGAAACAAACACATATGAGCCTTCATGAACTGTCGGTCTGTGTCTCACAGCTCGGGCTTGACTCTGGCAGGTCTGGCAGGTCTGATGAATAATTAAGCAGCCGGCTCTTCTCATAGGATAAGAAAACTCCGCTATGAATAATAATGAGAAACCGCAGCGTCATCATTGCACTTGCAGTACTGCGCTACGTCGCCGATTTTGATCCTGCCCCAAAAATCATTTTAAACCCAGAAGCTGAAATTAGCTGACAAAAGCTCAAAATTATCCAGTTTTCCCCACAATTAAAGCTGACAGGTGCTAACATTGTCTCAACTGATGCTCAACACACACAAATCTGTTAATATATAAAAAAAAAAAAGTTCTCCGCGGTGTCCTGAACCTTTAACTGTGCTGAAATGATTTAATCTGGTTCATGATCATGCAACCCAAAATGACTGTCTTTTTTGTGGTTTTGTCTTTTAGAGAGAGTAAGATCTCTTCCTCAGAGAAGATGAGAATCGGGGGCACATCTGAGATGGCCTGGATGCAGATCTGTGAGCCCACAGATAAGGAAAAGGGTTCTTATGCCATTGAGATACATGATGGGAAAAAGGCACACACTCGTAACTTTGACCTTTCTGGACAAGGCAAGTGGAGAATAAACCACTGAATGATGCAGGTTCAGCATTTGATATATTGACCTTATTCTTCACGTAGGAGCAGACGCAGCCATTTGCTTTGTCTGTTTAGTCGTGCACACACTTGTTTGTAGAGCAAGAATTTTACCTATTTTCTGTGCTTCATTATTTCTAGTCATTTCTCCTATAGGCAACTGAATCAGAGGTTCTAAAACAATTGCAAAATTGAGTGCACTTCCGCATTGAAGAATAAGGTCAATAAAGCTGATACTGTATTTGAACAGCGATTCCTTCTGTTATTTTTTGGCAGGGTGGTAAATCTGTCCTTTTGTGTTAATGGAAAATAAATCCATTTGTAAACTATAGTGAACACCTATAAATACTGATCATGCATTGATCAATCTTATATCGTTTAATTTAAACAAAACAATAGGTTTAAATTTGTATTTTTAATAGAAGTGAACATAAACTGGGCGAGGCAGTGGCGCAGTAGGTAGTGCTGTCCCCTCACAGCAAGAAGGTCGCTGGGTCGCTGGTTCGAACCTCGGCTCAGTTGGCGTTTCTGTGTGGAGTTTGCATGTTCTCCCTGCCTTTGCGTGGGTTTCCTCCGGGTGCTCCGGTTTCCCCCACAGTCCAAAGACATGCGGTACTGGTGAATTGGGTAGGCTAAATTGTCCGTAGTGTGTAAATGTGTGTGGATGTTTTCCAGAGATGGGTTGCGGCTGGAAGGGCATCCCCATCTCCTGCAACTTGCTGGATAAGTTGGCGGTTTATTCTGCTGTGGCGACCCCGAATTAATAAAGGGACTAAGCCGACAAGAAAATGAATAAATGAATGAATGAACATAAACTGCTTGAACATCTTATTTTTTTTGACTATTGATATACTGTTAACGTTATCAATTGTTAGCTAATAGATATCATTGTAAAATGTTAACAACAACTTTGGTATATAATTGTAAAATGTATGTAAATGGTAACAGTTCTAAACCATTTCAACGGCTAATATTGGCAGAAATAAACAGAATTTCTCATGTATGTTTCTTTTGTAATGTGTTTTTTACTGTTTTAATTTGGTTCAACAGCATACACTGATGCCTATGCAGAATTCCAGAGACTGAAGTAAGAGAAAGTTCATTGTTAATTTTCAACACAATCATGATTCTTCTGAAGAATCAGCTCAAAAACTGAGCCAGACACACTGACATTTCTCTACTTCTTTCCTCAGAGCGGCTGCCTTTGCTGAAAAGAGTGAGTATTTCTGGGAACTGCTTAAATGCAACATTAATGAGGGTCTAATCCGATATTCATGCATACTTGAACTCAGGAAGTATAAAGCTTTGTACAAGTACAATAATCCCATTTAATAAGCTTAGGAATGTGTTCATATTTCAGAATTATGACCCAGATTTTTATATGTGAAAATAACCCATTTATTATTAAATTGACTTTTGTAAGACTCAAAACTATGATTTTAAAAATATTCCATTGGAAACAGTGTCCAAATGTGTTAAATTACTTATTTGCCCTTTGTAGATCGTGGTAGAGTGATGGGTGGTCTGCCAGATGTTGTCACCATTATGGAAAAGAAGGTAATGTGTCTTTTACTTTTCCCATCCTCATTAAAACTAGATATTAAATAAGTGCTTAATGAGCTTTTTGCGGTTCCTATAACTATGGTTAGGACTTAGAGTCCAGTTTTTGGTGTGTTCCTAAAACTGGGAATGATGTCCTTAGAACACCATTTGTGGGAAATTAGTTAACTTCAGAACGTTGCAGTCCAGAGGAACTATAGTGTATGCCATGGAAAACATTCGCACAGTACTTTAACATGCTAATATTTAGAAAGCTAACATTTTGACAATTACCTGTTGCCATTTGCCTGTAGCGTTTCTGTTTTTTCAGCCTCAATATCTATTTTGGTGATTTAGTCACATAACTTATACAACTACATTCCATCTCCATTATCATGAAACAAAAAACACACAATGCAAAATGAAAACATTCACTTACTGATTTGGATTAATGCAATGTTTGATGGGGATGAGGATCAGCAGAAATCAATTCAGAGTCCCTACTTCCAATGCAACCAGGACAATTGTCTGGGGTGAAACTGACCCTGGAGGTTAATTCCTTTTCCACGAGTGCAGTTTGAGTACTGGTTAATTGTTATCACTCATATTCTCCATCTATACAAACTACATTGTGCTGTATTAAGCTTAAAAGAGATTGAACGAATGAACGAATGAACGAACGAACGAACGAACGAACGAATGAATGAATGAATGAATAATCTCCAGCTCTAAAAAGCATGGTGCACTGAACACATTATTATTGCTCATAATCTGTATCTATACAAACTACAACATGCTGCATGACCAGATTATTATAGCTCATAATCTCTTAAAACTACGATGTGCTGCATAAACACTTTATTATAACTCATGAACTCCATCTATTCAAAGTGCAATGAGCTGCATTAACACATTTGATTTGCTGTGTTTGGATACTAATGTAGGTTTGCAAAGTTATCAACAATTATACTGGTTGTATTTGGCACTTCCGTGTTGGTGTTGCTGGGAATCTTTAGATCAGGGGTGCCCATACTCGGTCCTGGAGGGATGATGTTCGGTAGAGTTTTGCTCCAACCTCAATTACACACACCTGCACCAGCTATACTCAAGGACTTTCTAGGTATACTAGAAACTAGATACTAGAAATAAAGCAAGTTGGAACTTAACTCCGCAGCCTTCCAGGATCGAGTTTGGGCACCCCTGGATTAGACATAAGGAGTAATGTCAGACTTGGCTCTGAGGTGTTTCTTTAGCTTCTGGCTAAAGTTGTTAGAAGGCTGTCCTGATGAGCCAGCTCTTGCGATAGCACTGACTCCAAACCAGCACCTGGTTTGTACTGATGGAAAATAGGTATAAATTAGTTCTTGTAAAAGCCTCTATAGTGTAACTAATATACTTATACGTTGTAACCTTTTGCCTTTGCAGAGCCTGAGTCTGACTTGTACAGTGTGGGGTGACCCCAGCCCAGAGGTCACCTGGTTTAAGAATGAGCAGGAAGTGGTGTCCGACGACCGCTACAAGATCACCTTCGAAAGTGGCAAGTTTGCCAGCCTCACTATCAAGAGTGTGTATGTGGAAGATTCTGGAAAGTACAGCATCAATGTACGGAACAAGTATGGAGGTGAATTTGTGGAGATAACAGTCAGTGTCTACAAACAAGGCGAAGATATCCCCGAGCCTAAACTGGGACAGATGTCCAGACCTGCCGCTACCCCAAAGCCAGCTACACCTGTTCCACAGTCTGTGAAAACCCCATCTCCTGCAACTCCTACACCCTCTATCAAGTCCCCAACCCCTACTCCACCGTCCTCTGTCAAGTCTCCCACCCCCACTCCAGCTTCTAAATCACCCACCCCACCCAGATCCATGAGGTCCCCCACCCCACCAAGATCCATGAGATCCCCCACCCCAACTAAGAAGTAACTTCTAAACTATGGCTTATTGAACCTGAAGATACACACAGTATTAATAGTGTTGGTCTGTAGTGTTTCAAATCTGAAGATGATCTGGTTTAGTTTGCTGCAGTAGTCTACAAATCGGGTACTGTTACTGGTGTGAAATTTAGGATATTTGTAATAAAATATCTGAAGGAAGAGTCCTTTTGGCTTCAGACTCCAGTGTAGCAGTTGATCTCTGAAATTGAGACAAAAATAGAAATGTTGTGTTTTATGTGTTGCTTTCGCAGCAAAAATAAAAGGGGAAGTTTAAGCGACGTGCTGTTGGGCCAGTCAAAAATCATCGCAAAGGCCTCTGCTGTCTCATCTCATCTGTCTTTGTTCTGTACCCTCTAAATGCTTTTTGGTGCCAATAAAAATCATCCATATCTGGAGTGGATCTTCAGTAGTCTGAGTTGAATTTTGTCCCATTGTTTATGTTCCAGTAGGACTTTCTGGAATGAATCAGAAGAACAGAAACCAAAAAGACTGGGTGTATTTAAACTAATTGTTCATATTCGCTGTTCACTTACATGGCAACATCATTTTGGGGCCTGAAAACACAAACTGTGGCTTTAAGGTGCAAGTGTTTAAAACAAGGGTGCTCAGTCCTGTTCTTGGACATCTACCTGCCTGCAGAGTTCAGCTGCAACCTTGATCAAACACACCTGTCTGTAATTATCAAGTACTCCTTTAAGCTGCGGTCACACCAGAGTTTCAGCATGCAATATTCTGTCGTGTGGCGCTGTGAAAAGGGGCGGGAATAGCATTATTAGACATTTAAAAAAGCGAGCAATTGCTCCATGTTTTAAATTTCCTTCCAGAGATGTCATGTTTTGATCTTCGATTGGTCTCACGCAGTCAAGTTATTTGATTTCACCAAACTTGAACTTTGCACCACAGCAGCCTGCGAAACTTGACACATGACCTTGCGTTTCCGGTTTGACACATTCGCGTGCGTATGAATGGAAGTCTATGGGAAGAAAAGCCCAGTGTGACCGCAGCTTTAGAACTGACTGGTTTATTTGTGTTTGATCCGGGTGGAGTTGAATTCTGCTAGAAGGTAGATCTCTAGAAACAGGATTGGGCACCCCTTGCAAAAATAATTCTATTATCGAAAGGCAACAAATTTTTCAGATTTTAGGACTATGTTATTTTGTAAACACACCCTGAATCTTTGTCAGCTTGACTTTGGGCACTGCTCCCATTATACTAGCATGTGTGTAGTTCTGGAGCTACAACCTCAATTAAACATTCCTAATACCATTAATAAAGGTCTATAGGATTGCTAGACACTTTTATTTAGGTAGGCTGTAGTTAAATCCAGGGAGTTGATACTTAAAGTAGGATTGGATACGCCAGCATTATACAAAATATATTGTAAGTTTCTATATTTGATGAATTCCATAATGATGAATGCAGGCAAATGCACAGGTAATGATGGAGTCTGACTGAGGTCTCCTGAACAAGGCTGAACTACAATGTACATAGATCTGTTAATCCAACAATCTGAATGCTTAAACACAGTTAACACGGGTAGATAAACACAGATAGATAAAATAAGTCTAATCCTTGAAGTTGAGAGACAATATTTTACAGATTTTAACTCAAATTTTAAATAAACAAGCTTATTAAGATCTGAACAATCACAAAAATCTTCTAAACAAGTATGCTGGGGCCAAATTCTGCACAATACTGAGCAGACTGGATGTCCCCTTGGTATAAAACAAGATCATATTCAGCTTAATGATTTCAAACAGAGTGTTCAACTAAAACAACAAAATACAAATTTGTGGAATGTCTTACTTCATTGAGTCAACAAATATATTGTTCTTCTAGGTCCCAGCTTATGAGATTTGGTGTTCAACTACTTTATGTTATCCATTCAAAAAATCAAGGTATTATTCCTCTGTCATTGATCAGTTTTTAGATTGCGACTATTTAGGCTCATTAATCCTAATGTATAGTTAAAAAACATCTAACTATAATTTTTTGTTGCTTCTAATATGTGTATAATATTTATTTATTAATTTTCTGTTGGCTTTGTCAATTCATTTATCATTGGTCGCCAAAGCGGAATGAATCGCCAACTTATACAGCATATGTTTTACTTCCAGCTGCAACCCAATACTGGGAAACATCCAAAAACACTCATTCACACACATATACTACAGCCAATATAGCTTATTCAATTGACCTATACCACATGTCTTTGGACTGTGGTGAAAACCCAGACGAACACAGGGAGAACATGCAAACTCCACACAGAAAAGCCAACTGACCCAGCTGGGACACGAATCAGCAACCTTCTTGCTGTAAGGCAACAGTGCTAACTACTGAGCCACCATGTCGCCTTGTTTATGATATATGAATTCTAATTATTTATACTTTCAATTAGATATTTAAATATCTAAGAATTAATTAATATTACTAATGACTTTAAATTAATATTTATGTTTAAATAATAGCATAAATAAATCTTTAAAATGGATGTCTTTTGAGCTGTTAGTGAAACTACCTTATTAAAATAAATGATTGATTTGCATGAATATGATATTTTTCAAGCAAAAAATTGTTGTCTTTTTTTCACCTTCTGTGTTTAAATTCCTTATATTTCTGATAACGATATCACTTAATCTTCAATAGACGTGAACTTTGCCGACTCTATCACAAGAAATTAGTCAAACTGACTCTCTCTCATGTCTAAGGTCATTGTCTGTTTGCTTCACGTCTCACATGTTCATGTGTACATGCTCCCGAGTTAACAACTAACCCTGGGTTAAACCCTAAGTTAAGAGAGTAGGTTTAGTTTATCTAGCACTGTGAAACAACATAACCTGCTCTTAACCAGTTTACATGTTTTGGATTTGTCAACCCAAAACTTACCCTGCAACCCAGAGTTTGTTGAACATGTTTTGTGCAACATCTTGCAGGACTTAGCTCTAATTTGTCCCAAAGTACTGGAGCAGAACAAAAAAATCAGTCAGACAGTGTGTAGCAGATACCAGTCAGTTGTATGATTTTAATTACAAATCTTGCAAAAGAGGGATTATTTGTCTTCAGTAACAAATCAAATAGTCATCAAATTAGTTTTCTGGGTTTTGAATACACAAAAAATGCCAAAGTCACAAGTTAAATGAAATAATCAAGTCCCTCATTTCTGTCAGCATCCTCTTGGCTCTCCATCTCTATTTGCTTCATGGCGATAAAATACTGCACGAAAGGCTCTCCCAGTGCACCACAAATCACACTGTCCTCTGCCAGAGCTAATAAAGCATCATCCAGTTTAACAGGGATGACAAACTGTTTCTGCTGATTTGGAGCTCTGCTTAGTACCTGTTCTGCATTGAGATTACGCTTGATTCCGTCCAGTCCTGCTGCTATAGTGGCTGCCAACACAATGTAAGGGTTTGCCATTGCTGAAGCCAGCTTGTTATCAATGTGTGTCTCCCGTCCACCATGAATCTTCACATTAAAGTCGCAGCTGTTGTCATTGCAGCCACATGTGGCATAAACATGGTTCTTGGAATCTTTCTTGCCTTTGGAAATCTGGGTTCGACAACTGATTCCTGGAGCCAAGAGGCAGCTCAAAGCGGCAGAATGATGGAGAAGACCTGAGAGCCATTTTCTGCCAATCTCCGAAAGTTCCCCATTGCCTGAATGAAAAAGGCTTCTTCTGCCACTTGCATCCCAGAGGCTATGGGAGAGTAAACCTGAATTCTGGATGTTCTCGTAGGTGAAAAAGGTGGCAATGTAGTCATACTTCCTGGCCATCTCTTTGATTCCGGTGCGAAAGGTATAGGCGTTGTCAGCGGCATCCATTCCAAACCTGGGCTTGAAGCAAATTTCCATCTGTCCTGGTCCATTTGCTGAAGAGAAGCTCTCAACATCCACTCCCATGTTGTACATGCCTTTGACTAACTGCTGGAGGAAGGGTTGATCGTTGTTGCTTAACAGTGTGGTTGCAGGGAAGAACACTGCTTTGGGTCCCACATGTTCAGGGCTCCCGAAGATACAGCACTCGTAGGTAAACGATGAGTGCAGAGAGAATCCCATGCTCTGGAGCTGTCCGAGCATCATCTTGGCTATGAGACGGGGCGATGTTCGTAGAGGCACTCCTGTGATTGTGCAGGGGTCACAGATGAGACGAGCGGTCTGATCCGCCCAGGGAAGAATTTGGAATGTGGAGAGATCTGGGACCAGCAGGACGTCACTACTAAAGTTTACTGCACTTGCATGGTCAACTTCATTGATTTGGGGGCTTAGGGTTAACTCTAGGTAGCTCCTTGGCATAGGGATGCCATATACAGCTTTTTCCTGTGGTGTCAATAATAAGAAATGTTATTGAATTTTCAATATTTTACCATTGTTGCCAAAGAAAATGATTGTTACAGGGAACATCAGACTTTTTGCTATCTCTAAACTTGCCTGTTAGCCTAGTTCTTGGTAAAGTCAAGTTCTACTTAACAACTACACACTTATTTTCTCCAAAACCTTCACTTTTTTACAAATGCAGGATTGTTGTGATCTATTTGGGGTCAAATTTGGACAAACCAGGTGTTAGGTTAATTTTTTTTCAGTTAAATGTAATTTACCTGTATTAAACCAACCGTTGGGTTTGTCCATATTTGACCTATTGTTTTGTTACAACAACCCAGCATTTCTTAGTGTTGACTTTCTAAAGACAAGCAAACCAAATCTCTGTAAGCCCAAATGTGTCAAATTTACAATAAATAGAGGTGGTCACATGGTGTTCCAAGAAAATTGCACTTGGCACCTTGAAAATTGTACCATCATAGAAATTTAAAAGACTTGCATGAAAGAATCGAGCTGGAACTGTCTTGGATCGGGACACTCCATGAAGATCAGTGGCCTCAAAGCGAACAAAGCTTAAGTTTTCCCGGGCAATTTGCTGTTTTATGCGCTCGACATCAGAAATGAAGCTTTGGGAGGCGAAAGAGTGTGCCTGTGAGCGCTCCTTGTCTGTTAAGAATATGAAATAATGGTCAGGAAGATAAGAGATGAGCAAGTTAAAGTAAACAGGCAACTTACTTAAATAAGATTACTTCAAGTCTGCTTGACCAAGATGTTGCTGCAGATTTATATTTCAGTTTTATTGGCACATTGTCAACTGATATTGAGTAGAGGGTGGGGTTTTGTTTTTGTGCTCCTCCTCTCATCTTTTACAAATGATTGGAGGGGCGTGGCTGAGCATATTTCACCCTACCAGTTACACTGAAGTCATCAGGGAAGGTTTGCTGGTTCAGATCAGAAGCAAATAGTTAAAACTTTGATTAAATCTTTTACCAAAACAGTTTTTTTTTCCAATGGATTAACCTAAACTGATTAATTGTTGACTTTAAGACTATCAATGTGCACTAGCAAAATAAACAGTGAATTTTGATTTCACATGGACTTCAAGAATAAAGAATTAAATACTGACCTGACTGGGATGTGCCAACCTCACCCCAATCGGATGCCTGAAAAGTTGGGGAATTCATACCAGAGGACCTATTTGGAGGTCCATCAGTCCTCGAAGACCCACTAGAATCCCAGTTTCTGTCTCTTTGTCTGGATGCCCTCCTAGCTTCTGAATAGGGCTTGAAGGTGCTGAAAGTCCTGGATGGTTCCTGGTCTGGCTTACAGTCCACTCTTTGACCCGGAGGGTAGCTTCGTCCTTCATCTTGTCCTTTTGCACTCAGTAGGGAACTCTCACGCAACACACTTTTCAGTTCATCCATGGTTTGTTTGGGAACGCCACCCTCAGTATTTGACGGGTAATACTGCACATTCTCCCTTCTCCATCCATGCCTGTTGATGTAATCTTCCTCTCGAGAGAAACCCTGGTACTGGGACTCACTGGAAACAGAAGGGAAATGATGTGGAGGGCCAATGGAAATGAGGATGGGATCATTTGTGGGGCCAGAAATTGGTACTTTTGATTGCGATATGGCTACAGGTGTTCCTTTCCTGTCCCATTCAGAGGAGGAAAGACGCTTCTCTCTTGGATCTGCATCCTTCTTTCTTGCACTCATACTTCCTCCATCCACCTGGTCTGGAACTGTCTCCTGAAGAGGACAAAATTTAGGATTTTATCACTATATATGACTGGCAATACATAACAGAAAGTACTGGATTAATTCAAAATTAAGACATTAACACAACACCAAAGTATCAAATGCATTTAACAAATGAAAAAACAAAACAAAACATAAAAACAATAAAAAGAGATTTTAAGATCTACCGTATCTTTGGATTCCTCTGATTCTTGCATGATGCTTAGTTTTTTAAGGTGAATGTCTGAAAAGTCACAACCATCTGGCCTAATCAAAGTGACTCACACAACTGACTAACAGAGACTGAAACAAACCAATCTGCTCCCTTTCTCCCCAACCAAATGCATGAACCATCCAGTCTGTTCAGTCCCACACACCTATTGTGAGCTTCTGCACATCAGCTGTTTTCAACAGCCCACAACACATGATTCACTCATTCTCTAGAAAGATACAGTTGTTTAACTGTTAATGTAAATAAAATGTTGTTTAGCAGAATGCCAAAGCACTGCTTATGAAGTGCACATAAATGAGCACAGTGATATGTCTTTATATAAGCACTGATGTTGCTTGCAAATTTGAACATATAAATAAAAGACATATTTCAAGAATGAATACAAATATATGTATTTAAAAAATACCATAAGATTAATTTATCCAAAAAGAAATTTAAATTATATAAAATAAGTATTATCATTTAAAAATTATATTAATTAATTTTAATGTTGCTATTATTATTATCTAAAAAAATATATTGTAATAATAATAATAATTCAGAGGAATTGTTTAAAAATTAAGATAATTACTTAACATTTTGTATTATGCATCATGCATTATTGTTAATAATACATGTATTATTTTAGTTACTATTATTAATAATAACAATAATAGTAATAATAATAATAATATTAGAAAGATTCATTTTATCTTAATAAAATATTGTTTAATAATAATAACAATGTTATTAAAACATATTTATTACCTCTCCATCTATTGTTAAAAATAATTTTATTAAAAATCAGATGATTAGTACTACTTAATCTTAATACTGTTAAATAATAATAATAATTATATAAATATCGAAAATATATATTTTTAAAACAATACAACAGTTCTTTACAAAATGCAGTACGTGTGATCTGTGTGTGGACGGTGAGTCAGGCAGTGTGTGTGTGTGTGTGTGTGTGTGTGTGTGTGTGTGTGTGTGTGTGTGTGTGTGTGTGTGTGTGTGTGTGTGTGTGTGTGTGTGTGTGTGTGTGTGTGTGTGTGTGTGTGTGTGTGTGTGTGTGTGTGTGTGTGTGTGTGTGTGTGTGTGTGTGTGTGTGTGTGTGTGTGTTGTAGGGTGCGGTTTCTTGAGTCCAGCTGTAACCGGTTAACTGTTACCGGAGACTCTCATCACACACACGGCAGCGCTGTATGGTCAAACACCACAACAATTATTCTCCTGGACGGCTTCATGATTAAGCTACAATCTTCAATGAGTAAGCATATTCCAGTAAGTGAAACCTTTCTACATACTTATATTCATATTTTGACGCGGATTCAACATTTTGTTTGGGTGAAATTTGGTCTCAATCTCATCGTGAGCTAATTAGCATGCACCTAAAGCAAAACATGCGTTGTCGACCACAGTTTATATTTATAAACATTAATATGTGGATATAATTTTGTTTTAACTATGTTTTTTAAAAAATGTCGTGTTTAGTATTTCAGATTATCAGATTTTACAGCTGTGTCGTAGGAATAATCGTTTGACGACGGTGTTAGCGTACGTTAGCTGCAATGCTAACGTTACATCAGGACGACAGTTCGACGCTTTTGTCAATTTAATCGACGAAACTATACAAGTTGAACCAATGTAATCTAACGGAATTATTAAATTACATTGTATTTTGTACAAAATTAAGGTGATATACGAAAAAAATTAAGTTACTTTACTAGTGTTAGTCAAAGTCTTTGTTTCAGCCCTGTTCAATCAGCATGTTGTTTGAACATGAGGTTAAATACATTGTTTTGATCGGTATAAACAGTAAATTTGTTGTAGAATACAAATATTACACCACATTTCCAACCATGGCCTGCTTTTCATAAAAATGGCCTAATTTGAGGCCTTTTCACTTGACTTAAACCAAGCGAACGTTTGTGCCTTTTATTTGTATTGCATATCTTGTTTACTACTAACGTACTTCTACATGAGCTTGGTTTCGTCTTTTTAAAGTGATTTGCTTAAGAGGTTTAGTATCTGGTAATCCCACAGAGCTGCCGAGACACGTGTTTCTATCCTCACGGGACTGACATGAAGATTTTAGTCTTCCCAGAAAGCTCAGCTCATATTTAGTTGTCACACGGCCTGCTCAAGTGTGCTCATCCGCAACAATGACCCACATTTGATGCAGAGCAATGACTCACTTCTGAGTCATCTGATTAAAGCCTACCAGAGGGAGATATTGTATGCTGTTATGCAGTATTCCTGCTTTATTTATTTATGATTACAATTATAAAATTTATACTACCATGATTTGTCAATATACCCATAATCAGTGAATTGATAGCTGCAGCTTTAGCATAATCACAAGCTTGGGTATCATTAGATTATCTATTTGTTATAGTCAGTGTTATCTATTATAGATCATTTTGGGGGATGTAAACAAAAACAACGGTCCCAACGTATTTCCTGTTTTACATTTTAATGTCAACAGCTTCCGAGAATCCAAAAAGAGCCACATATTGATAATGTTATGATAGCTATTTTAACATTAAGTTAAGATTGAATTGCCTCTTGTTACAGTTATGAAATGGTTTGATAACAAACAACAAATGTTCATGGGCCGATGACATTGAAATAGTCGATACAGCCATAGACAAAATTGTTGGTATGCTTTAATTTTGTACAGGCCAGTTTCATCAGTTTTTAATGCTTTACCTGAACCACAATTTAAAAGCAATATCTGTTTTTCGTTAGACAATTTAAATAATTTATGATTAACAGTTACTTTTTCAGCTTTTCAGTGACCACTGTGGTTTTTCTCCGGTTAATGGAAGATACAATCTGAAATATTAACAAATTAATCAATGTCATATTATACTGAAACCAGAAGAAGATTTGGAGGTTTGGAAAAAGGAAAAATTCCACAGTGTTAAAAGGAAATTATTATAGAAACTAGGTCTGCACAATATTGGAAAAATCTGATATTGAGATATTTTATTTTTCTGCGATAAATATTGTAATATGAATAGTTTTACAAGATGGTTTGAATATGTCTGTTTGACAATTTTCTGGGCAGTCTACAGTATTCAGGTACAGAAATTGTATAATCACAAAAGCGTAATCTCGGTCTCATTTCTACGCTAAAAAAATTCTTACTGCCTTAAATTTTTAGTCAACTTCAATTAGTTAAACTGACAAAAAATAAGTTAGACTTTGTATAATTAAAAAGAAAAGTGAAAGGCCAATGAACTTAAAGTAACATAAAAGCTTGTTGTGATGGTTTTTTGTTTTTTGTGATATTATTTTTTTACAGTGTAGTTGAAATATTAAATAATTCTTAGAGCAAGTAAAAAATATTGTGTTTTCACCCTAAAGAGAAATAAATCACAATAATTAGGCATTTTTCGTTATAACAAGCTAAATGATCTGCCAGTGGGGTAAGCAGAATTATCTTGTTTTTGCTTTGAAATGTAGTTATTTGGACTAGAAACAAGAAACAACTTTTTTTTTCATAATATAAAAAAGGTATAAATTCAATAATTAAATTAAATTCTGTAGCTCCTGGGGTCTGTTCTTTGTACGTGGATTACTCGGTTACCTGAATTTGGTTATTGACGATTTGACATGATCCAGGTTCGTTTAGTTCTTTTAAAACTCATCGGAGAGTTGTTGTCATAGCAGCAGTTCTGGCAGCTCAAACCTGCTTGGGAGCAGGTTAATTTCATATAAACATTATTAGATCAGGTCAGTTCAAGCAAAGATAAAACTGAAAGTATGTACCGAATTCTGATATTTTCTTACAGTAGTAGTTATATACACTTATGAAAATAGTAACTTTATATATATATATATATATATATATATATATATATATATATATATATATATATATATATATATATATATATTTTTTTTTTTTTTTTAAGTTAAAATATATATAAAAATCCAGGATCTGCTAAATCATCATTGGCACTTGATTTTGTTTGTTTTATATTCTAGAATTAGTAAATATTTGTTTGTCAAAGTTGCTTGTCAGGTTTTCTCAAGTTAACATTTATTTCAATTATTTATTTATTATTATATCATAAGCCGAGAAACTATATTTTATAGTTGCTTATTTTCCTTTCTGCTTGTCAGATTGAATTGAAAATGAAAAATAAATTGGTTTGCGTCAATTCCAGTACAATGTGTCATGACATATTTGCTTGATAAAACATTTAATTAATTAGATATTATAATATGGTATACACATTTTTTTAAATGTCAAATTATAAATGCTCTTATTCAATATTGAATTATATGAAACAGATTCTAGAGTTTTGTAAAAAAAAAAATTTATCATCATTATATTATTATTGTAATATTTTGGTTTGGGCTTTGATGACGACACCTACACTTAATTGTACATGTACACATAGACATCACCTATATACTCTATAACTCCATGTTAACTATGTAAGTTATTAGTAATTAAGTTATGTAAGTTATTAGTAATTAGTTATTAATTACTTAAAGTTGTATAAAATAATGTATTAAATAATAAAGTTAACCAAAAACCTTAAGTTTTCTGAGTTGATTGTAATGCAGTAATGTGCACCTTTTGTAAAGCTGTTATGAAACAATAATTGTTGTGAGAAGCGCTATACAAATAAACTATACAAATTTCTGGACAAGAAAAACATTAGTCCTGATGCCTGCTTTACATGAGAAATGAAGTCTCTGACTGCTTTGCGTCTGTTCTTTTGTCCTTGCAGCAGTTCTGTGGTGTTTTGGGTCACACATTTATGGAGTTTCTGAAGGGCAGTGGGGATTACTGCCAGGCTCAGCACGGCGTTTATGCAGAGAAGTGAACGGCTAGCCTCGCTACCTCATCAGAAGAGAGACTTGTGTTACAGTTTTAACGTTGGCGGGTTCAGGCTTGGAGAGCAGGCGTCCACATCGGTCGGCGGTCCTGGATGGGGTAAAAAAAATCTCTTGAAGTGCACTGCCCTCGTCGGCCCTTCGTCTTCACTCTCACCAGAGGACCAGCCTCCTTTTTTCTTTTCTTTTGTGATTGATTTTTTTCCACCCTCTTTCCTATTTCATTTTTGTTGTTTTGTCCTTAACTTTTAATCCTGCCCACCTCTGGCTCACACCTCATTTCCTAATTACATCCGCCAGAGTTTCTTTAATCTTCTGTTACTGGAGAGAGTTTCTCCCATATTTTTTTTCAAGATTTTCAAGCTCTATTGCAAAGTCAAAAATGGCTCGTATGAATAGACCTGCCCCAGTGGAGATCACTTACAAAAACATGAGATTCCTCATTACCCACAATCCCACTAATGCCACGCTTCACAAATTCATCGAGGTGAGTTCCAATAGCTCGAACTTTCTGAAAGTGATGTTTGCATGGACAATTATAAAAAGCTCTTGATTACACCCTTTTCCCAATCGCAAAACTTTGACTGTTATTTGACTTCATATCAAATAACTGCAAAATATCACACATCACTGTCTTCCATCAGGAACTGAAGAAATATGGGGTGACAACGGTTGTTAGAGTGTGCGAGGCCACGTATGATGCAAACCTGGTTGTCAAGGAGGGCATTCAGGTTCTGGTAAGTTCATGTGAAACTGATTACATCAAGAAATAGATTTGTGTAATATTTTCTTAGATCTTGTATTTACGGCTCTTTTTACTAATACACAGGATTGGCCCTTTGATGATGGAGCTCCTCCCTCCAACCAGATTGTTGATGATTGGCTGAATCTTCTTCGGGTTAAGTTCAGGGAGGAGCCAGGATGCTGCATTGCCGTGCATTGTGTGGCAGGCCTTGGAAGGCAAGTTTAGAAGATGGAATGTATTTTAAGATGGAAACGTGGATTCTAATGGGCTTTAAATTTTGAAAACCTGGTTGTTTTGTTTACCTCAGAGCCCCAGTGCTGGTTGCCCTGGCCCTGATTGAGTGTGGGATGAAGTATGAGGATGCTGTTCAATTCATTCGACAGTGAGTTCACTTCAGTCTTTAGAAATGATTCTACTTTCCATTCTGTTTTTTTTAAATACTGTGTAAATTAGTGTCATTACCACACAAAAGAATTAATTTAACATATTAGGTTTTACTAATTTAGGTGGATTGAACATTAAACTGTTAAGTTGTCACAAAAAAACTCAAGAATTGTGTTGTTTTGGCTCATAAGCAGTTTAAACACATGGCAGACATCCTATTTTGGGTGTATAAGCTAAAGAGCAGTAACTACACATTTTGTCAATTTAGTTAAAGCCTAAAATATACTCTGTGACATCTGTTCTGTCTTTTGACTGTGTCCTGGTTCGATTTTGTGTATTTTTAATTTATATTCAATATGTTCAGTTTTATATATGAATAAGTTAAGGCTTGCCTGAATATATTGAATATAAAATGAACGAATATACCTAATTTATTATTTCTAACATTTGCATATTCTCTGTTCTATTTTCTTTGTTCTTATTGTGAAAATTGCTTTGGATAAGTGTCTGCCAAATTATTTAATTAAAATATAATAATGGGCGTTGGCGCGAGTGATGTAGTGGTTAGTGCGTCGACAAATGCACTTAGGTGCTCGCGGCGACCCGGATTCGATTCCGCCTCGCGGTCCTATGCCGATCCTTCCCCTCTCTCTGCTCCCCATGCTTTCCTGTCAATTCTCTCTACTGTCCTATCAAAAATAAAGGTGAAAACCCCTAAAAAATTATTTTAAAAAATAAATAATAGGCAGCATTTGTTGAGGTATGCAACATTTGCATAAAATTATATATAATTATTTTTTTCTTATATGATACTTAAATACACTGGTTTTGTGCCTTTCATAGATTAATATGACACTAATGGACCAGATCAAACTAGATAACATTGCATAATTAATTTAATAATTACAGTAATCAAATTGCAGTACTGTTAATGCTAGAATCTGATCTCGCCTTTAAAATAATCAATAAATATAACAGATGTGAGATATTTGAATACTGAACACAAATCTAAGCTGTTTGCAACATATTGTGCAGTTACATGAATATGCCTGCATTATTACCTTTTTTCTTGATGTAAGCAGGGAATATTACATCACTAGATGATGTGACTGACCAATCAGAATCAAGTATTCCAGAGATGTCTGTAGTAATTTAGTCATTTTAATGTGTCAGCTCATTCATCATATATTAAACAACTAATATATTATTGTGCACAATACATGATATAGCATGATATATCCATTTTAATAAATATGATTTCTTTTTTTCGCCCTCAGAAAGCGGCGTGGAGCATTTAACAGCAAGCAGCTTTTCTACCTGGAAAAATATCGTCCCAAAATGCGTCTTCGATTCAAGGATTCCAACGGACATCGCACCAACTGCTGCATTCAGTAAAAGATTGCGCATCAGCTTTTCTCAAATGTTTAATGAGAATTTGTATCTAGCATAAGAAATATGTTCTCTTAATTGGTAAATGTGAAACTAAAATGAAGCTTCTTTCATAGTGTCCCATTCCCTCCTCTTCATTTCTGTATTTCCTGTGGAGAACCTCTGTCAGCAAGGTGAAGTGCTTGTTTGATGAACATGAGCTTAGTGTTTTGCGAGGAAGTCGGTTGGTGAACATGGTCAAATCCCGCCTCTGCCAAACTCGTAGTATGCTTTATTGTCTAAATGGTTTAAATATTTACATTTATTGCATTTCTTTTTTGTTCTTGATGATTTGTTTATTTGTACAAAATGCCTGCCTCCAAAAAGATCTAAAATAAATGCCTTATCACAGCAGAAAGACACCGTCTGGTGGAGGAGTTCTCAATGGCATTTGGAGAGGGTTCTTGATGTCTTTTGCAGAAAAAAAAATAGGAAGAGATTCTGAAGAAAAATCAAGGAAAAAGAAATGTCTTTATACAAAAATATCGAAGGTTGGAGTACTAGTTTTCGTTGTTTATCCAAACTTTGTTTACCTATTACTGCCATGTCAATAGTGTGATGTTTGTGTTTTGGCTTAAAACTGGACCTCAATGTCTGCGGTATTTTTATGCCTTTTTATTTTATGTGCGTAAATTAATATTTCAATACTTGATTTATGTACGGTATTTGAATATGTGTACTGTTAAATCACCTATTTATATCAATGGATGTGTTTTAGTATAGGGAGAGACAAGTTGCTACAAGTTCGCCAATTTGGAAGTACAATAAAGATACACTGAAAGAACATCGTCTTGCTGAAGCCTGATTGCTAATATAGTTTTCTTTAATTAAAAACATGCAGCACGTTATCAAAATTCTTTTATTTTTCTCCCTTTTCACAACCGTTGGCGTCACATCAATCCTTTCTACAATAAATAAAGAATACAGAAAATTCCTAGATATCCGTTTAAGACACGCTCCACTGCAAAGAATCACAAACATTTTCACTACATCTGAGAATGATTTTTTTTTTAAACTGCAATATTGACAAATTTACACTGGATAGGACTCCCTCTGATTTAAACAGTCAAAGCCCTTTTAACAGTCTTTAATGTGGAAAGCAACCAGGTTGTGATTGAATGGATTTAAAGAATTAAAATGATGTTGAGCGTGTATTCCTTACAAGCTATACTTGGATTACTTATGGGGCAAGTTTAATAGAAACAGCTATACAAAAGTACTTCCAAAATCAAAAAGCAAATCATTTTTCTCTTTGTGAAAGGGGGCTGAATGAGACTGGGAACATGAACTGAAGTTCTGCATCTACCATTGATGCAGTTATGTCTTCGTAGAGGGAGTCACTCCATTAGTCTCTCAAGTTTCCCTGCCCAGAGGCTCTGATGGGAGGCTCACTGATGGATGTCAACTCATAGAGCGTCTGGCCCCTTCATGTTGGACTCTTTGAATGACTGTTGGCCTGCGGCTGCTTGAAGAACACACTGAGATGACTCGCAGTATCCGTTAAGGCCAGGGGGGCCGGGGGGCCCCGGCACACCTGGCATTCCAGGAACTCCTACAGGCCCTCTCTGACCGTCCCGGCCATTACTGCCATACGCAGGTTTACCAGGCTCACCTGAAAGCAGGTGGAGAAACAGGCCAGCAGTCAGACATGCTATATCCCAAGATAATTTGACACACAGAGGTTAAACTAAATTATGAATACTCAATCAGTGTAGGATCTTACTCTTACCTGGGAGTCCTGGTGGTCCAGGTATACCTTTAGGTCCCACTGCTGTGAGCCCTCTGTCACCTCTATCACCCTGGTCACCTAAATCAAGGATAATGCAAAGCTTTTATAGTGTAAAAGGTGATTTAGGGCTCTCATGCCCAACAAAAATGAGACTTGGCACACTTCTGATACACGCCAGCAGCCACTAATTAGCGACACCTGTTCAACAGCTTAATGCAATACAACAGCAATCAAACTCCAGAGGTTATGAATCAGTTTAGTATAAGCTTGGAGATTGGGACACTGAGCAAGATAAAAACAGTCCTTCGTTGTACAACATAAAAACTGAAATTTATGAACAACCAGACGTACAACGGTTCTCAAAGTTCATTTCGATGTGACGATGGGGACCGGCTTGGTATGTTTTTGATAACACTTTATTTAAACTTAGGGCCCATTTACACTGGGGGCCTTTGAAAGCATTTTGATATTGGTAAAGGCGTCTGCAACTTTTATGAAGCATCAAGTCACCGGCATATTAACTGTTAAAACATGTTAATGACTGCATAAATGTATTATTGCTTTTAAAAAAAGTCACATATTGTGCAGGTCTACTATCATACACAAATTGTACTTAAGTGATCTAAAAAGTTCATATCAATAAGTTTTCTCTTTGCACCACCAGGTGGCAGTCTTTGTACTTTCATTTTGTTGGTGCAGATTGCTTAAGTTCTATATATATATATATATATATATATATATATATATATATATATAAATATATATATATTCCCAAGTGTATATAACTACTACTGTAAAAAATATCTGATTTTGGTACATACTTTCTGTATTATCTTTGCTTGAACTGACCCGATCCAATCCTGTTTATATGAATTGAACCTGCTACCAACCAGGTTTGAACTACCAGAACTGTTGCTATGACAACAACTCTTCGATCAGTTTAATAACCAAATCCAGCTAATGGAGTAATGCAAACGGACCTCAGATCTCGCTGCAAAAGGGCACCCTAAAGATGTGATTCTCCAAGCCAGCTACTTGCAAGGTGTGCCTAATAAAGTCTTTACAAGATATATGGATTGATATACGAGTGTTCAAAATAATACAGCTTTAAAAAATAGCGTTCTGAACAAAGTACCACTTGGATCCTCTTGTGAAATAAGTGTCAGATGTATCCAGTCATTAGGATCCACATTTCCACCTAACTCTTTACTACAATATAATTTAAACTAGGGGTGTCTAAACTCGGTTCTGGAGGGCCAGTGTCCTGAAGAGTAAAGATGCGGTCACATTAGAGTTTGTGCTTGGGATATTCTGTCGGGATTATTAGACATTTTTAAAAGCGAGCGATTGCTCCATGTTCTAAATTTCTGTCCAGAGAGGTCGTGTTTTGATCCTCGATTGTTCTCACGTAGTCAAGTGATGAGATTTCGAAGGTCACAGTTCACCAAGCTTGAACTTTGCACCGCAGCAACCTGCGAAACTTGACGCATGACACCGCGTTTCCGGTCTGACACATTCGCGTGCGGATGAATGGAAGTCTATGGGAGGAAAACCCCAGTGTGACCGCAGCTTTAAGCTCCAACTTGATTCAACACACCTGTCAAGAAGTTTAATATATCTAGTAATAGCCTGATTAGCTGGTTCAGGTTTGTTTGATTAGGGTTGGAGCTAAACTCTCCACTATGAAAACTGATATGAAATTTCAGTCAATCAGTTTTACACATTGGTCATTTTGTGTCAAACTGAAATGTTCCTCATGAAAGCTTCCCATTCATTCCCGCTGAATTAACCAAACTGCCTGCAAAATTCACTTGATGGTGGTAAATGTGACCAAAGCAAAAACCAATGTCAGTATGTGCTGTATATAATGAATCAAACACGCTCCATTCATACTGTACCTTTGGGGCCTTTCCTCCCCAAGAGCCCTGGTGGTCCTTTGAGGCCTGGCAGCCCTCTGCTTCCGGGATGCCCAGGGAACCCATTTTCTCCAGATGAACCCGGAGGGCCAGGAGGACCAGGAGGACCTGGCAACCCAGCAATGCCCGACTCAGGCCTTGTCAGACTGGCTGCCAGCTGAGCAAGTTGTCCTATAAGGAATAACAAAAATCCAAACTCAATCTAACTATAAGTCAATCTTCAATGTGTAAACATCTGTTTGTACATTGAAATACTGACCATGCAAAACCCTTCTGCAGACCTGCTTGATATGTTCATCTGTTGGTGCTCGGCCCTGTGTATTACAAACGCTTTTAGAGCACTGCAGTAAAATTCCTGATTGTCTGCCAACCATTAAATGAGTTTGTACAGCAGAATCTAATTGGAGTGACAGATATTATAAACTCTCAAGAATAAAAGCATGTGATTAAGTCTACAATAATATTATGATCAAAACAGGCTTACTGGTTTTCCTTGGGCTCCAGGCAATCCAGGGACCCCTGGGTCACCTTGCATGCCTCTTGGACCCGGCACTCCCACTGGGCCGTCGGGTCCAGATTGGCCACGTGCACCCTCTGGCCCTTTATTCCCTGGATCTCCTTGTTTTCCTGTCTGAGCAAAACAAAACATGAACATTTTCAGATTAACGGAATTATTTTTTGGAAATATAAGGAGAGCAAATTTACGAGGAAGTTTAAAAGGATTTCCTCAAGTTGTCACAACTTGTGATTATGTTGTTCTGCTTATCATAAGATCGTTGGAAGATTATTAGCAATCAAACTGTTGCTAGCCCCCAATTACCAGCATAGAAAAAGATACTATGGAACTCAATGGGGATCACATTCTTAAATATACAGCGGTTGGACAATGAAACTGAAACGCTGGCCAATTTAGTGTTGGAAATTTCATGGTCAAATTTGATTGCTAATTAAATACACACTGCTCTTACTGGTGGATTGTGCAGAGTAATAGCACAGTTTTGCTATCAGAGTTAAAAGAGGACAAAGTGTTGGTGCACGTCTTGCTCCCGCATCTGTGACCAAACCAGCAAGTCTTTGTGATGTATCAAGAACCACAGTATTCAGGGTAATGTCAGCATACCACCTAGAATAACAAACCACATCCAACAGGAGTAACTGTGGACTTAAGAGGAAGGTGTGCGAAAGGGATGTCCAGGTGATAACCCAGATTGTATCCAAAAATAGTAAAACTAAAGCTGCCCAACTCACGGCACCTCACTTTTTTTTTTTCACCAAAACTGTTCATCGGGAGCTCCACAGGGTCAGTTTACATGGCTGGGCTGCTGGAGCTAAACCATTGGTCACTCCTGCCAATGTTAAACGTCAGTTTCAATGGTACTAGCAGTGAAAATGCCAAATGTCCAAAGTTACTTACAATTGAGCAGGCATTCAGCAATTCAACAAGAAGATGTAATACACAAAAAGAAGTGCTAATTATACAGAGGAACTTTTTGTACTCTGAGAATTTAGTGCTAGAGTAATGAGGGGGGAGTTTTTTTTAAGAGAGAGTGTTTCTACAGGTGGTTTCTACAGGTGAATACAAGCTCACTCACCTGTGTGAAGCATACTTCATACATGCACAATGTTTTTTTTTTTTTTGTTCATTGTTTTTAAACTGCAATTTGCAACAGGTGAAAATGTGCAAACTGGTTCAATTGTCAATTAAAGTGTCAGAGACATGAAAGATTGTGTTTTTTATAGGTGGTTGACATATCATGACATTCCCTAGGCCCAAAAAGGACCACCGAACCATTCTGAAGGACCATGTGCACCCCATCCAATAGTTCAAATTTGTATCCTGAAGGCAGTGCCGTGTATCAGGATGATAATGCACCAGCACAGCAAGACTGGTGACAGAGTGGTTTGATAAACATGAACGTCAAGTTGAACATCTCCCATGGCCTGCACAGTCACCAGAGCTAAATATTATTGAGCTACTTTAGGGTGTTTTAGAGGAACGATTCAGGAAACGTATTCCTCCACCAGCAAGAAGAATGCCTCAAAATCCCACTGGCCCCTGTGCAGAACTTGAATCTGTCGTTCCCGAGATGAACTGATGCTGTATTGGCTGCAAAAGGAGGCCCTACGCTAGGGGTTCTCAATTTTGGTCTTGGAGGGCCGGTGTCCTGCAAAGTTTAGATCCAACCCCAATCAGAAACAACTGCTAGCTAATCAAGCTCTTACTGGGCTTTCTAGAAACATACTTGCAGGTGTGTTGAGGCAAGTTGGAGATAAACCCTGCAGGACACCGGACCTCCAGGACCGAGTTTGAGAACCCCTGCCCTACACCATACTAAATAATCATTGTTGTCTAAAACCAGGCATGGCGACGCAGTGGCACAGTAGGTAGTGCTGTCGCCTCACAGCAAGAAGGTTGCTGGTTCGAGCCTCGGCTCAGTTGGCGTTTCTGTGGGGAGTTTGCATGTTCTCCCTGCGTTTCCGTGGGTTTTCTCCGGGTGCTCCGGTTTCCCCAACAGTCCAAAGACATGTGGTACAGGTGAATTGGGTAGGCTAAATTGTCCATAGTGTGTGTTTGTGTGTGTGGATGTTTCCCAGAGATGGTTTGCGGCTGGAAGGGCATCTGTTGTGTAAAAATATGCTGGATAAGTTGGTGGTTCATTCCGCTGTGGCGACCCCGGATTAATAAAGAGACTAAGCTGACAAGAAAATGAATGAATAAATGAATGAATAAAACCAGGCGTTCAGTTTCAATGTCCAACCCCTGTCATAGGCAAAAGATAGAAATACTTAGACATTAGAAACAACTGGAAAGTGAGTAAATGATCACACAATTACTTATACTATATTTGGCAACACTTTATTTTAAGGTGTCCTTGTTATGCATGCTCCATGTGCTTACAACAGTAATTAAAATGAGTTATGCAAAATTGCATGCAACTAACCCGAAAATAAACAATAACCATATTGTATATAGTAGTTAATTAAAATTAATCTATGGTAAAAATGTCTGACCTCAATGAACTAAACAAAGTTCTTTCATGTCAAAGAAGATTGAGTCTCATAACCACGCATTCCTATAACATAATCATCACGGACCAACAGCAGTTTGAAGGTGTTAACCAGCTAAAGTTTGACAAGCTGTTTGCAGCTTCTTACATAAGCTAATAAGCATAAGCTCTCATTGCTGGCTGTTCATTTGAATGTTAGTTTACTTGTAAACATGCCACCCTCCCGGGACAGATTTTGTTATTTAAATTTAACACACATGCATTGTGGTACTACATAAACATGCGTCAGAGATTGATGCAGAAGGGAAGAAACTAGTGCAGGGGTGGACTGGGACTGAAAATCAGCCCTGGCACTGTAGCCACACCAGCCCACATTAGCACACCGACACAGCTCCACCCACGGACACGCACATTCACAACTTATATTAGTGTACAGATGAAATATTATAAGCAGTACCATATGTAATAGATATTTAAACATTTAATGTATGTGACTGGAACAAAAACAACCCATTTATAACAAATTTATACTTGCAATCATTTCATTCATTTTTTTTTTGGCTTAGTCCCTTTATTAATTGGGATCACCACAGCGGAATGAAACCCCAACTTATCCAGCATATGTTTTCACAGCGGATGCCCAATTTACCTATTGCATGTGTTTGGACTTGTGAGGGTAACTGGGAGGAAACCCACGCGAATATGCAAATTCCACACAGAAACACCAACTGACCCAGCCAAGGCTCGAACCATCAACCTTCTTGCTGTGAGGCGACAGTGCTACCCACTGTGCTGCCTCCTTTCGAGACTATTACAGTTGATTTTATGCATTTGGTATGATTTTAGAGCAATTTTTTGCTTTCTCTGAACTTTTTGGAACCGCCTTTCCTTTTTTACGGTCTATCTCTGATAATTAGCTTGTGTTGCACTTACTGTTTGTTTGACATTCTTGCCAGATTTTGATTAAGTCTACGTAACCTCTGATTGGGTCGGCCCCTCTCAAAACCAGCCGGCCATTGCCGATTGGGCCAATGCTAAAAATGTATTATTCTTACTACTACTATCATCATCATCATCATAATATGCACATCTTACAAGAGATAAAAGCTGCCTGCATGTAAAAACAATACTTATAAAAATAAAAAATAGCATACCGGCACACATTTAAAAAAAATAGTCTGGCCCTTCTGGCATTTGCCAGAATTGCCAGATGGCCAGTCCACCTTTGAACTGTTGAATAAAGTTACTTTTAAGGTATTTTATACAGCACGTCTGCATCCTCATAAAATTATGGTTGGACCACTGGAGTCACGTGCACTTCCTAAATATCGTCTTTAACTTTGTTTTTGAACTCTGAAAGTGGTGTTGGGACTGTTAATGAAGGGACAGAAACCTCTCAGATATCATTACACCTTCATTGTGTTCCAAAAGCCTGATGGGTTTGGTACAACATGAAGAATTGGAAGTAGACTGTCCTTCAACAAGCAGATAATGAGGTTTCATTTATAATCAGTGTTTGAGCAATGTCAAATGCCAAACTCAACAGTAAACTGATGCCCCATTCTGTTGCACTAAAGCTTCAGCTGTTGTAAAGAAGTAATAGATTCAATAGTGTCTAGCTGGTGATTTGCACACGCGATCTTGAACATGCAGTCTCAAGCACATGCACTCAATGAAGCAAGTGACATCACTGTGAGGGGTTGAAGTTAAATACAAATACTGTCTGAGTGCATGTGCATTCAGTCCGCTGCCAGAAACTTCTCAATAGATTTGCAACAGTGACTTTGTCACATTCAGTCTATATATATATATCTATATATCTATACATCTATATATATATATATATATACATCTATATATATATATATATATATATATATATATATATATATATATATATATATATATATATATATTTATTTTTATTTTTTTATTTTATTTTTTTTTTTTTGGAAAGCTATTGATCTCATTCTTTTACATGCATGCAACCTTGCTCAAGACTTCTGGCCTCAATCACTTCCGTTGATTTTTTGCTGTAAAAATGCTTGTCATGCTGCTTAATGCTGCAAACTTGTGATAATACATAAAAAATAAATATTATAAAATTAGTTAATTAGTTATTAAATTATATTATATTTTTATTTTAAACATTTTCATAAACAATTGTTTGAAGAACAAGTAGTTTGACCATTTATTGCTGATTATTATTTCTATTAATTTCTTCCATAATATAAAAATAAAGTCAACCCTGGAGAATTCTGGAGATCTCCATAATGACATGACTTCTCAATGCAAACTCACCGATCCTTTCTCGCCTGGCTCTCCTTCATCACCCTTGGAAAATAAATAGACATGGAGTTTTAGACCAGCACTGAAGTCAGGCCTAAAATAAATAAAATATCTGAGCTGTTTTTACTTACAACATCTCCTTTGTCTCCTGGTGCTCCTTCTTCACCAGATGGCCCCTAAACAAACATACATTACAGTGCATTCATTAAAATATAGAATAAAATAGAAGTTTTTGTGTTAATTTGGAAAATCAGCTGTTTTTTATTGGATAGATGGATGGATAGATCGGTGGGTGGACAGATCGATGCACAGACGGACAGACAAATAGATTAATATATTTAGAAATATTTAATGGATGGATGGATCTATAGACTCTATGGCCACATTATTAGGTACGCTTTTCCAACTGCTCGTTAACGCTAATTTCTAATCAGCCTCATGGCAGCAACTCAATGCATTTAGGCATGTAGACATGGTCAAGACGATTTGCTGCAGTTCAAACCGAGTATCAAAATGAGGAAGAAATGTGATTTAAGGGACTTTGAATGTGGCATGGTTGGTGCCAGATTAGCTGGTCTGGGTATTTCAGAAACTGCTGATCTGCTGGGATTTTCACACACAACCATCTCTAGGGTTTACAAAGAATGGTCAAAAAAAGAGAAAATATCCAGTGAGCGACAGTTCTGTGGGCACAAATGCCTTGTTGATGCCAGAGGTCAGAGGAGAATGGCCAGACTGGTTCCAGATGATCGAAAGGCAACAGTAACTCAAATAACCCCTTGTTTCAACTGAGGTCTGCAGAAGAGCATCTCTGAATGCACAACATGTCTAACCTTGAGGCAGATGGACTACAGCAGCAGAAGATACAATTTGTAGAGACTCACGTTAGACAAAACTATTGGACAATGAAAGATTGGAAAAACATTGCCTGGTTTGATGAGTCTCAATTTCTGCTGCAAGATTTGGATGGTAGGGTCGCCACAGCCTACCTGAGTATTGTTGCTGACCACGTCCATCCCTTTATGACCACGGTTTACCCATCTTCTGATGGCTACTTCCAGCAGTAAAAATGCACCATGTCATAAAGCATGAATCATCATCAAGACTGGTTTCTTGGACATGACAATGAGTTCACTGTACTCGGTAACTCTACACAGTCACCAGATCTCAATCCAATAGAGCACATTTGGGATGTAGTAGAACTGGTGATTCACATCATGTACTTGCTGCTGACAAATCTGCAGCAAGTGCGTGATGCTATCATGTCAATGTGGACCAAAATCTTTGAGGAATATTTCAAGTACCTTGTTGAATCTATGCCATGAAGGATTAAAGCAGTTCTGAAGGCAAAAGGGGGTCCAACCCGGTACTAGTAAGATGTACTGAATAAAGTGGTCGGTGAGTGTAGATAGATCTGTTAATAAATATTGGATGGATGGATGGATGGATGGATGGATGGATGGATGGATGGATAGATAGATAGATAGATAGATAGATAGATAGATAGATAGATAGATAGATAGATAGATAGATAGATAGATAGATAGATAGATAGATAGATAGATAGATAGATAGATAGATAGATAGATAGATAGAAACAATTGGATGGATGGAAAATTAATGGATAGATGGATAGATAGATAGATAGACAGACAGACAGACAGACAGACAGACAGACAGACAGATATATAGATAGATAGATAGATAGATAGATAGATAGATAGATAGATAGATAGATAGATAGATAGATAGATAGATAGATAGATAGATAGATAGATAGATAGATAGATAGATAGAAACAATTGGATGGATGGAAAATTAATGGATAGATGGATAGATGGATAGATAGATAGATAGACAGACAGACAGACAGACAGACAGACAGACAGACAGACAGACAGATAGATAGATAGACAGACAGACAGACAGACAGACAGACAGACAGACAGACAGACAGACAGACAGACAGACAGATAGATAGATAGATAGATAGATAGATAGATAGATAGATAGATAGATAGATAGATAGATAGATAGAAACAATTGGATGAATGGAAAATTAATAGACAGACAGACAGACAGACAGACAGATAGACAGATAGATAGATAGATAGATAGATAGATAGATAGACAGACAGACAGACAGACAGACAGACAGACAGACAGACAGACAGACAGACAGACAGACAGACAGACAGACAGACAGATAGATAGATAGATAGATAGATAGATAGATAGATAGATAGATAGATAGATAGATAGATAGATAGATAGATAGAAACAATTGGATGAATGGAAAATTAATAGACAGACAGACAGACAGACAGACAGACAGATAGACAGATAGATAGATAGATAGATAGATAGATAGACAGACAGACAGACAGACAGACAGACAGACAGACAGACAGACAGACAGACAGACAGACAGACAGATAGATAGATAGATAGATAGATAGATAGATAGATAGATAGATAGATAGATAGATAGATAGATAGATAGATAGATAGATAGATAGATAGATAGAAACAATTGGATGGATGGAAAATTAATGGATAGATGGATAGATGGATAGATAGATAGATAGACAGACAGACAGACAGACAGACAGACAGACAGACAGACAGATAGATAGATAGATAGATAGATAGACAGACAGACAGACAGACAGACAGACAGACAGACAGACAGACAGACAGACAGACAGACAGACAGATAGATAGATAGATAGATAGATAGATAGATAGATAGATAGATAGATAGAAACAATTGGATGAATGGAAAATTAATAGACAGACAGACAGACAGACAGACAGATAGACAGATAGATAGATAGATAGATAGATAGATAGATAGATAGACAGACAGACAGACAGACAGACAGACAGACAGACAGACAGACAGACAGACAGACAGACAGACAGACAGACAGACAGACAGACAGACAGACAGATAGATAGATAGATAGATAGATAGATAGATAGATAGATAGATAGATAGATAGATAGATAGATAGATAGATAGATAGATAGATAGTTTGTTAGTTAGTTAGTCAGTCTTACTTGCTCTCCTTTAGGACCAGTAAATCCAACCGCACCCTGAAAAAAATATTTAAAAATCTGTATTATATTATCCATATTTTGACTATGTACAATATAATGGTTTATACATGGCTGTACATCCAACCAATAACAGACCTTATTTCGAACAAATCACATGACCACCACTTTACATAATTGATTCAGCAAGTAAATAAAACATATACAATTCACCTATTTAATAGTCAAATGTATGTAAATCATGTACTCTGCATATTATTATGAAAGTACAGAATGCCATTCTTAACAATCACTTTAAAAAGCAGTTCCTTAAAAATGTGAGTAAACACGTAACTACTAAATTTGTACAATTATGCACATAATTCATCAACTTTATCATTTAAAGGCAACGTGTTTACTGACTTTTTAAAGTAACTGTCAACTAAATGCTTTATTTTACAGTGTTCTAACTTTTTTATTTAATAGGTTTAATAGGTACTTTTGTATTGTGAATTGACCAGTAGACAGAAACACGTTCTGCTTTCAGAAATCTTACCCTGTCGCCTTTTTGTCCGATGAATCCAGCAGGCCCTGGAAGACCAGGAAGCCCGGGATCCCCTTTAGATCCCTGTGGAATACATCGACACACAGAAGCCCATAAATAAACAAAAATACAAACTCAAGAACACTACGCGACCTGTGTCTGTAGCTGTCTCACAAACCACATCTGCACTAAAAACACACACAGTTTCCAGGGCACATTTAGGTGTGTGGATAAACACGGATTTCGATCGAGTCTGGTGCCCTTCATTGGCTGCTTGAAGAAATTCCTGAAAGACAGAGGGTTCATTCAGGCCCTCGCCCTGCTCTGAATATCCCCTTACCAAAGAAAATACCCCCAGCTACTAGGCCTCAGTAACAACAGGCTATTCATGCTCCTACCAGCCGATTACTGTACTAAAGCTCATCGTGGCTTTCTAAGGAGATTCTATCACAGTTTAGTGCACTATTAAGCTCTTTGGTACAGCAGTAAACACACAGGACATGAATCTGAGAGCTAATAGCAAGAGGAACAAGTTTGTGATTGTGTTTAGCTTGTTTGTTTCCTTGTGACGACATCTAGGCAGTTAAATTGTTTTAACCAGGGCTTCAGTTTTAGAATTTGGGCTCTTTAGATGTTCATAACGTGTTGTTTAAGACTAGTTGAAGGAAAATATCCTTATGTGTCTAAATTGCATTTCTGTCTATTTGTGCCAACGCACATCTTTACATGCCAGTTATTCTCTAAAACTTTACATTTACATTTAAAAAAAAGATGTTTGCTTGTATATAATATGCTTGATTTATTACTAAACTATTGAAACTTTTCTGGTGTTTAATTGATGTTCTCTGATTTATGGAAGAATGAGTAGTAAAAACCTCTGTAAAACATTTGAATTTAATGTGTATTTAATCTTTAATTTTTAGACATGGTTAACATCCCAATGCCCAACTGTTTGTTTCACAAATTGAATGGATTTTAATTAACATATTTGCTTAATTAAACTAGCAAAACATGTCTTCAAAACAGCCATCACAATTAAAATTGTAATCTTGTTTAATGTGAAGATATTTAACAGGAATATTGTCTAGATCAGTGGTTCTCAAACTTTTTTCATCAAGTACCACCTCAGAAAAAAATTGTCTCTCCAAGTACCACCAAAATTAGCAGTATTGAAATACAATAGCGCAGTAGGCCCAGTAAAGCAGCTACAGCTCTGCACAGTTAAAAAACGTGGCAGATTACCTCAGAAATATAGGCTATATGTCATATGACATATTATATACATCATTTTTGATATATTTTGAAAAGTGTATAGCATGTACATGACATATTTCATTCCTCCGCGTACCACTAGGAGGAAGCCTGCGTACCACTAGTGGTACACGTACCACAGTTTGAGAACCACTGGTCTAGATCACAGGTGTCAAACTCAGGCCGCAGCTCTGCACAGTTTAGTTCCAATCCTAATTAAACACACCTGATCAAACTAATTGAGTCCTTCAGGCTTCTTTGAAACCTACAGGTAAGTGTGTTGGAGCAGGCTTGGAACTAAACTGTGCAGGGCTTCGGCCCTCCAGGAATTGAGTTTGACACCCCTGGTCTAGATCAAGATTGTAAAACACACAAAGACATCTAAATTTACTAAGTCACCTTTCATTCTTGTGGACGTTTGCATGTGAAGGCAAAAAGACAATAATAATAATAAAATTTTTACCTTTGAGAGTGTGGACAGATCTTATCCTTTAAATGTCTGTTGGAATCCATTTTCATGTGTCTTATTTGTCTCTTTTTTAAGTTAAAGTTACTTAAGTTCAATGATTTGGTTAAATTTGAAACAGCACAATTTATGCTTAGGAATAAATTACTTCTGAAATATATGCAAAAGGTTTTTGAAGAAAGACATGGGGGATATTATCTGAGAGAAGAACAAAATTTCAGGAAGTTGAAAACAAGGACAACTTTAAAAGGTTTGTGTATGTCTGCCTTTGGTGTAAAATTATTGAACAGTCTAGATCAGACTCAAACAATGTCAGAATAATAATCAATTTAAAAAGTTGTGTGTATATATATATATATATATATATATATATATATATATATATATATATATATATATATATATATATATATATATATATATATAATTAAAGGAATATAATGATGAAGGTGACTGAAAAAGGATAAAATGAGAAAAGTATGATGACATTTTAATTAATGGCTATTTGCAGTACTATGTATTTTTTTTTTGGGGGGGGGGGGGGGGTCTTACAAAATGTAAATGTACAAATGGAATCAAACATATAATTTGTCAAAGTTACAAAAAGGATAAAATATGTCTCATGTAAAAAGAAGAGATAAGTAAAAGAAGAAATAAGTTTAATTAACAGACGAATAATGGATGTGGTAATATGGCGGAAAAATAATAAGCTTCATTTTACTCCATTTTCGACCATGTTGAAATGTTTTTTTTTTTGTTAATGATATTTTATGTATGATATTTCTGTTGGAAAATAAATAAATCTAATCAAATCTTTTAGTCAATGTTTTCTCTTTCTCTTTTATCCGTCCTTCAACTTTCTCTGTACATTGTTTTTCTTTTTCCAGCTCTAGGCTGATCTCAGTCCCCATGAAGCTTTTCCTAAGAGTGTTGTTATTTTCTAAAGGTGTCCTATAGCATTTTGTACAGTGTATAATGAATTGTTTAATAAATAACTCACCCTTGCACCTGGAAGGCCTGCAGGCCCATCAGGACCTCTTGCTCCTCTTTCACCCTGGAAAAAAAAAATAGAAAAAAGATTATAGAAGAGATACATTTCTACACATGAGGCTACGTGAATTAGCGGAATTATACTCACTGGCCCACCTCTTGGTCCAACTGGTCCCACCTCCCCCTGCTCACCACGTTCACCCTGAAAACAAATGATGAGAATAAATGTTTCTTCATCCACATGCTCCTGTAGGTTCCAGTGAACACATAAATAATTGTGACTCACTGTCTTTCCATTATTTCCAATTGGACCTGCTACACCTGGATCACCAGTACTTCCCTGAAGCAAATACAAACAGATTAGATTCACATTTACAAAAGTTAATAATTTATACATGAATATATACATTTTTTATTAAGAGTTATATATAACCCCAAATCTGAAAAACTTAGGACAGTATGGAAAATACAAATAAAAAAGAAAGTAGTGCTTTCCAAGTTTACTTTGACTTGTATTTCATTGCAGACAATGAGAATGCAAAACCTTTCATGTTTTGTCTGCTCAACATCATTTCATTTGTAAAAATACAACCTTTCCTTTCAAAAGTTAGGACAGGAGCAATTTAGGGCTAGTCATCGGGTAAATTGGTTAAACAATGATCTGATTTGAAACAGGTGATTGTAATTATGATTTGGTACAAAAACAGCATCCAGGAAAAGTCTAGTCCGTTAGGAAAAAAGATGGACAGAGGATCGCCAAACTTCCCAACAAATATGTAAGAAAGTTATTGAAATATTTAAAAACATTGTGTTTGTCAACGAAAGGAAGACATTTGGATATTTCACCATAATTAAAAGAATCTGGAGGAATTTCAGTGCGTAAAGAACAAGGAGGTAAGCCTATTCTGAACGGCCGTGATCTCCGATCCCTCACTGCATCAAGAATAGTCATTCATCTATAAGCGATATCACCTCATGGGCTCAGGACTACTTTGGCAAACCTTTGTCAAGTACCACAATATGCAGTTACATCTACAAATGCCAGTTAAAACTTTACTGTGCCAAAAGGAAGCCCTGTGTTATCAGTGTCCAGAAGCGACTTCTCTGGGCTCTGAGGCATCTAGGGTGGATAATCACACAGTGGAAATGTGTACTGTGGTCACATGACTCAGTGTTTTGTGTATTTTTTTGGAAGAAAAATGTACACTGTGTGCTCCCAACCAAAGAAGAAAAGGATCATCCTGACTGTTACTAGCAACCGGTCCAGAAGCCATGGTCTGTCATGGTTTGGGGTTCTGTCAGTGGTAACTTGCACTTCTGTGCACCATTAATGCTAAAAAGTATATAGAAATTTTGGTGCACAATATGCTTCCCTCAAGAACACATCTTTTCCAGGGACGCCCATGCATATTTCACAAGACAATGATAAACACATTCTGCACACATTACAAAGTCCTGGCTGGAGAGGAAGAGGATACAGGTACTTGACTGACCTGACTGCAGTCCCGACCTGTCTCCAATAGAGAATGTGTGGTGCATTTTGAAGTGCAAAATGTGACAACGAAGACCCATACGTACTGTTGCGCACCTTAAGACTTGTATGCAGAAAAAAATTGGGAAAATATTACTTTATCATTTGGTGTCTTCAATCTACTTTTTTTTTCATTTTTACTAGTGTTTTCCCTACTTTTTTGATTTGGGGTTGTATGCAAAATTTTGTTTTGCTTTTGATATTTTTTATTGATTTGCTTTGCAAACTACATTTATAAAAAACAAAAACAGCAAAAAATAAAATAGTTGTTTTCTATTTTGATGTATTGCAAATTGTAATTCATTTCTGTAATTACATGTCTGATTCAGCTATTACTTCCATCTTCAGCTTAACATGATCCTCATATGTTAGTACCAGTGTAAACGCCTTTAACATTATTTTTGATTTATTTATTGGTGAATAAAAACATTAATTTCATCATTTTAAAAGCTTTTTCACTCTTGTTAGGGTATCCAGTAATTTATTTTAAAAAGTAATCTATCTTAAATAAATTAATTTAAATAATAGCAGACAATAGAAGACGTACTCCAAACAATTTACACTTGAATTACCTACTTTTAGACCCATGTGGCCTTTTGCTCCTGAAATGCCAGGCAGACCCTGCAAAAGAAAAGAAAATATGAAAAAAATGCTAGCCAATCCCAGATATTCCATCTCAAAAGCAGATATGACCGCGTACTGCCATTTTTAAGTAACTTCTGATAGTAAGCTTAAAACTGCGTTGTTGAGAGAAAAACACAGAATAATCAAAATGGTTTTAAAATGCAGCAGTTAGCCCTAAACACAATCTTTACATATAAGCATCTACTTTGCTTCCCCTCACTCAATAAATCCAACAGAACTGAGCTAAACAAACACCTAGATGTCTGTTATTTGCCACAAATACAAATGTGCAGCTTTATGCATATGGTTTATTTACTTAACACTAATTACACAATTAAGTCATCAAAGTCACTAATAAATTGCTGTTTGTTTACATCATAAAACATGTCATGTTCCAAAAGATACAGTAACTGAATTTCAGCCAATGGTCAAAGGTCATACGCACTGGAAATCCCTGAAGTCCAGCATCCCCAGGAGAGCCAACTTTTCCAGGAAGACCCTAAAACAACAACAGACATACGCAAACAACAACTTGAAATAAGAAAGAGACAAACAGTAGGGTAAAAAATAGGTTTGCTATGCATGGATTAAAGTCATTACCTTTACTCCAGGCAGTCCTGGAATACCATCACGAGCATCAACTGCTGGCAAACCCTACACCACAAAAATGGTCCTTAAAAAATACAATTTAATGATTTAGTAAGTTACTTTAGGATAGGGTCACTTACAGCGTCTCCTTTTGGTCCAGGTAAACCCGGAAGTCCTTGCAACCCTTCAGGTCCCTTTAAAGAAGAAGCTATATTAGCTAAATTAGGTTGTGGTAAAAGTTATTACAACTTTTGGAAAGGTCATTGTCTTGTTGATGTTTTAACGTCTCATATTGTATATGTCATACAGAACTTTTTAAAACACAATATTTACCTGCTTTTGTGTTACATAGAAACTGGGAATGATTTTAGTTGTAGGAACACCTTCTAAGGTATAATCCAGCACTATTGGAACTACAGCAACTAACTTGTACGCTGACTGGCGAATACATGACAGTGTTTCTCAACCATGTTCCTGGAGGACCACCAGCTCTGCAAATTTTCCTTGTCTTCTTAACCTAAAACACCTGATTCAGATCATCAGTTCATTAGCCGAGACTGAAAGACCTGTAATGGGTGTGACAGACAAAGGTACAAAACATGCAGTGTTGGTGGTCCTCCAGGAAAGTGATTGAGAAACACTGCCCTATAAAACTAAGGTACAGTATTTTAAAGTATTACAATATTAAAAATCATTGTGTCCTCCATAATCCAGTTGTTGATTTTGTTTAATGTATTGCTTCAGGCCGCTACTGATAGAATAAATACAACATGAATGATCCAAGGGGGAAATAGTTCTCTGTGAACCAGGTTTAATGGCTAATTCCTAAAACTGAATTTCTGTCAGCACCTATATTATTGTGTGCTGTGTGTCAGCATGTAACTTTGGGGCATCCCGACTCTCCCAAGTTTAAATCTCAACTTGCAGACCTTTTCCGATCCTTTCTCTATCACATTAAATAAACATTTTTTAAAAGTTGTTCCTATAACTATCTGGTGTAAAAGACTCTTAGTGTTTTGTTCCTATGCTTAAAGTGGCTTTGAGGGTTTTATTTTTATTTAAACTGAACCTGCATCAAGGTAAAGTGTGTCAAGGTTAAGAATCTCAAAATACCATTTTTAAAAACCTGAATGTTGGTTGGCACCAAGAGACTACTGATCAGTGTGCCGACATATAGCGCAACTGTGCTGCGAGCATCCCGAGTTCGAGTCCTGACAAACAGACCTTTTCCTGATCCCATGTTCTGTCCTGTTCCCCAACTTGACTTCCTGTCAAAATCCACTGCACTACCATAATATACAATCTCATTGCATCTAAAACAAATCTTAAAAAGTGTCTCTGATTGTTGCGTAAGCACATTTTAAGATTTATTTTGTGCAAGCACACATAGAAATACATTTTTTGCTTTGTTTCTCTTGCATACTATAGCCAAATTTTGTTTATTATAGAGGTTTGTGTGCTTCAAGTTCCTGTTCCTTGTTCTGTGTACTTTACTTCTTGTTTAGTTTGTTTATTATTAAAACACCTGAACTTACCTGAGACCCTTTTGGTCCAGTTTCACCATATTTTCCTCTTTGGCCTTGATCACCCTAAAAATATAAAATAATATAAGTCTACAGGTTTTATAGTCATTTTTTATAATGAAAAGCCCTGTAAAGATTATAAACAAATGTTTGTGGATGAATGTCAAGAATACTGATTCAACTTTGTAGTGACTTTTAAGGTAAATTATATTTTAATTAGGATTTTCTGACTTACAGGAGCACCTTGAATACCCTGAGGACCCAGATCTCCAACATTCCCACGAGGTCCCTAATGGAGAATAAAATCAATTGGTCATTTTAAACCTTGTCCTTAATTCTTCATTACTGATTAAGACATAAAGATATTTGGACAATCACCCTGTCCCCTTTAGGGCCCATCAATCCTGTAATTCCTCTGAGACCCTGCTTACCCTATATAGTAAATAGTAAAACAACAACACAAAGAAATGCTGAGTGACAGCACACTAAACATGAATATAAATGTGAATAATCATCATTTAACCATACAAAATAAGTTATTTAAAATGCAATATAAAAAACATTAGATATTATTGTCGTTTACAGGTAGTCCTTGTGTTCCCTGTTCTCCAGTTCGTCCCTGGTCTCCTTCTTCACCCTGTGAATGAAAAGACAACTAAATTACACACTCATGATTTTTGCACCTTATCTACTTTGGGTTGCTTTGGGGCTATGATCCCAATTTTCACACAAAGTTTGACTTCCGCAACTGTCACCTTATGTCCTTGCCTTCCTGGTTCTCCTGATTCACCTTTGACACCTTTGTGGCCCTAAGAATGAAACATCAGAAAAAAAAAGCTGTTTAAATATCGACGTGTGTTAGCTAGAAATGTGAATTCGCTGGATTGAATATCATTCAAGGGTTACCTTCATGCCTGGAAGACCTGTGTATCCATTCAGGCCAGAAGTGCATGAATTTGGACACTGAGAAATATAATAAAGACAAAATAATTAGTAGGAATATTGATATATACAGTGATTCATCATTTAGGATTCAGAACCCTACTTGAAACACTCAAATATATATTCAGAAAATAATCCAAATAATTAAAAACAACCTGCTGAAATAAAGATATAGAGATATTTCAAGTGGGGTTTGACATGAAGTGTGATTTTGCAAATGTTTTGAAATAGTGTGTGATGATGGTGATAATATTTTAACTTTAAAACACTAGCTTTGGATTTGCTAACAGCACATTGTCTAAAAGTCAAAACTCTGAATTTGTGAAAATAATAACAATGCATTGTGTCTTATTTGAAACTCTCAAACATTAACTTTATCCATCTATAATTAGCTTTAACCAGCTATAATTAAGTGAAGTTTATTTATAAACTAATTTCAAGAGGATCACGTGATTATGATTGAACACGGCTGGTTATGCATTAGCATGCATGATCCACCAATCAGGCCATTCCTAACCCACGATAAAGAGCCAGGGTTTTTCACTACAGTCATCTTCGATTTGAAGAATCCCCCCTTCCACCCCTACCTCTTCACCTTTCCCTCCATAAGGCGGCACTGTGGCCCAGTGGTTAGCACTGTTGCCTCACAGCAAGAATGCCACCGGTTCTAGTCCTTAACAGGCCGGCGGTCATTTCTGTGCATAGTTTTGCATGTTCTTCCCGTGCTCACGTGGGTTTTTCCCGGGTCCTCCGGTTTCCTCCCACATTCCAAAAACATGCACAACAAGTGAATTGATCAATCTAAATTTTGCACTACAGTCAATCTCTCAACCTGTAGCATATCTTTTCATAGCTTTCAAATTTTTAGTCATCCATTTTTATCAAGGGGGAGTTGTCGAGATCTGCCTGAGCTCAAGGCTCCCCTCTCGCCCTGCAAACGGGAGGGAGCCCAGGGCTCAAGGACCTTTCGAGCTCAGGGCTGCTAAGTGTGAACTCTTGAAACATTTGTTTTAAAAAACCATCAGTTGTTATCTATAAAATGGTTGGTGTATGTAAAGTCCTTAAGAAAATAAGAATGTGTAAGTATATATTAACAGGGTTTCTGCAGGTTTCATCAAGTCAAATTTAATACTTTTTAAAATCTTTTAAGACCATTACGACTGAAATTTTTGACATTTTAACAAAGTTAAACACTAAGGATTTTTTAATGGCCCGGCATTATCATTAGGAGTCATATAATTGCTATATATATATATATATATATATATATATATATATATATATATATATATATATATATATATATATATATATATATATATATATAATTTCCCTGATTAAGCAATTTAATAAGGAATTTGCTAAGAACTTAAATATAAAAAATAAGGTTTTACTGAGATGTATTGTTGGTCATTGGATGGATGTCAGCCAGATTGAGTAGCTTTATTTGGACAAAGCTAAATTTAGACCTGTTTAAAATGATTAAAGACCTCCGACACAATATTTCAGCAAACTTATGACTTTTCAAGGCCTAAAATTTTGTTTTTAAAATTTAAGACATTTTAAGACTTATTCCCCCGGTTTCACAAACAAGGTTTAAGGCTAGTCAAGATTAAATTGCATGTTTGAGCTGTCTCAACTCAAAATAACTTGCGGGGAGATGTCTTAAAATACGTTAGTATCATATTTTTTTGTCTCCAGGTGCACACCAGTCATATATTTTTCTTAGGTCATTTTATAAATGTGTCTTAAATAGCCTAAATTATCTAAGGCCTAGTCCTGGCTTGATCTAAGCACTGTTTGTAAAACTGGGCCTTTAAGACCCAGTGCGCACTCTGATTAAGAAACTAAGTATGGATTTTATATAATATTTAAATAGTATGCATATGAGAACAATACATTTTTACAATTTAAACAATTTGTAAAAATCAGTCAAATACATTCGTTCATTTTCTTTTCGGCTTAGTCCCTTTATCAATCTGAGGTCGCCACAGCGGAATGAACTGCAAACTTATCCAGCAAATGTTTTACGTAGCGGATGCCCTTCCAGCCACAACCCAACACTGGGAAACACCCATACACTCTTGCATTCACGTACACACACACTACGGCCAATTTGGCATATTCAATCGCCCTGTAGCACATGTCTTTGGACTGTGGTGGGAACCTAAGCACCCGGAGGAAATCCACGTGAACAAGGAGAACATGCAAACTCCACACAAAAATTCCAACTGACCCAGCCAAGGTTCGAACCAGCGACCTTCTTGCTGTGAGGCGACAGTGCTAACCACTGAGCCACCGTGATTCCCCCAATCAAATACAATACAATGACTTTAAGCTCTCTTGTCCTTGAAAATCTTTTAAGAATTATTGCGGTTGTTTAAAATATTTTTAATGCAATTTTGATTTCAAATCCATAGTCAACAGTACTGTTTTTTCTGTTTTATTAAATACCAAAAAATGTAATATTCAGGTTACACAAGCACAGCATTCCCCAGCAAACACAACTGTCTGAACAAGTGTTTGTTGTTGTTGTTGTTGTTTTTGAGAAGTAAAATTATGAAAATTAACATTGTACACACTCAGCTCAAACAGATTTACATTTTAAATATGTGTTGTGATTTATATCATTTTGCTAAGTTTTTGATTGCATGTAAGCTGAGAAGTGAATGCCAGATTTAGAGCAAAAGGTAACCAGGTATGATATACAAAAATACATACCAGCTCCTTACCATCCCAGACTCCAGGAGGGCCCTAAGAATAGAAGAAATATAATTGAACACTCTTTTTTCATCATCAGTGAATGCACATAAAAGTTAAAAAATATTTACTCTGGGTCCAGGCAGTCCTTGATCACCAACAGGACCTCTCACTCCACGGCTTCCCTTTAAAACAGAACCAGAAACCATTTTTATTTTATTATATTTCATTTGATTATTATTGTTTGAATTGCATAATGGAATGACATCACATACTGGAGGTCCAACTTTTCCCATCTCACCAGGTAAACCATCATCTCCATCAGCACCCTTCAGACAGAAAAGAAAACAATTCAAGAATTGATATCAGAAATAAGACAACAAAAGGCCTTATTAAAAACAAATAAAGATCGAATGTAGGACTGTGCACTCACAGCTTCACCATCCTCTCCAACACCCTGTTAAAAAAGTAACACAGTTGCAGTTATAAGAAATAAGCAAGTAGGTCATAAACCTGATCTTGATCCAATAACTTACTGCTTGCAACTGTTTAAAGCATTTACAACCATACAATAAAAGGAAGTCTCTCTTCAAATGTACATCTTTACATAGTAACAAACTAATGGAATAGAAAATATTAACATATTAAAAGGAGAGTTCACTCAAAAAATTTATTCTCATTAACTCACACTCAAGTGGTTCAAAACTTTTATGAGTTCCCTTCTTCTGTTCAACACACAAGTATATATTTGTAAGAATATTGAAAAGCTGTAACCATTGACTTCTTTATTAATTTTTGTTCCTGCTTTGAATATTAACGGCTGCTGACTTCCAACATTCATCAATCTTGTGTCCAACATAAGAAGGAAACTCATAAATGTTTAGAACCACTTGCGTGTGATTAAATGGTCAAGAAATTGGGTGAACTGACTGAAATTTTTAAATCTGAAGGATTGATGTACTTACAGCGGCTCCTCTCAGTCCCGGCTCGCCAGGTTCACCCTAATAAAGAATAAACGTCAGATCACGACATCTTTTCATATGAACTTAATTAGAATTTAATGAAGCATCTAGTACTTTGTTTCAAATGTTTATGTGCGTTTTCACTTATTGTGAGGTGGAAACTTACTTTCTGTCCAGTAGGGCCAACAGGGCCAGGAGCACCACGGGGCCCAGTCAAACCCTAAAAATTTAAATCATTTATGAGCATCAACTTTCATTGTAGATCAGTGTTTCTCAACCACATTCCTGGAGGACCACAAGCACATTTTTCATGTCTCCTTAACCAAACACACCTGATTCAGATCATCAGTTCATTAGGAGAGACTAAAAGACCTGTAATGGGTGTGACAGACAAAGGAGATGACCAAAACATGCAGTGTTGGTGGTCCTCCAGGAACGCGGTTGAGAAACACTGATGTAGATCATATACAAGCATGTTACTGATGGACTTCAGTGGTAATTATTTATCAGTATGTCTAATATAGACAAATATATTTTAATATATGTTATTTAATGTGTTTTTGTTTTCAATGAACTGAGACACAAAAAAAAAGAAAAAAAGATTTCTTTAAACTAATCAGAAATGCACTAATCACCTGACCTTAACAAGAAGCAAGCCCCACCCATTTTTTTTTTATATATGTATAGACCCCTAAAAATGCCTGTTATAGACTTTAATATGGGGAACAAAAAACATTCGTCCAAATGGACTTCGACCGAAATTGTTTATTTTTTTTTATCATTTTGCATAAAGTATTTCGATTTGCTAAAAACAGCAAATGTATACACAACTTACAATAAATATTACTTTTTATTACTAATTTAGTGTTATTAATTGATTTATCTTACCGAGTTATGCTAATGTGCTAATTCAAATGCTAAAAGTACGATTATACCAACAATGTAAAATCTTTATGCACACTGTCAACAATAAATTCGTAAAATGTATGGTGAAAAAACAGCAGCTGAGGTTGCCAGTATTTTACCTTTAAAAATACGGAACAAACCGTAAAAAATAATTACTCATTTTTACAGTGAACTACCGTATTTTATTAATTTATAGATGTAATATGTCTGTATTTTGAATTAACAACATCTACACATCTTTTGATACACAGATAGACACGTTAACACAGCCATATGGAGGTGGTGATGAAAAAGTTACATAATAAACCAATGCTCATCACAAACAAGCAGAAAAGTGTAAGAGTGAATGGAAATGTGCTCAGTGTCATTCACAAAGCTACTAAACACCAGTATGGTAATATACATAAAACTGTTAACCAGGTAACAGATTTTTACTGTTGCATTTTTACAGTTTTTTACCATTAAAATCACGACCATTTTTTACAGTGTATTGTTGATTAAGTATACTCACATTTTTGCATGATTATGCTAAGCTAACATAAAAAGACAACACCATGATTATACATAAAAAAGTACATTACTTAATCATAAAGTCTCTGAAAAGAGAATTAATATCTATATTATGCTTAATTCAACATATCGGGTTTATTTACATTTTTTTAAGTATTTGTTTGTTTTATAACACTAGCAAAACTAGCAAGCTAAAAGCTCAAATGAGCCAGAAAGCAGTTGGTGTACTTCAGTTTAACACTTAGTTCCATCAGTGGTCCTATACACAGCTCGGCTCCTGTGGCTCCGTCTTTATACAAAAAGGCCTCTGTCTCCATCAGGAAGCCAATATGGGGCTCTCTCTGCTACCGCTTTCCTCCCTTTTTTTCATCAAGATGTTTTTTTTTTCATTTACATGCCTCCACTCGCAGTCTCTGATGCTCCAAGTGAAAAAGCTGATTTTGTCTTGTTTTCCAGACCTTTTAAAACTACAACAAAATAATAGTAATAATAAAAACAAGACTCACATCTGCTCCAGGTTTTCCTGGAAGGCCATTTAACCCATTTCTGCCATTGTCTCCATCAAGGCCCTGTCAAATTCATTAGAGAAATAGATTAATGGATTTCATTTTAAATATATAGAAATTATTATTATTATTATTATTATTATTATTATTATTACTTAATACTTACTGGGGGTCCAACTGGGCCGGGGCCAGGTCCTCTTTCACCCTGAAATTACACATAATAAAAAATAAATTACTCAATTAAAATATATAACTTTAGTGCTAAAAACATTGAGGAAAGATTGTACACAGACATTTACATTAATATTTCTGAAAAATCAAAATAAAATGATCAATGTGTGACTCACATCAATGCCATCTACACCAGGAAATCCAGGAAGCCCTGGAGGTCCAGGCAGCCCTCTCGGACCAACTGGCCCCCTCTAAAAAAAACAAATAAATAATAATTTTTAAAAACTATCGCTTGTTCAGAATTGATCCTATAGTTCGATAGCCCAAAAACAATGAAGTCATTGTATGTCTGTCCACTGATGCTGTTGTTAGAGGAATAACACTAGGTATCCTCTTACTTTGATAAAGTGATAACAGCTGTGCCCACCTGGATCAGATTAGTGAAAAAAAAATTACTTCCCTATGTCACAAGTTCTGACTCTCAATTACTCACAAATACTGTAGTCAATGAAGAATACTGACCACCAGTTAACTGAGCGATAGACTACAATTTAGAAGTGTATAGTGTATTTTTAAAATGATTTGTTATTTATATATAGGCTATATTTTAATAAAACCACATAAAAACACATTTATTTGCGTCAGTATATTGTGTATTTTATGTATTTGCCTCCATATTGTATATTTAAGATATTTAGATGACCAGATTCATTAGCAAAAAATAAAAACCGTTCATCTAACCACAGAAGACCCAATTCATTAGCAGAAAATACACACAGTTTATCTGTACTACAAAAAAAATCCTTGTTTCTTACCTGTGCGGAGATGATGAGGACTAACTGAAGTAAAATCAGTAGCAGGGACGCGCGGAGAGTCCCGGCGTGCGCCATGGTCACCCCGATGACTTAAAGATGGCAATATAGTCCTTTTTAGGAGATTTGTTGGGGGTTCTCGGGTTTTCTGGTAATATTCCCCCAACTAAATCTCACAAACTACCAGTCTCTCGGTGGAGTATTAAAATTTATGTTTATTCATAAGCCGTGCAGAGAACTAGAATCTGGTTGGATGGGAGTTCTGAGGTTTGCACAAAAAGGGCGTGGCTCTAGCTCAGGGTACCTGCTTTGGGTACCGCTCGTAAATAATAATTCGATGTCAGTAAATTTGACAGTTTTTGCAAAGCTTTCAGTATTTCAGAGGTACAAATTAAACACATAAAAAGTCTCTTTTGAGATTTGCACTTATTGAAAACACGTACACACACATTAAGTTGCATCAGTCTTTTGCCTATGCTTATAATTGTCTAAAAGCAGGTTAATTTATTATTTTAATATAACAACATTTTAACATAAATGTCATCAAGGTTTTCTTCGAGGCAAACAACAAAAGTAAACAGCAAAAGAATGAAAATAAGTAATTTATACATAAATAAAACACAATGAGCTTTTTATGATGATGCTTTCCTGTCAAAAGCAGTGCACTCTAAGAAATAAACATTTATATAGGCCTAAATATTTTTTGTCCAGACCCCAAAATTAATATGTAGCATGCACATTTTACAACTCAATCTGAAATGATTACAATGAGCCACTATTGTGTCTGTTTTATTGTGAGTGTGTGTGTGTGTTTTTTTTTTTTTTTTTGCATTATAAAACAATTACACTAAGGCAAAATTCGTTTTTTTACAAATTTCATCTACATTTATAGAGCAGAGCAAAAATAATAATCAAATCATTAAAATAATACTACAAATAAATACACTTAAACTATGGAGCAGACACACAAACAAAAAGAAAAGAAAGGTAAAAAAAAAACACTTACACTACCGGATCTTTTATTAATTTTTTTTTTTCAATAAACTAAACAGTCTTCTTCCACATTTTGATTTGAGCAACTTTAAAGATTTAGAGTATAACCAAAATTCCTTTTGGAAAACTAAAAACAGCGGTTTTGTCTTTAGCAATTGCATTTATGAATATAAAATGTCTTCAAAATTATAGTATAGTTCAATACGAATTGATTATTAACATATTTCCCTAATAAACCAAAGAAAATATGAAATAATATAAATATAATATAAATAATTTTTAGAAAATTGGGAGGACAACATGAGAGAAACCTTTAACCACTTGAATGAATCAGACCAAAAGGTTCTGCTACATAAACATTCAAAAAATAAGTGTGCAGTCGTGTCAATGTCAACCTCATAGAATGAACAATTGTTGTGATCAAAATTAAATCTATGTCTAAGAAGCTCTGAAGATGAGTAAATCTCATCGAATATTTTAAAATGTCCTTCTTTTGCTTTGGGAGGTATGGACAAGGAAAGGAACATTGTTCCTAATTGGATAATAAAGCTCTTGGAAAAAAGAAAACACATTATTTTTAGCTTGTATTAGAAATTTATCTTGGGTTAATATTGATCTTATTATTTTATTAGATATTTCACTCTGAATAAAATCTTGTCCATTTTTTAACATAAGGCAGATGAAGTGTGTCATTTATATTGGTGACCACATTATTACTAAGCATCAGTAGAAATGCCTTTGTGATAGATCTTAATACGTTATTGTATTGTTTATGATCACATTCAAAGTTATATTCTTCACAAAAAAATTCTATGACTGAGAACCTTTGTCTAATAGATGGACAACTAACCAATACTCCTCCCACCATTCTTTATAAAAACATATTTGTTTTTTTTTTTTTAATTACTTATTGTTTCAAATTTGTGAATTATGAGAGAAAATTTATGTTTGTGAATTAATTGCCAGTATAAATAACCTGTTTATAATTTAAGAGGGAGTTTTTGAATTAAAAAATCACAACGTAATAAGAGATCTATTAAACCTACACCCTTTAAAATATTTTTTGGGATATAGAATTCTTTTAGCCAATTAATCTTAAACATGTCATTCAAAATCTATGGCCTGCAGACCCCCATCTCTATAATCCTTCACTGTTGTTTCTTTTTTAGCATAATGAGCTTTTCTCTTCCAAATAAAGTTAAAGTTCAACTGATAAATTAATTATTTTGTTTTGTAAGAAATGGAAAGGGAACCTGGGGAGTAAACTTTATAATTTTTTTGTGGTTTATGAGCTCATCAGATGTTCTCCAATACACCAGAAGGCGCTGTAACTTGCTCTTTGTCCGCGGATTCTTACTCTGTTATCTTTTTATTTTGAAATCGGAACCGCCGCCGTTGTCCTGGTACTGAAAACAACAACAAGCAAACCTGGCCATTTAAAGGTGAGAAAACACAGAATACACGTTATTTAACCATCCCTTATGTTTTATTGTGTTGCCGCGACAGGCTTCTTATTTCAACACTATCGTTATCTATGGACGTTAGGTTGTTTTCAGTGAGGAAGTAAAGAGAGTTTTGTTTAGATTCAGCGAACGTGTTTTCTCTTGAGGAAATGCGACGTTTTTACTAATACTGTACAAATCCTATAGAGGTAAAGTTGGTTTTATATTTAGATATTCAGACATTCTCCTTAATAATATAATTTCAGAAAAGTATTCTTTGCAAATTCTAAAGTAACATGGTAAACAATATAGAGACTGCTAAATGAAGGAATGTGCGAATATAAAACCAACTTTACCCTTATAAAAATACTTACTAATAACTGTTATCTGTGTTTGGTTAATAAAAGATGGAGAGTGTGGACTTTTCCGAGGAGGAGATCCAGGAGCAGTTGGCTGCGCTTGGATACAGTCATATTTCCAAACAAAGACTGCGCGAATTCAAGCGAGGTTTTTAATTCATTTTAAAACATTTCACTGTCTTCTGTGTGTGTTTTTTTTTTTTTTGGGCATTTTATAACATACCTGAGCTTGCCTTCAAATAACGTGTCTTGAATGACATCTCCACTAGATCTAGATCATCTGATCCGTCATGAAAAGTCTAGGAGTCAGAGCTCTAGTGACTGGACTTCTCCAGCATCACAAAGCAGAACCAGCAAAAGTCCACCTGCCCTTATTAAGGAAAAGGGTGAGCTGTCTCTCTCTCTCCTGCATTATCATGTCACTTACCATAATAATACAATAAAGTTACATTATTTAAAATGTAATATATTGTATAACAATTCATTCGCCCTTTTAATGTAACATTACATTTGATTATTTTAGATTACTTTTCAAAATTTGTAACGTTTTCAAAAGTTTTTAGCTCTTAATAATTTTCATACATTGGTTCAATGCTAAGGATTTTTTGTACTGGTCCGATCGGGCAAGTGGTTTAGATTTTTACTTGCCCTGCCAAAATCTTCACTGGCCCCACCAAAAAAAAGGGAAGGTAACCACATATTTTAAATAATGTGTCAAAAATAAAGTCTGTAAGTCTATAATTTCAATACTTAAAAAACAATTGTAAATATAAGTGTTATGCAAACAAAAAGAGCAGTATGGAAAATGCGGAGGCATTTTTTGCAGTTTGAAATTATTTAACAAAAGGTGGCTGACTTGTCAAACTGACGCCAAACTATGCATAACATCACTTCATTTTTATTTTGTCGTGTTGTTTCCACGTAAATCTCTACTTCCAACACGTTAGAGACAGACATTTTCGTTTAGCCTTTTAATTTGATGTTGCCACCATGTTGCTGTTTCTATGCTGTACTAGTTGTTACCAGGTTACAAAAAAAAATAGCATGGTCAAATCAATCAGATAAGACGAATTGGAAAGCAATATGTTGTTTACGACATTACAGAGTAGGTCACATTTAAAGATTTAAAAGCACAAACAAAAAAAAATGCACGCAATTGACAAATAGTCACAGACAAATTAAATGTTAGTGACAAGGCAGCACTGTCCCAATCGGGCCAGTAATGATCCGGTCTACTGTCCCAAGTGTCTCTCACGCTGGCCCTGTCCTTATTGTTGAGCCCTGCCACTAGTACTCATCAACACTGATTGTCAAAAAAATGAAATAAGATTAGATTAACTTAGTACTCATCAAAAATAATTCACATCAAAGATAAAAAGTTTGTCATTTAAGTGTGTGTAAAAAAGTTTATTTATATTTAGATCTAAATCACATATAAATGTGTATATGATACAAATTATATATAAATAAAATATCTATGTAACAAATTTTTGTTTCTATGTATGTGTGTGTATCATGTACATAATAAATATAAATTAAGGCTGCACAATATATCATTTCAGCATCCATATCGCAGATTTGCAATGTTGAAGGTTTATAGTTGATCAGCTTCACAATTCAGAGTACATGAGATTCATGGAGTCATTGCAAAGTATATCCATAATATATCACGATATATATCACAGAAAAACTAAATATCAAAATGTCCGATTATTCCAATTTCGTGCTGCCTTAATATAAATAATGCAAAGACATATATCATGTCAAAGCAAACTTTTATTTTATATGCGATTAATCGTGATAATTTTTTGCCCAGCACTAGAAAATTTAAATTTTCAATCAGACTTTAAAACCTTTTTTTTTTAGATACGGATTTAAAAACATAACAGTAATTAGTTTAATAGCTATGATAAAGTTTTTAAAATCAAATAATTACATAGCTATGAGAGGAAACAGGTTGTGCAGTGGTTAACATGATCGCCTCACAACAACAAGGTCGCTGGTTTGAGCCTCAGCTGGATCACTTGGCGTTTCTGTCTGGAGTTTACATGTTCTCCCCGTGTTTGCTCTGGTTTCCCGCACAAGTCCAATGACGTGCTACAAGTGAATTGGGTATGCTAAAATTGACCATGGTGTGTGTGTGTGAGTGAGTGTGTATGGATGTTTCCCAGTGATTGGTTGCAGCTGGAAGGGCATCCACTGCATAAAACATATGCTGGATAAGTTGCCGGTTCATTCTGCTGTGGCAACCCCAGATTAATAAAGGGGCTAAGCCGAAAAGAAATGATAGGAATGAATAAGAGGAAACACTGGAATCAAAAACAATGCCTTGGAATAAACAGAAGTATATATTTTTTATAAACCAAAATAGGAAATAAACACAGTTATTTACCAAACAGCTTTTTATTAGCAAGTTTTGCAAAATAGCCTTATTCATGTGTCCTAGCTTTTTACAAACAATATTGAAATGTAACAGCCTTTTTACAACATTTTTACATTTAATTAAAAAATATCCTCAGTATCTGTAACATATTACAGTTACACTTGTTTTGTAATTTAATTATGTATTACATAAGAGCATTTCATGTAACTAGTTACTCCCCAAAACTGAGAAAATAATGATGCATTACATTTATTTGTATTATATGTTTTCCTTAAATGCAAAGAACAAAAAGACATAAAATACAAAATTAAAATAACATGGGTAAATAAAAACATTCAATAATAATAATACATCTATTTTAAAGCAATGGTTCATGCAAAAATGAAACTCACAGTTTACACAAAGGTTCCAAACCTCATTGAAATTATAATTTTTTTTCTCATAAACAAAGATATTTTAAAGAATGTTGGAGACTGGTAGTCACTGACAGTCATCATAGGATAAAAAGAATACTGTGGAAGTCAGTGGCCACTGGCCACTATCCCTTTAATGCACAAGTGTGTAGAGAATTTTAGCTCTAGCAAATTTCATACAAAGAAGGGGATTGCATTTAATAAATATTGAGCAGAGAGAGAAAATGCTTTACTCCCAAAGTCTTTACTATGAATGAGGTTTGCAGAAACACACACGAGGAGTGTATTAGGTGATTTAATCCAGAAAAAACAAACAAAAAGCGCTCTGGGGCAAGCTCAAATGTATGGTCGGTGCTCTTTGGGTAAGGGATTCATCAAAACAGCAACAAGAATCAGTCCAAGGCACTCGAATAAAGTGAAAAATTTAAAAAGCCTTTATTCACATGGCTAAATCTTTAAAAATCTACGCGTTTCAGCAGAAGTCTGCCTTCATCAGGGTAACAGTGATCAGGTGCGTCTAGAGTCTCCTTTGAGTACTACGGTCACATGACTCATTTAAACATCTCAAATGGCATTCAAATAATTTAACAAGCAAAGTCTACTATCATCATAAATTCGGCATAGATACAAACACCCACTTGCATATATGGGAAAAGAGAGAGAGAAAAAAAAAAAAAAAAAGGGTATATACAAACACATACATCAATGTATAATGATAATCTGTAAAGCATCTATAGAAAAACTCATTCATTCATTAATTTTCTTGTCGGCTTAGTCCCTTTATTAATCTGGGGTCGCCACAGTGGAATGAACCGACAACTTATCCAGCAAACGTTTTACGCAGCGGATGCCCTTCCATCCGCAACCCATCACTGGGAAAGATCCATACACACTCATTCACACACATACACTACGGACAATTTAGCCTACCCAATTCACCTGTACCGCATGTTTTTGGACTGTGGGGGAAACCGGAGCACCTGGAGGAAACCCACACGAATGCAGGCAGAACATGCAAACTTCACACAGAAACGGCAGCTTACCCAGCTGAGGCTCGAACCAGCAACCTTCTTGCTGTGAGGCGACAGCACTACCTTCTGCGCCACTGCGTCGCCTCATTTAACATCTTATATGTTAAAAATGAAAACCTAAAATTTGTAATATTGAAATTGTAAAGATTCTTTGAAAACTTAATTTGTGTTTCTGCTTTAGTTCAGCTGAACAACATCGGCCCCAGTTTTAACTACGTTCCCTTCAACACCAGCTCAGCAGCTCAACAGAGAGAGGTATGACTTTCTACACATCTTAAAAATCAAAGCATTTTACCATTTCTGAATGCATAATGTATATGTTTTCCTGTCCATATCTAGATTTTCACCTCCACCTTTAATGAGGAAGATCATGAAGACGCTGGTATGAATCACTACTATGATTCATATTCACGACACTCAGTTGCTCATAGACCGGCACGGCCGTCCACAGCACCCAACAGATTGGAGACTGAGGAAAGACCCTCAGAAATATTTCAATCAGTTTTGGATGATAGTGAGACAACAAGTCCTGATGGAGATCATCATACTCATATGAAGCCTATGATTAAAAGGAAAGTGCTAAGGTAGGAAGATGTGACATTTATTTATTTAGATTGGGTCGTTGATGTAAAATATCATTATAATCAATGCACATTCGTTTCCTGTTGTCTTGTTACATAGGAAGCATCAAGGTCGGTCTCGTGTCTGTGATGAGTCTACACATAGTGAAGATTCTGGTAAGTTTTATGTAACATTTTTAAAAGTACTTCACTCAAAAAAAAAAAAAAAATTGTCATCATTTACTCTGTTTAACAGAGGTTTTTTTTTTTTTAACTGAAAATAACTCAAACTGGTTTGGAACATTTATTGGTTGATTAAATTATGGCAGAATTTTATATTTTGGGTTAACTACCAACCAAAAATTACTTGACCCCATTATAAGGCTTTGTTATATACAGCATATATACATCATAATGCTTCTTGAGTCATTTTAAAATGTTTGAAAAAGAATATATAAAATGTCCTAATAGTGTTTTTAGCAGCGTGGGTCACATATATGACTGTCAACAGCTCAAAAAATGTGTTTTGGTGTTTCGTGACCCTTTTTTCTACCTTCCTGTTGTGATCGGGTCAAATCTGACCGATTTACAAGTTAAAACACTCATAAATATTGTGTTTTACATCTGAATGCCTCAATATCTTATGATATCCTCCACACTAAGCACTTGAACATATAAAATTGATGATCATCTCTTTCATTAAATTTTGAGTGTTTTATTCAACCTTGCTACATCTGTGGTGTTCCCGATCAAGCAGGAGAACTTTTAGCTTAGCATCAATTATTTTATTGAACTAGACCATTAGCATCTCATTCAAAAATGACTAAAGTATAACTAGTGCTAGTTCTGTGTCCATATTCACCACCTATACCCTCAGTCACTACTTCCTACATTTTTTCACTAATATAGTTCAATTGAAGGACTGAAGGAAAATTTAAGCACTCAGTACACAGGAAAGGATACTGTTTTGTTTTGCTATGGTTGATAAATCATTCAAATGGATTAAAACTTCAGTTTCTTTGGTCAGACCCTGTGATAGTGTTTTATATTCTGTCATCTATTGTTCATTTTGTAATACGTTTTCAGTGTCTATTTGTCTATAGTTTTCACTGTAGTCAAATCCTATAAATTTATGTTAGACATTACTTTGTAGTGAGACATTGTTCACAGCTAAAGAATGTTGAATAAAAATTGTGTGGTGAAAAATGTTTTTTGTGCTAATTTAAGACCAGTTTTAAAACAGACTGGTCAATTTTGATCGGGAACAGTAAAGTAAGGTGTGGGATGTGAACACGATGGGAGGGTTAAAAGAACAACTTTGTAACATAGTATTTACTCTCATTTTCAATTTAAGAAGGTAGTTCACCCAAAACTGAAAATTCTATTATAATTTACTCATCAATCACTATATATTCATAAATTTTCCTTCGACTTAGCTCCTTATTTAGCAGAGGTTGCCACAGTGTAACGTACCAACTAATCCAGCATATGTTTTATACAGCGGATGCCCTTCCAGCCACAACCCAGTACTGGGAAACACCCATACGTTCTCACATATTCGTACACTACAGCCAATTTACTTCATGCAATTCACCTATAGCGCATCTCTTTGGACTGTGGGGTGAACCAGAGTACCTGGAGGAATTCCATGCAAACTCCACACAGAAATACCAACTGGCCCAACTTGGACTTGAACCAGTGACCTTCTTGCTGTGAGGCGACATTGCTAACCACTGAGCCAAAAACATAAACTTCGGTAGTATTCTATAATAAAAAAAACAAGCTCCCATACAGCAGGTGGCACAATTACCCTTGTTAACCCTAATAAGTTCTTACTGGTAATCTTCTTAGTTACAGCCCCTCCCTCTCAGCCATCTGCTTTGGCTCAAAAGCTGAGCTGATTTTTATACTGAGGCCTGAGAGAGAGAACTGTCTATCTACCTCAGGATGTATAAAGCTTTTGAGAGCCGTCTGGAAAATGAAAGCAATGAAGATGAAGCATCCCTGTCCTCTTCCTTCTGGACAGATCGAGAGAGCGAGGAGGAAAATGAAAAGGACTATGTTAAGAAAGAAAACAAAAGGACTGAGAAAAGGCCTGAAAGAGACAGTAAAGATGAGCAGGATAATAAAGAGAGGACGATGCATAAAAATTTGGATTCTGAAGACGACAAGGAAAAAAGAATGGAGCAATTCACAAAAGCAATTCAAGAAAAAGGAGATGAAAAACAAAGTAAAGAAGAGAAAAATGTAAAAGAGGTTAAAAGTAAAGGAAACATGAGTAAAGAAGCAGGCAAGAGTGAGGAAGAAGAGAGTGAAGAGGAAAATGCAAGTTCAGAAGAGGAGAAAGAGAGTGAAGAGGAGGAAGATGAAAGTTCAGAAGAAAATGAAGATGAGAATGAAGAGGAAGAAGAAAGTAAGGAAGAGAACAAAGGAGGAAAAGAACAAGAAAGTGAGCATGAAGAGTTTGAGCTATATGAACTACAAAAAGAGATTGATGATGACTCAGAAGAAAGTGAGGTGGAGGAAAGTGAAGAGGAGGAAGACGGAAAAGAATTTGAAGACAAGGAAGAGCAAAGTGAAGTAGAAGAAGGGGGAAAGGAAAGTGAAGAGAAAGAAGAATGTGAAGAAGAGGAAATGGTGGAAAGAAGTGAAGCGTCAAAAAAAGAGAAGAGTCAAGAGGAAGAAAAAGAGCAAGAAAGTGAAGAGGAGAAAAAAGAAAGGGACCTTGATGAGACTGAAGAGCAAAGTGACGTTGAAGAAGAGGGAAAGGAAAGTGTTGAAAAAGAAGAAAGTGGAGAAGAGCTAACGGGGGAAAGAAGTCAAGAGGAAAACAGTGAGCAAGAAAGTGAAGAGGGGGAAGAAGGAAGTCAAGACGAGGAGGAAGAAGAGTTTTCAGAGGAAGAACCAGAAGATAGTGAAAAGGAGGAAAAAGAGGAAAAATTTTTTGGAGAAGATGACATACAAAATGAGGAAGAGGAAAAAAAAGAAGACAGTAAAGAGGAAGAAGAAAGTCAAGAGGAGGAACCAGAATTTTATTTTTGTGAACAGAGAAAACGGAATGAGAGGAAGGACGAGGAAGAGCCAGAAAAGGAAGTGACTGAGGATGAACTAAATAGTGAGGAGGAGGGAGAAAGCTTTAGTGGAGGAAACACTGAGGAGAACGAGGAGAAAAAAAATGAAATTGATAATTCAGAGGGTGAAAAAGATCACGCCAATGAACAAGATAAGCTTTATTCAAAAGAAGATTTAAATAGTGAAGGAAGGCTTACAGGTATAGATTCAGACATGGATGAAAAGATAAACAATCTCTCCAGGAAAAAGAGCACTGGTGGAAGTGGGGAGGAAAACTATACATTTTCAGAGGAAGAAGGCGAATATGAAGGAGATAACCTATGTTTTGCATCAGAAGATCATGAAGGCATTAAAGGAAAGGCAGACATTGATAAATCTTTTTTAATGAAAGAAAGTACAGAAAACTCTGAAAGTGAGGGATCCGAGAACAGCAAACAGAGAGAACCTAACAAAAACAATGAAGAGGAACTAACTGAAGAGGAAAGAGAGTGTTTTATAAAAGACTGTACAGAGGAAAACATTGGCAGCAACAACAAAGAGGAGGGGATTTGTGAAGGAAATGGAAACCATGTCAAGGAAAAGAGGCAATATTTGTCGGATGACTATGATGAAGAGATAAAACTTCGAAAGAGTGAGGAAAAAATTAACAACAAGGACCTGGTAAAGAATGTGCCAGGAGCAGATGAACATGACAGTGAGGCTGAAGGAGAGAAACGACAATCTAATTCAGCTGAACAGGATGATGAACAAAAGAAGAGCAAATGGTTTTTTGATGGACCTGTTGAGGAAGAGGAAAGGCAGGACAGGAACTCATGGATGAGTGATGATGATGATTATGATTATGTTACAGTAGTCAGTGGCCAGTCTGAGAAAGAAGAGGATAATTATACTTGGGGACAAGAGCTGAAGCTGAAGAAGGGAACTAGAGATATGGGTGTTGGCGATGTTCATGAAAGTCTGGGCAGTCCTGCTGCAAGCATTTTAACATCTGGCTATGGCACATACAGACCAGACTCGTCGAAATATGGAGACCCAGAAGAAGTGGACTATAGAGACGACTGCACTGTGGCTGGATTAGAAGAAGAGAATGAATCAGTTTTATATGATATTGACTATGAAGATAACAGCAGTCTGCTCTGGTTCAAGGAAAATCTAACAACTGATGGACGAGGTCCGACAGAATCACCTGATGGTAGGCAAATTGTGGTTGCTCAGCAAAGCCATGATGGATTTAAGGATAATAAACCTCAGTTTCCCGATTTGCCAAGTCAAGCCGAGCAGCACCAGAGTCCAGCAAAAAATGACAATGCAACTGAAGAGTCAAGCTCCCAAAATGTGGCGTATTTCAATGAAGGTTTGGAGTTGGAGGCTTTGCGGTACAGTCTTGACCACCCCTTTAATTTGAGGCACAGGAGGGGCAGAGTTCAGAAGAGACCCGAGGAGAGACAATATCATGGAGGATATGATGAGGAACACCAAAGGAGAAAGGAGACGAGAGTCAGAGCTTATGCTGGCTGCCTTGGTGTGTTACACTGGTTAATGGGATTTGCTTTAATTTTAAAGGTGTCAAGCATCTCTGCATAGTTTAGCTTTAAACCCTAATCAAATACACCTGAAAGAACTAATCGAGTCCTTTAGGCTTGTTTAAAACCTTAAAGTGTGATTAAGCAGAGTTGGAGCTAACCTCTACAGGGCTGCAAACCTCCAGGAACTGAAGTTCATACCCCTGTTTTAAAATATTGTCATAGTTCAGCCCCCCAAAAATTACAATTCTGTTATCATTTACTACATCATCCTCCACTTCTTTTAAACCTGCCTGAATTTATTTAATCTTTTGCAAACAAAAGAAGATAATTTGAAGATATTTTGTTGGAAACCACTAGCCATTGACTTCCATTTTATGTTTTTTGATTTTTTGGTTGCTTTGGATGTCAGTGACAGTGACAATTTCAACAATCTTCAAAATATCTTATTTTGTGTAAGAAACTCATAAAGAAACTCATAAAGGTTTGTAACCACTTGCGATAGAGGAAATAGTGAGTCAGATTTTCATTTTAGGGTAAACTGTCCCTTAGCATCATGAGACGCATATATGACTGTCAGCATCTCAAAAAAAATGTGTTTTGGTGTTTCGTGACCCTTTAACGTCTGTTAAAATCAAATACTAAAACAACAGTAGAACTCAGAGCTGAGTATGTGCAAAAGTGAAAGTAATAGTGCAGACGAGAATTTCTACACAAACAATGTGAAGGGAACTCAAGGGAACTGGACTGAAAAAGCTGTGTAGCCTTAAGAAAACCACTTATCAGCAAGGCTAAGTTAAAAAAAAAGGCTTACATGTGCTAGGAAACGTAACGATCGGACTGAAAGAAGGTGATGTGGTCTTGCGAGTCCAAATTAACCCTGCTTCAGAGTCTAGTAATAGTCCCATAACAATTGTCGAATAGTTCTCTGATTGTAGTTATCTAATATACTCATTCATTTTTAGGATAATCTCAATAATTGTGTCATTAATATATAAAAAAAATAAAATCACACGATCACAAGCCAAACAATGATCAATGCATGTGAAGTTTGCAGAACACTCCATTTTTACTTTTAATTTAGCTTGTCATTCCAAAAATTAATACGCTGGGTCCAAAATTATATATTTCCTTACTATATAGTATGGGAAAAGCAGTATATAAGTAGAGTAATATGTCTGAATTCATAGTATTTGAAAAATAGCAGCACACTATCCCGTGATGCCAAGTGAGAGAATTCATTAATGGGAGTGAAATGATGCAATTGATGCGGAAAGGTCAAGTGATAATGACAAAGTAGTAGTACATCCAAATTCCATTCACTTGCAATCATAGTATATATAACATACTTTTCTAAAGGTTGTGAAGTGAATTCAATGTAGTACCTACTTTAGTGGTGTGCAATTTTGGTTGCAGCTATAATCCTTTTTACAAAGTTAGTAATAAGTGGGCGTGCTAATTTTTGATGGAATATTTTTCTCTGTTCACACAATTCTGCTTAAGAGACATTTCTTATTCTCAATGTTCAACACAATTGTGTTGCCTAATGTTTGGAAGATTTTAAAAAAATATTAGACTCCTTTGTCACTTTTTATCAATTTAAACAAATTCTTTTTTCAAAAATATCACGTCAAATACTATCTAAAACTCTTTTGTGGAGTATTTGTGCACATTAGAGATGTAGTTTAAATGTGTAGGATATGAGTAATCATATCCATATGTTTTGCAGGTACAGTCAGTGAACTGGAGGAGCGTTTGGATCAGATGCGGATTCCTACTTCTCGTGTGCATTATGACTCAGAGAGTGAAGAAACAGAAAGCTATACTGACAGAACCAGCTCAGTGACAGAGGAATCCTCAAGTGCTTTCCAACAATACATCAGAGGCATGGTCAGTATATAAACATTTTCCTACATGTCAGTCTTAACGTTTTGAGTGATAAACTTTAATTTTTTTTTTTTATAGACACGATCACACAGTGAGAGTGATATCCGACCTCGTCCAAAGTCATGTGAGTGTAATTTTCCTATTTTCAGTTCTAAGATTCTTTGATTGTTAGTTTGAGGGCATTTACACAGTCTGATTCTCTTCCCAGTTATTAGGCCAGTTTTTGATCATCCTCACACAAGGAACTTGAAGAAAACTGATCCAGTTGCAAAGTATGTAAAACCTGAATCTTTTGTTATTGGTTGAAAATTTTACTTTTGTTAAACTACACTATGTAGCTGTGGTTACGGAGTGATTTTGAGTTGCATCGATTTGTCACCAAAATCTTGTATTGATTATTGTAGAGTTGGACAGCTAGATAAATTATTCTTCAGCACATTTCAAAGATTTTCAATAGGGTTAAAGTCTGGACTCTTTGGTGGCCAATTCATGTGTAAAAAACATCTCGTGCTCCCTGAACCGGGTCTGGCTGCAGTCTCGGTGCAGATGCAAGCTGAGCTGCATCCAGTCCTTTTTATTGTGAACACCTAACCCCTCCCCTAACCCCTGACATCACCAGCTCCACTGACTTCATTGTGTCTGACACTGCATCTCTGGGCGATGCAATCTCAGCTTGCATCATAAGGCTGCATCCAGATACTATTGGAAACTGGAGCTGACCAAATTGCAGCATCCCCAGATCACAGCACTGCCACCCAGGTATGGTAAGCACCAGGCATGATGGGTGCATTACTTCACCCACCTCTCTTCTTAAGCCTGGTTTATATTTCTGCGTCAAGTGATCGACTCACGGTGGCGAGCCAGATTGACTCTCAGTCCACCGGGAAATATTCCGGTGCTCGCTATAGCGAGTACGCCCCTGGCGTGACACATGGTGCATGCAACGTGCGTAGCTGTGCATTCATACTTCTGCGCGCTGTTTCTGTTGCTCTGCAATAACACTTTCAAAACACTAGTTGGCAGTGAGGTGTTTATGTTCCTCTGTGCCGAGTTTCTTTGCTAGTGTTTTGTTTTTTCTGAACGCTTTCTTAATGTACAAGTGGTTCAAACTCGCTCATTTTGAGGCAGTAACAGGCGGACGTGCAACAACTTTAACCATGAGGTAAATACAATACAAAACAAAACTTTCCATTCAGAGCTCCTTCAAGGGACTCCACATTTGTAAACAATCACTCCAATAGGCTCGCGCGGCTCTCTGTCCTGCCCAGACTTGTCAGTACTACCAAGTCGACCAATCACAGAGCTTACGCAATGCGTAGTTGCGAGGTGTTGTTACATTTTTCAAGGTGCGCATCAGCGATGCCACGGCGAGGGCTATGCGTCCACGTGTAGGCCACGCTGTAGCATACGCGTGCGCTTGACACAGAAGTATAAATCTGCCTTTACCTTGATGTGCCCATTAATCTGGAGCAGGGTCAATTTTGACTCATTGAACCACATTACCTTCTTTCAGTCCAATCGTCATGTTTCCTAGCCCTTTTTTTTTTTTTTTTTTTGCTTAGCCTTACTGATAAGTGGTTTTTTTAAGCCTACACAGCTTTTTCAGTCCCGATCCCTTGAGTTACCCTTAACATTGTTACTGTGGAAATTCTTGTCTGCACAATTACTTTCACTATTGCAAATACTACTGTTGTTTTAATATAAGATTTCAACAGATGTTAAAAGTCTGTGTAAACCAGTAGTTTCTAAGACTTATTTCAGGATGTTGATGTACTTCCAACAGAATCAAAACTAGTGTCAGGCAGGGCTTTCTTTTTTCCAAATCATTCCCTTGTAGCAAACTAATGATAAGAGGGAGTGGGTAAGAAAATTGTGGCTGAAGGCATCTGACAAACATTAACAAAGGACTGCTCCTCCAAACTAGGAAGCAAATGCTCAGACTTTGATTGAAGATTTGCCTTCAATAGATGAAAAAAGATGAGTGCTATTAAAATAAACATTGCAAATTCAGATTTCACACTGACTTTGTGATTGCGATTTCAAACATTCAAAATTTTTCCCTTCCTCAAAGATGATGGTTCCCCACTATCACACTTTGGTCCTGGCTAAATACTCTCCATCAGCCCTCACCGAATCATGGCCTCCCAATCATCCCCATCCACTGAATTGGCTCTATCACTGTCTTTCCACTCTACCTATAGCTGATGTGTGGTGACCGCACTGGCGCCGTTGTCTTGTGGCTGCCGTCGCATCATCCAAGTGGATGCTGCATACTGGTGGTGATATGGAGACACCCCCCTCATGATTGTGAAGTGATTTGGGTGTATGGCCATACACAATAAAAATGCTGTATGAATACACATTGCATTAATAACCTTCCAGTTTTTAATAATGCGTTGGACAGTTCTTGACCCAATTTGAGTAGTCTGCAATCTCCCTGAATGTTTTTGCTTGATTCCTGCAAATTATTTGACTCTTCTAAAACAGATTAGCATCCACAACCACTGGATGTGTTTACTGACATGCGTTTGAGAAATGAGAAGCTGCTCTCTACATCAGTTACGATCAAATTACTCGTTACCAGCTGAAACGTAATCATCCATGCATTAATTATCCAAATGGAGGCTCTTACCTTATTGCATTTGGTAAATCCAGGTGCTCCCCTTTTATAATATTTTTTTAATGGGTGTATCCTGTAATACTTGGAACTAGAAAAGTTCTTAATTATTCACAACGTGTTTTGCTTCTTTATCAGGTATCTTCAGTATAAGCAGGAGTGGGAGATGTTTAAGCCTCCAGGAGAGAAGAGCAGGAAGGAGCTACATTGGGCCATCAGGGTACCATTCTAATATTTTTCTTGTCTTAAGATGAAAAGAGTGTTTGTTTGTTTGCTAATTTCAATAAAACAAACAACTTTTTTTTTCTTATCCCCAGGAACAACTTATGTATCAGCCTCCACCAGTAAGTCATGTTTTATAAAGTACTTTTCAGCATGTCTGTGTGTACAGCTTTAGAAAAGTGTACAGAACACTTAAAATGCTTTCAATTTAAAATTAAGGCTGTCAACATTGCCTCATGTGAAAAATATAAATTCTTAACACACTAAAATCATTTTAACCCTAATGATGCTAAATAAATGACTCAATGTCATTTTAGTCGTAGTAATTCTAAATATTATTTTAGAATAATAGTGAATTATTCCAGTGTGTTTTGCTATAGACAACAAGCTCAGTCAAGTTTCTGTGACTTGTTTTAAATGAGTGCAATACCTCCCGCATTAGACTGATCTGAATCTTAAAATACCCTGACAGCACTAACATTGTATCTATACATAACTTAGGCGGCATTTACACTGCAGATCTTGACGACCTATTGCAATTTTGGGACTGTCCGATTTTTTTTTCATGACCTGCTTATATCATCTTTTAAAAGCGACTCTTATCAGCATTTACAAAGCAATGGCAAAAGGCGCAATGACCAGAAAAAAATAGAGCAGGCGCTGACTCAAAGCTGATAATAAAAGAGGGAAGTTCTCATTTGGCCATCTTCTTTTATTCTAGGCCTTTTTAAACCAGTAGGCATTTTAATGTAATGCCAATGGTGAGATTAATGCACATGATGTATGCAATAGTTTTATATTAGTTAATATGGTGGATATTTTGCTTTCTCTATCGTTAACATGCTTAAATACTTGTGCTGACAATAAAAAAATCTTTTTTTTTTTCGTTCTCGTGTATGAGATATAAGGTTTGAGACTCTGCTGAAGTCTGCTCTGAAATGAAAGGATCAGACATACTGTCATACGCTATAGTTTTTAATGATGCGTGACTCACATTGACAGGTGAAAATCTGATCTACCTGCTTACACTGCAGACACGGGTCCAATTCATATCGGATTAATTTCCACAAATAAACAAGGCCTGATCTGATTGGAGTAAATCAAAATCCATGTTTTTTTTTCCTTACATGTACATGGGCCATATCCAATCTGTGCCACATGGGAGAAAAAAAATCGAATGGTGTCACTTGAACCATGCAGTGTAATGCAGCCTAATTACATATATAATTGTTTTTGTGTATTTTGTTCACCAGCCGAGACCTCAGAAGACATTCATCCCCAACAATTATGTGGTTCCGACAGAGAAGAAGCGATCAGCACTAAGATGGGAGATCAGACATGATTTAGCACACTGCATTATCCCTGCCAAAATCTCCTATCCTTAACAGACTCTTCCACCTACGCCTTATCTTTTATATTGAATTAATACTATTATTTATTCAAATCATCTAGCTTTTTTTTTACTTTATGAAGCATGTGAAATGAGACGCCCAGATCATTGTTTTTATGAAATAAACATTTTAATCCACTGAAGTCCATGCTGTTCATGGCAGGTCGCTGTATGGGAGTTTGAAGGGGTACAGGGGAGTGTAACGCACATCATGCCAGAGAAGCTTCTTTTCAAGGAATTTGACAGCCTCCAGAGTGAGAACCAGACTCTCGTGTTTCAACAAACTGTGGACGTTGAGACCTGTAAAAATGAAAAAGTTGCATATATAGTTTGCGTTCACATTTTCCGGTCAGTGGTTCTCCATTTCAGTCCCTGTGCACTACTATTTTGCAAGTTTCTTTTCACTTCAGATCTTTTCTAATTTGACTAAATGTCCTATGAAGTGAACAGGATCATGTTTCCAGTTTAAAGTGAGAGTCTGCATTTCGTTCAAAATGGCATTTTAGTGTGTAATATGTGAAGTTTGATTTCCCAGTGATGGGTTGCAGCTGGAAGGGCATCTGCTGCGTAAAACATATGCTACATAAGTTGGCGGTTCATTCTGCTGTGGCGACCTCTGATTAATAAAGGTACTGAGCCGAAAAGAAAATGAATAAATGAATGTGAAGTTTGATTACAGGGATATTTTCTGTATTAGTCAGTCACGCAACACATGAACATGAATTTCATTCATTCATTTTCTTTAGTCTCTTTATTTGAACATGAATTTAGTGATGCACTTTATATCAGTCATCATGTTTCCATGATTCAAGAGTTCACACTTAGCTGATAATCAATAAAGCGTATTTGGCATGCTGTCCCAGGAGAGAGCCCTGAGCTCGTAATATCCTCGAGCCTGGGGCTCCCTCCCGTTAGAAGGGCGAGAGGGGAGTTCGAGCTCAAGTAGATTTAGAGAACTCCCCTGCTTGTCGCCGTGAGAAGTGTAAACTAAGGTTGTATTGGGTGATAATTTGGTTTAGTCGATTGGCTATGGTTTATGTTTTTGGACGGTGGGAGGAACCCGGGGGAAACCCACGCGAACACAGGGAGAACATGTAAACCCCGCACAGAAACACCCGATAGGGCGGACCAGCAGTGATCTTGCTGTGAGGCAACAGTGCTAGCTACTGGGCCACTGTGTCGTTCAACAGAAAAGGGGGGAGGAAGTAGGGGTGGAAAGGGAAGGGGCTTCAAGACGAAGATAACTGAAGTGAAAAACTCAGATTATTTATAATGCTTCCATAATCATCTAATAGGGCAGATTACGGAGCTAATAAGGAGCCAGCCGTGTTGATCATAAGCACGTGATCCTCTCGAAATTAGTTTATGAATAAACCGCACTTCATGATTAGGGTGATTAGAATCTTAAGATCATTAACATTTTAGCTGATTCCTCTCTGTTGGAGATGTTGGAGATAAATGTTCATATTTTCATGAAAACTACTGACAGTTTGTAAAGTTGTTTCAAAGCTGCAAAACTTTCATAAGAGCGTCAGTAGGGCTGGGAGATTAATCAAATTATAATTGCAAACATGCTTAATCCAAAGCTGCAACTATCATGCACATCTTATGAGCAGAACACAGCTCTGTGATCAGTTGTAAATGTTCTCCGAAGGCCAGAGGGTGATCTTGTGCAAAACTGCCTCACAAACAAGAAACTCCCATAGGGTTACTGGTCAGCCATGTTAACATGGTAAATATCAAACCGCTTTCTGTTGCAGCAGCATTTAGCATATAGCCTTACGCCCCATTCACGGGGCTTCAGCGTCAACAATTGACTGAAGGAGTGTCTGAAGCGATCGTCATAAAAGCGTCAGCCAATGAAATTCAGTCAGCAATAGGCCACTGTCTGAGCTGGTGTATTTGCATACAGCGATCTGAATGGCTGATGCTTCCGTTGGCGCTTGAAAAGTTGAGCTAGTCCCAACTTCTGCATTGAGCAACGCTTCTGAAGCGGTGCCGACGGATCCACAATGCAGTTCAGCAACGCCTGACGTCACCCATTCAAAGTGAATGGGAAGCGTTGATGCTGACGCCCCGTGTGAATGGGGTGTAAGTCAACTGAAAATCCAAGCAAACAGCTGTTTATCGCAGAAAGATGATCTATCTTGATTTCACAAACATTATGGTGTTGTGCAAATTTGTATATGAACATTCCAAAGTGGGAAAAAAGGTTTCCCATGCTCACAGCGGTGAACATTAGCCTCTAAAGGATGCAGACTTCAAAGGAGAGTCATTCGAAGTCCACACAAGCCGAACCAAGCGTTTTGAAATGAGATGATCTAGCCTACAGAGGACAGATCTCATCACCTAGCAACCGTAACAGCTGCTGTTAATTAGCGGTAATAAAATTTGTAATGACTTTTTAAGTGAAGTTTATTTATAAACTAATTTCCAGAGGATCACATGCTTATGGTTGCTTGCAGCTGGTCTCGCATTATTCAATTCATGATTCACCAATCAGACGATTCCTAAGCCACTATAAATACCCTTACTTTCATATGACAGCCATCTTCGTTTTGAAGAATCCCCCTTCCACCCCTACTCCTCCTCCTTTCCTACATGGGTGGCACGGTGGCCCAGTGGTTAGCACTGTTGCCTCACAGTAAGAACATCACTGGTTCTAGTCCAGCATTTCTGTGCGGAGTTCCTCCCACAGTCCAAAAACATGCAACTAAAGTTAATTGACTAATCCAAATCGACACCATAGACATGCACCTAGTAAGTAGTTATCTCTGAAGAGCAATCACTATCCGTTCATTTCTACAGCAGGGATGAGATCTACCTGAGCTCAAACTCCCCTCTCCCATGACAGCGTGCCAAACAAGCTTTATAATTAATCATCAGCTATGTGTGAACTTTTGAAAAATGATTTTTTAATACTATAGGTGATCTGAAGGCAAAACTAAAAATATATTTCCTTTGATTCATACATGTACACATAAAAATGTACACGGTCTATAAAATCAGTTTTTAGTAAGACATGTCATACTCTGTTTTTTAACCTTATAAAACCTAATTTATACATTTATTCCTGAGTTTTCTTTTAAAAACTGCCTGCAGCAATGAATCTTGGGATGTTTGAGACTATGAAGGATTATAGTTTTTCTCCATTGATTTGACTCTTTTCTTGAAACAGAAATTACATTCTTAAAATTCCAAGATCATTTGGCAAAACAGTGTTACATTTTAGCACAACACAATAGCTCACACCTTTTCCAAAACAGTTCACTCATGTGTCAAAACTAAATTTCCTTCTCATTTAAACAGTCAGTGCCCCAAAATACCTCGTCCCTTTAGCATTGTGTAAGCACTGCAAGTCAAAATGTTTAGATGTTCTGTCATTACCACTAAAATATCCCTCATGTCCACCTTACAGTCTTAGCCCAGTCCTTCATAGTCAATGGTTACAATACTGTTTTTGTCTATCTAACAGAATATATTTGTGTATAAAACTGAAAAAAAGAAATAGGATTTTAGGGTAAGAGTAGCCTCCAAGGTTTGACGTCACACATTGCACTCATACTGCCAAGGAAATAGTAACTCCTTTTTTATTGTAAAGATCAACCACACACAAAGTAACTTTCGTATATCAGAGCAAAAAGAATAAATAGCTGTTATAAATTGTAATCAAATGTTCTAAGGGTTCACCTACTGTATGGTATTCATGGTATTTGGTCTTGACTAATTTTGACAATTGAACAGACTATTGTGCATGTAACGACATATACAATAAAATGACGCTGCACATTTTGTAGAGAACAACCATTAGACTGAGAATTAACAATCTCTTCACTAAAGATCTATTCACTTGGAAATTGTGCTAAATGAAGGCAATCTGTAATATGTGCTTAATCATTTGCAAAGATGTACTGAGACATTTGCAATTTGATTAAATGAATGAGAAATTCAAGTCTGTTGTGAACAATTGCCCAGTGGTTTGAAGGTTTATCCATAGCCGCATTTCCACTATCGAGTCAGGGCTTTAATCGGGCCGGGCCGGGCCAATCGCCCGAGAGGTTAAGCAGTGAGGCAGAAATCATGTTGCGTTTCCACTGTCGGGCTAGTAGCTTGCAGCGTGTCACGCGAACACCGCCCCCAGAACATCCCCTGAATCAAACGTCACACAACCCGCCCACTTCAGCGGGACTCAGTCAGATAAAGCACACCATCACATCATCATCAGGAGAGCATTAAAATAAAGACAACCGAAACAAACAAATAACACGTTACTGTACAGCAGTACATTATAGGTCTATACGCACGGGCCTGTGTGTTTTCATTCTTTATATTCATTTACTCATCGACCGACTGTTGGCACCGTGCATCGAGTGGTCTCCGTTAATAACTTGGTAGAAAATGTAGCCTATTTTATAACATCCTCATTTAGAGGATGAGCAAAAGTATAAGCAAAAGACCTCAGTCTATAAGGCTAGATGTTTTCTTTCCATTATTTATTTATTTGTTTATGTGTTTGGCGCATGTACTCGTGTGCGATCGGAAAAGTGTAATGACGGCAATCCATCTTTCCCAGACTCGGGGCAAAGTCCGCCTCTCCTTTCACTCCGCCCCGAAGCCTCAGTTGGCCCTCCTTGGCCCAAGGTATTCGGCGGGCCGAAAAAGGGCGGCTGCTGGCCCCAAGAAAGCCCCGCTTTGGCCCGATTAGGCCCCGGAAGTGACAGTGGAAACGCGACTGGCCTTGGCTCGCTCGCTTTAGGCGCGATAGTGGAAACGCGGCTCATGTTGTTTTGAGAATGTAATTTCTGTTTCAAGAAATGAGCTAAACCAATGGAAAAAAACTGTAACTGGGAAATGAAGGGCGCAATTGGATGCTGCATTTAAAGGAGCCTTCGAATTTTTTTTTAAATGAGGCAGCCTTAGTTGAGCCGCGATGACGCAATGCCCTTTAAAAGCATCCTTCGGAGGATGCAGCCTCTGAAATGAGACACAGCTACTGTCTATGGACCCAGTCAATTAGAACAGTTCATTCCTCTAACAAGCTGGTCATTAGCTGCAAAAAAAAAAAAAACGAGCAGTGAGGTGTGAGGATTGGAACTGAGAACCACTGTCACAGATCATGAAGGAGCTTTAATCTAATCG